TGTGTGTGTGTGTGTGTGTGTGTGTGTGTGTGTGTGTGTGTGTGTGTGTGTGTGTGTGTGTGTGTGTGTGTGTGTGTGTGTGTCTGGCAGTATCTCAGGGCTACATCAGTGGTCATTAGTATTTTTCAGCACGAACACACACTTTGACAGGTCGGATGCTGCTGCCTGCAGAGAGAAAAATCTGTGTGTGTGTGTGTGTGTGTGTGTGTGTGTGTGTGTGTGTGTGTGTGTGTGTGTGTGTGTGTGTGTGTGTGTGTGTGTGTGTGTGTAGTTTGACCTTTCCTTTCATCTGTTTATCTCACCTCCAGCTGAACTTTGATGATCCAATCTGCACACACACACTCCGTCTACGTCTGAAATGGTTTAGCACATCATGCCTGGATGACTCAAACGTTCAGCAATTCCACTTCGCTCCAATGTTTTCCTTCACTTTTCTCTCTTAAAATTCAAAAACATAATTTTATTTTACTTATTTTTAAATTTCTTCAGATTTATTTCATTTTTAAATTCTGTCATTCACAGTAAGGGTAAGAATATCACTGATATGCTTCAATCTAGAATCATACATCTATTATTTTCTGCTCAATTCATCCATCTACCAAACACAACATCAAAGTTTACATGAGAGCCAGAATCAAACCTGCAGTTTTTGCAACATCTCTGTCCTTTTTAGGTTCTCCTAACACTGAAAGTCAGCAGTTTTAAGCATTTATAGTAAACATAAGAACCCACTTTTTGTAGGATTTTAAATCTAACTTGGAGAGTACAAAACCAGATACTTCTGATTCTACCACATTCATTTTTTATTATTAAAAATTTGTTAAAATATTTAGTAATACAGAATCTAACCAACTCAATTTTATCCTTTTTGTTGCAACATCCTGCAGATTTCTTATTAAATGTTGTAAAAATATTATTTCACAAATAAATCCAACAAGTTTGCTGAAATGTACCAGTGAAGCAAACAAAGTCTGGTCCTAAAACTAACTCTGCTTTCCTTAGGAAGTTCTTCTACTTTTGTATCTGTCAGATTTACTCTGGAAAGTTTCTTTGTGTCTTTTAGTCTTTAATAAATCAGCAGTGATTGTGTTGCTAGCAGCTGTTAGCGTGTTGATCTGCGGTGAAACTGAGGCATTGATTAGACGTTACAGTAACAGATTCCTGTAGTTTTATGTTTTTTTACTGATGGGTCGTCTGTTGATCGACTTCTTTTCTTGTCCTGTTGACACTTTTCTTTGACATATTTTTAAAGATTTCTCTTGTAAACCAGTTATTTTGTATCTTTTTGAATGTTTTCTTTTGTTTCTGCATCTTTTTGTATTACATTGTTTTTCCACTTGTTTTCTTTGTTTGTTATTATTTTTGGCCATTTCTGACTGTTAGTTTTCTGATTTTTGATTCTCTCTGTCTGAGTTTTGTCTCTGTTTTTTTATATTCCTCCTTCCTTCTCTTGTTTTTCCATTTTTCCATCCTGTTCTTTCATTTCTCTGGATTGATCTTTAGTCCTTTTGTTACTGCCATACCTTCTTCTTTCTGACTATCCTTCCTCCTTTCCTTCTTCTTATTTCTTTGTTTTCTTTCTGATTAGTCTCAAGTCTTTTCTTATCTTGTTTTCTGCCATTAACTCGTCTGTCTGTCCGTCTCCAGATCATCTAGATTTATTTTTTTCCAATTTCTTCTTTTCTTTCCACTACACATGTGTATTCGTGTGTGTGTGTGTGTGTGTGTGTGTGTGTGTGTGTGTGTGTGTGTGTGTGTGTGTGTGTGTGTGTGTGTGTGTGTGTGTGTGTGTGTGTGTGTGTGTGTGTTTGGTCTCTGAAGTTTTGCCGCATCCTTAGTTTGGCTCACATAAACACACACAGACACAAATGCTTGCATGCACACTCCTGAACACACACTCTGGGAATAAGGCAGCTTGTTGTTATCAGCTCCTACATCAGTCATCTGTCAGCACAACTTTTATCTCTACATCTCTGTCTGTCTGTCTCTCTGCCTCGTTTGTCCTCACTCGCTCTTTCTGTCTCCATAACACACACACATGCACACACACGCACTCAAAGCGAAGCAGCACGTCTCTTTCTTCTTATCGTTCCTCTCTGGTAGAACTGCAGAATAAATCAACTGCAGCAAAAAAAAAAAAAAAAAACAGAGATGAAGACAGGACGATAGTGGCATGGTGGATGCAGAGAGGGCCTTGATGGGAGGCGATATGACAGATATATGTGCAGCACATTTTATATTCGCATGCAGAGAAAGGGACAGACTGCAAAACGACAAAAAGCGAGAAGGAAATGAAAGATGGTTATATGAAAAACTTGCAAATCAGTTTGTAAACTGCACTCACAGCTCTGGGTGTTCCTCATATTCGGCTCTCAGTCTTTGTATTCTGCCACAGTTTCTTTACCATCACTGACACTCTGTCCTCGTCTTCAAATGCACAAACTATCGTTTCAACAATTCAACCTGAGCGTTTCCTCTGGTAATCTCATTTCTAATCTGGTCCATTTGGATTAGAGTGGATCCATAACTACACACAATTAGCTAAATTGACTCTAAATGCGCTTATAATTACCAATTTTAAAAGTTCATACACCAAATATTCCTTAGCATGCATTAAAACACAGAATGAAAGCGAACATCCACAGTCTTACAGCCAATCAGAAGCCGGGAAACATCTGAGGATGGATGTAAAGTTTGATGTACGAACAAAAATGGCAGCATTTCCATTTCCATGTTGTTGGAAACCCAACATCATTCACCCTGAAGGGAAGCTCAAAGCATTCGATATGAAAATGTATGAATAAAAATCACAATGAAAAGATGCAGATGAATCATTTCTTTTTACCACAATTAGTTACATTCATGTTCATAAAGAGAAGAGTTTGTCTATGCTCCTCTTCCAGGTCCTGAAACTTTTCCTTTCTGCAACCTGCAATATAATTTCCCCTCTTAATCATTGAGCCTCCAAACTAAGGGGAAAAAAAAAAAATCAAATTGGGAGTTAATGAGGTGCTGATAGTATTATTTCACAGTCGGGTTCCTGTGTGCAGCCACTGCTACCGGATCCCGACCTGTTAATACAACAAATTAGGAGTTCAGCTTGTGTTCTTACCCACAGCAAACCTTAGGAGGAGCCTCCATGTTTGCCTCCAGGACACTTCAGCTTCATCTTATTGATAGCTGTGATATAAACTGAGATGTAAAATGAAGATCTGCAACATGATCATTTCAATTTCTGGATGCAAAAAAGGTGATTGAACTTCATAAAAACACAAGCTGTGACTGAGAGCGATCTACTCTGACACAAATCTATTGAAATGAACTGAATGTTGAGTTGTGATCTGCGTTTTCTCTCATCTCATTTCAGATGTTTAATCAGAAGATATGTGGCCTTGTGACGGAGCTACACAATCTGAAAGCACTTATCTTTATCTGGCTCAAAGCTGACAAATGTGTCCATAATCGAAACATTACATTACATCGTTAAACATAAGATGGTTGATATTTCATTGGTTATGTTTCAAAAGCAACTCTAAACTTAAAATAAAACTGCATTTGTGACAAAATAAAAGTCAGAAATTTGTCTAATATTCATTCATAGTAAGATGCTACAGCATATTTATAACAGGCAACAGAAAAGAAAGTAATTTTGTTTTTAAAGAAGGAAATATTACAGTTGTAGTTTATTAGCAATTCTAAAACAAACTTGAAGAGACGAATCTTGAAGCATTATTAAAGCAAAAGGAGCCCCAACTCAATGTACACACACAGTTCAAAAGAACCTGATTTTTTAAAATGTATTTTTTTTTTAAATAATCTATTTTTAAGCCTCGAATTTCCTCAGAAAAATTAACTTTTTGCTGGAAGCCATAATGAAACCACATATAGAAGAGAAACTGTTTATTGTCCATCTAAGGGGAAATTCAGGTGTAACAACATAATTTACAAAGGTTCACACAAAAGGAAAAAGGTCTTAAGGTGTTAAAAACAAGATAAGCAAGAACCAAGAAATAATAATAATAACCATATAATGCCAAACCTTTTGATATTTACATTTATCGACATACTGAGTTGGATGATGTATTTGTTGCTACTGTTTGTGGGCATATTGTGACACTTTTGAACAGAAAATGGCTTTTTGGTTCGAGATTAAAGAAAAGTTGACAAAGAACATAATCATGTTTATTTTTGAATAGATGGTCAAAAACAGATTTCACTTTGCTGTTGATCAGAATAACTTCTGCAACATTTAAAGGGCGTTTCCAGTTTTTTAGTTTCTCATCTCAGCAGCTCTATGAATGAAAATGTGCTGATGATGAAACGGGTAAATAAGATGCGTCTGAAAGCCATCCATCAAGATGTCTTGATGTGTTCAGTGTGTGAGGAAGGTGAGCTTTTTAAAGAAGCATGAAGGCCAGAGCAGAGCAAGCACACAGCTACTGTTTGAAAATGTCACCAATCCATCAATCTGATAGGTAAAGGCCAGTCCTCTCATTATACTGGATGTGTGTGTGTGGGCGGGCGTGTGTGTGTGTGTGCTCTTTGAGAAGAGAAGGCTGCTGACCCAGCGAACACAGCACACACCTATACACACACACACACACACACACACACACTCACCATTATATGGTGTATTTTAATGAGCGTCTTGGGGATCATCTATTATTCATTTATAACAGGTCTGGACTGATCACTGTGTGTGTGAGGGGGTGTGTGTGTGATAAGTATTCTGTAACCTTAAGCATTCAGACCTAAATGAGAATAAAGCAGCATCTCATCAATAATGATGCTAACTGACTGTTTTCTGTGGTTAAATGGATCTTTAATCCATTTTCAGCAGGTTTTACCTGCAGTGTCGTTCCTCCTGAATCTCAGCTGCATTAATAGCTTAAACATCTCGGCTCATTTGAGCACGTCGAGCACAAATCTCAGAACAATAACTCATTGATCCCTGTGTGACTTGTTACAGCTGTAGCACATGACACACTCCTCCCAGGATCAATAGCTCAGATGTCATGTTCATTACTCTCTGTGCTGGCAGGTGCAGCGCTCTTCACTACGACTCAGATCTTCCTGCAACATCCATCATCATCACCTTCCACAATGAGGCCAGATCCACGCTGCTGCGCACCATCAAGAGGTAACGCACACACACACACACACACGCGCACCCACACACGCACGCACACACACACGCACACACACACCTCGGCTTCACTCTTCACTCTGCAGTTTGGACCAGTTTGGTTCATGTTTGGGACGTCAGGAGCTGCATTTCCATCAGACATATAATGATAAAAATTATACTGCAGAGATTGCGGGTTTGGTTTTTTTCCCATGTTACGGATCGGGAACAGATTATTTCTACTGAAATGTTTGTTTCTTCAATGTAACTTTAGCAAATAAACAGCAAATATTTCCAAAATCTACAGGATATGTTGTCCATGCTAACAGGACTAAGCACAGTTAAAGACTCGCTGGTCATTGCATTAGTTCCCAGGTTGTGGAGGGAACAGATTATTTCAGTTGAGAGAAAAAGTTAGAAGGTTTGTGAACGTCTGGCTGGTGGAGCGCTTCATTTCATCTTGGAGAAAAACTTTAAAAAAAGAAAAAATAAATGTCCCACCCTAAAATGCCAAACATGAATAAGTAACTGTAAGAAAATGTAATTTCAGCTAAAATATAGAACAATGTTCTGAAACATTGAAGTTAAACATAATTCATTTTTAGATAGCGTGTAAAACTCCCTCTCTGTGAAGGTATTAGATATAACTGTCAGAAATCTGAGGAGTGATGAGTCTCAGTCTTTAGCAGACTGTAAAAAGTTTCCTTTGGCTGATTTAGTGATGCTGCAGCAGAATCTAATCTGGAGACATTTTTGACCCTGAGCCGCTCAGTCATTGTTCTGTCTTTCATTTTGATGCTATCAGCTGGTTACCAACCAACATTCAGCACAAAAGAAACCCACTAAGACACATTTCCCTGTGCTGGCTGGAGTTCAGCTCATTATGCCAGTCAGTCAGCAGGGACTGGCTACGGCTCCGTACTATCACAGAGGACATTGTGTGTTTTCTGTGTGTGTGTGCGGTGCATGTGTGTCCTCTCCCTTCAGCTCTTCTCAAAGCGCTGCAGTTTTCAACCAATTAAAAGACAATCTGTCTCCTTGGGTCCCCGCGCTCCCTTCGGCTCCCGTCGGCTCCCACTGGCTCCGGGTGTCAGTGTGTGTGTGTGTGTGTGTGTGTGTGTGTGTGTGTGTGTGTGTGTGTGTGTGTGTGTGTGTGTGTGTGTGTGTGTGTGTGTGTGTTAGCTTGCCCATGGTGACTTGGAGCTGGAAGTAGTTTAGCTGCTTTTCGCTTTTATTTTGTGAATTTGGAACATTTCCTCCCTCCGGGGTGCAGCAGGTCCTTTAAGTTTCACACGCGTCAGATATTAAACACGTCCAAACATGAACTAAAATTCAGTGTAAAAAATCCTTCAGTCATGAAATAATTACATCTTAATTCATCTGTTTATGTCTGATGTTTGAAGCTTAGCAAATTGAGCAAAACAAATGTTTGCATCTAAAATCATGATTGTTGTTGTTGAATAAAAATATTGTTTATGTACGTTTATAGAAAGAATCTGAGACAATAGACGTCATTTTTCTGAATATTTCTTTATTATTCTTGAAATATAAATCAACAAAGTAATATGTTAATTTATTGTAATTAAAATACGACGTAGGACCTGTTTTTATTTTTAGTTATTTTCTTTAAATGTTATAATATTTTTCAGTTGGAACAAAAAAAAGAATAAATTGCTTCTCTGTTTTTTTTTTTCTAGGGCTTCTTCAACAATCAGACGTTATCGTTTTCCAACAATCTCCAAGTAAATCAGACATTTAAATGTATTAAATGCAGTTAAATCAAAGAGTGTGCATCATATGAAAACGTTTTGAAACACAAAGTTTATCACGTAAAAGCCAGTGAGTCAAAGATTAAGTGAATATTCAGATTTTCCGCTTTTATATTGTTGTGCTTTTCTTTGTGTTTTGGGAGAAGATAAAAGCCTTGAGCAGCCTGTCCTCAGAGGAGAATGAAACACAATTAAATCAAGTGGAAAAGTGAACTCAAGGACGATCTTTCCTCAAAGGTCTTTGTGCTTTAGCACTTTATTCTTTGTTGCACACAGCAGAGGTGTCAGTATGTTGGCTCCCAAGCTGCACTTTTCTGTTTCGCTCTGACTGAAGGAGGAGGAGGTTTACTGAGAGTGGCCACTTTAACAGAAGTGTTCATTTGGTGTCTTCATGGGGACGCTGAAGTGCTTTCCAGCGGCAGAGCGATCTGCTGTTTGCTGTGAGTCAGAGCAGCTTATGAGGACAGAAAACAGACGTTTCTCTGATTCCTCAGACAGCTTAGCAGTGAAATATCACTCACCATCACGCTACAGATGTGGAATTTGATTATTAGGAAGTAAAGTAAATGACTGAAGAGACAATCTGAAGGTCTGATTGTTGAGCACAGAAATGGAAATCAGATTTAGTTGCATTTCTACGATTTTGTTCTTTTCATTTCACTCTATAATCACCAGTTTACAAAAACTTTGACTTCTTTTCAAATTGCATTATCATCAAAAGGTTCAGCGACTTAAATTATATTCAAATATTCATGTAAGAAATACATGGGTGATATTAAAAGTTTTATTTTTGATTCTAATATGTAGTTCATTGGGGTCTAATTGGGTTAGGAACCACAACACACCTGAGAACTGCCTATTTTATTACTTGAAGCTCCACATAAAACCTGATATGTGTTAATACTGTCAGTGGAAACCATCGTATCTTTGCTGCACAAGGTAATAGTTTGGCAGTTTAACCAATCAGCCTGCTTTGCAAATGCTAAGCAAGTAGCTTTGCAGCTTTTTAAGCTTCCAAAGCTGCATTTTCTTTAGAATATTTTAGATATACTTTCCTAAAAAAGTCATTGAATATGTGGATTTTTTGCAAATAATTTGGAGTTATTGTCTTGAGAAAGTAAATAGTTGGGGCTCTACTTTAATCCTTACTCTTTTCAAAGTTTGCTGGGTGTATTCATGTTTCCAAGCTGAAGCTGCTGTTTGCACTGAATCAGATGTCCCATTTTAATATTTGCCCAGTTATTTGTGAGTTTTCTCCGGAGAGAAACTAAAAAACTGATTTTTTTGTTTGGTTTTCAATAGCAGTGAAGTCGGCATCCAACTGGGAGCCCACTCTGTCTGCTGGGTCCAACAGAAACATCAAATGTCCGCAGTTACATGAATATAAGGGTGTCATTTTGGAGTTTTGTGCTCTTTCAGGCTTACTGATAATCATACCTCTGCTGATTAGTTGTATTTCAGAGACAATGATGGGCACTCTGAAATCTTTTCATCTTGTGATCAAAGAGCTGCTTTCAGAGGCAGAGCCGTTTCTTGTCGATATTTAATCAAGGGCTGATCCAAAAATTGATCTCATCTTCTGTGCTGCTGCTAAGCAAAGATAAGCAGCCCACAAGATAAAGACAGACAGAGGACGAGAGCAGGAAGCGCTGCGGCAGACTTGTTTGGTTTTAATAGCTTTCGCTGGTTTTGCTTTATGTCTTAAGATTATTTACAGAGCAGAACCAGGAGGATCTGAGGCACCGAAAGCTCAAACTGGCCTTAAACGCAGAGCATCATTATCTGAAACAATGTAGCAGCAAGTGAGATAAATAACATCAGCAGTTGATGCATTTTAATTTACTTTAACCAGTTCTTAATGTTGACTGAAACATTTGAAACTGATCACTGAAAACAACATGATTTACATCTTGGTGAACATAAACAGATCTCATAAAGGCATTTTGGGAAGCTAAGATGCCTCAGCTGTTGGCACAATGCTACTTTACACAAGACTAGCAAACGTTTGCAAAGTAGCAAAGAATTAAACAACATTCAGACATAAAAATGTCAGAATGAACATAAAGACGTATAGGTTGATTTGCGGTTTAGATACAGTTTAATGTTGCACACAATGATAACTTAGCACAGCAGCCACCAAGCTGTGCAACTGGCAGTTCTAGAAATGTTATGTTTTCAGTGAAATACTTGACATCCTCTCTGGGCTGGGGGCAGATTGAACTTCCTGAAACCTCTTCAATGTGGTTGTTGCTGGAGTTGGTTTCAAACCTAATACTGGGACATCGGAGAGCAGCAGACCAGAGTGGGAGCGACTGGTTAGCTTTGGGGGTTTTGCATCTTTTTTAGCTAAAATCAGATTTTAAGCTCCCAGAAAATAAATCTCGCTCTCTAATTATTTATTTGGTCCATCAGACAGTTGAGTCCAGCCAAGCAACCGTCCTGCTCTGCTCAGCAGCCTGCATTCATCTGGGTGTAGAGCTGCCGCTTCCAGATCAGCACCACATCAGCACTTTCTGATTCACTGCCTCTAAAAACGCTCAGTAAAGAGTTCAGACGACTTCCTCCACCACTAAACACTCAGGATTTAGTAGAAATAAGGAAGGGGAAGATTTATAGTCTTTGCTTGTTACTGCAGGTTTGCTGTTTGATTAAGTGTCAACCTAAAGTCTGCACTTCTTCTAACTCTTTATCAATCTCTGTTCCCTGTTTGGTGGTTTATTGGTACAATGATTAATGCAAAGTTATGCCTGGAAACAATAGTGTTTATTTTAATCAGGTAGCATTTAGCATTTTGATTAGACATAAGCCACCTTTGGTTGAAAACATAAACACACTCAGTCTGGATGCCGAGCCACTGCAGCACAGATCATCAACGCCCTCAGATTTTTACTCTATTTAGGTGCCATTCAGGGCTTGTATGCTGCATAGATTAACACTGATGAGCGTGTGCATGGAAATCCTCTAAATAAGCAGCCATGAAGAGTAAATCAACGAAACTGGATACGGATCTTCGTAGATTAGCTGTGACAAGCATTTAGTGTTTGGACAACCTGGGAAACATTTTAGTTTTATTTGTGGATGAGCTTTGATGCTGCAGGGCTTTTCAAAAACTGCTGATGTCATGTTTCAAATTCAGGCTTTAAAGAAGAAAATACATCCTAAAGCCATGCTAAGTAGAATAAAAAATGTTTTTATCAACAAAACTCAAGAAACTTTGCTGTACATTTATATTCATCTCCCTTTTATCAGTAATTTGATCAAAGATCTTGCTAGTAACAATGCTTCCATGCAAGAATAGGAAAACGTGAATTAGGAGTGTTTCTGTCTACTGATTATAGCAAATTAACCAAACTGCAAAAACAAAAAATTTTTTCTAGTTTTTAATGCAAAACGTTTAGTACAATTGAATTCCACTTTGCAATTAAAGTTAAAATAAATGTCAATTGAAATGCATTGATCATAATTAAAAACTGAATATGCTGTGGATGTATGAATAAGTTAACTAAAGTATTGACATATTCTGATTTATGCTGCAAGAACTTTACAGTTAGCTTTATTATTGAGTTAAAATGGCCCAATCAAGGATAATATTTCACACAGAAACAGGTTTTTCTGTCATGCTTGCTCTGCTGCTGGTGTCTTGACAGAGAAATAAGTTGGAGAAATACATCAGCCTCAAATGAATGGAAGAAGCAGAGGTGGATGGAAAGAGTGATGAATTACTCCAGGAAGGTGGAAGGTGGAAGAACGGGCTGTCAGCAGACCAATCAGGCAGAGAGAGGAAGAAAGTGGGAGGAAACCAAGCTGAAAAACGCAGCAGAGCTTCAGACGGGATAAAGGGAACAAGACGAGCAAAACTATTAGAAATACATCTCACTTCTTCTCTCCTGCAGAAATAATCTTTAGTAAAAAGCAATTCTGCGGTTGACTCAGAAATACAAACAGTCCTTTCTCCAGAAACACAAAGTGCCCGTGTTGTTTGTCTTGTAACCAGCTGTGCAGAAGAAATGTAGCTCTTTTCAGCTGAAAGCATCACTTCTCAGGTGTAAAGCCCACAAGTCCTGGCCAGCAGAGAGGCAAGACAATCTGAAACCTGTAATTGAGGTTTTGTCACATGTTCGGGGGGGAAAGTGTGTTTTTGTTTCTTTTTGTGGAAGCACATTGCAGGATGCAGGCTTTAACTACAGTTACTGTTGGAACTGTAATTATTACAATCTTCTTTCATTCTTCAGATTTCAGCGCTTTTCAGCAAGTTCTGTTGATGTTTCGAATGAAGACAATCGGTTTGCATGCTGCTCGAGTGAACAAAGCACTGTGACATTATGCCTTTCTGTTTGCTCTGCTCCTTTAACTGCGGTGCAGCTTGATAGCAGCTTTTATCACCTTCTTGCTGAATGCTTTCTCTCCACTCTAAGTACACAAATACAGAGCAGAAGTGTCTCCCGTGGGATTCGATCCCGACACCCTGGCAGCCGTACGGCAGCACCCAGTTAGTGTCAGAGTGAGTGGGGTTAGAGTCCCACTGGGCCCACACAAGCATCTCGGAAAGCGTGGGGCTGTTTGGATGAAAGCGCTCTCCAAATTGCAGCTGCAGGAAAATATTCCCCACCCAAAAAAATAAAATTGGTATATAGAGAGTTGGGAATGAGTGGCACAGATATAGAGGTGCTTTTCTCTGGCAGCTGACTGCGTATTGTCAGTGGTGATAATATTTCCTGTGAGGTGAAGATAGCTCCCCTCTCTGCTCTCCTGAAGGGAGGTTAAGCCTCACAGCTGTGAACCAGAGAGGAGAAACTCTTCAGTGTGTGTGAAAGAGAAGAATCTGGGATTCTGGCAAATACAAGAGAAACAAAAAGGAAGCAGATTAGTGACCATTCATCCACAATCATTTATAGATGCTCCACTGCTACTGAGAGCCTCTTGGGAGCATCCTGGACATTTCAACACTCGTGTTTTAGCTAAATTTGGAGAAACATCCATTTTTGTCACCAATTATCAATGAACTTTATGATTTCCTGAGTTATATCTTTAACCAGGAATGTTTTTAAGCACGTTTGGAAATATTGCATTTGATGGAAATGGAAAAGATGCAAAATTACTTCCTCATATTGCACAAAAGTTTTAATGCTTGCTTGAGGTGGGAATCAAAAACAAGGAGAATCAGTAATTAGGGAGAGAAAAGTTGGAATTTGATACATTAAGAGCCTCCCAGATTTTTAAGAAAGCAGAAAAAAATACAGATATTAATTTAAACTCAGGTGGTTTTTAAGTCTGAAACTATTAACATTAAAAAAGTTTTATCTCCCTTCATCAGTGGATCACAACAGGTTTTACATCGTCTGTCTTTTTGCTGTGAATTTCTCTGAAAGTTGGGCGGATGCTCAACTTTCAACTTTTGTTTTATTCAAAAAATAAATCACATTTTATATTTTGAGTCTTTATTTTGAGCGGTTATGCTTTAACTGATGAGTCGACCTAATTTCACTTCTTTGCTGCTTTTATTTCTCTTCATCTTGAGCTCATCCTTCCCTTCCCTCCCTGTTTTCTTAAACCCACACATTCCTCATATTCCCTCCTCTCCTCCTCTCTATCTCATTCATCAATCCATTCATCCATCTCTCCCGATCGGCCCTCTGCTCTGCAGAGAGACAGAGTTACAATCAGGCTTATTTGTCTCCCTTACCAGGCTGCCATCTCTCCCTCCCTCTCCTTTATTATCCCTCTCTCCTTAATCTCAGTCTATCTCTCCGTCCCTGTCTCTCCAACTATCCATCACATTCCTCCTGCTGAGTCCGGGATCCAACCTGCTCACCCCTCTTAACTCTGACCCGCCTGCTGTTGGCACCTTATATTCCCTCTTGCTATTTAAAAAGCTCATATTTTAAGATCCAGTTATCATTTTTATTTACTTATCTGTCTCCTCTCACTGACATAAATATTCCCACCCCTTGAAATTATTCCAATTTGAAATTTAAGGCAAATTTCCAAAAATAGTTAATATGACACAAAGTCAAATTAACGTGTTTTATTAGCATAATGCCAGAGAAATTCATATGCACCGCCCTCTTTTTAGATTTTTATGAATGATTTTTAAAAATCATGATTCATTTCACTTCACAGTTATGCACGACTCTGAGTTGCTAAATCATAGAAAATCCCATTAACAACACTAAGATTTGTGGTTACAATGTGAAAAATGTTTTATTGGTGTGATTTTCTTTATTCTTGTGCTTTACAGACTGAATCTTTAATTCTGTCTCAATCTTCTCCATTACATTTGTTTCCTTTCCTTCAGAATATGTTTCCTATGCTTGATAAAACTTTATTCCTTCCTTTTTTCCTGCGTTCTTCTTTTCTTCTCCTTTTCTCAGGAGCTTATGCATAATCTGATGCTTTTATTGCTTTTCTTTTTTACTCACCTCTTTTTTAATATTTCCTCTTTTCCTCCTGTTCCAGTCATTATTCTAATCACTTCTTTATCCTGGGTTTTTATTCTCTCCTTGCCTTCGTCTTTTCCACTCCTCCCCTCGTCCTCCTGCCTTTTCCTCCCTCTGCGCTCATATCCAGAGGGGATAATGAACAAAGGTTATTGAACAGTAGAAATAATGAAATAAAATCGAGCAGAAACCCACCCAGAACAAAACACATTTTCTCATTTTCTTCCTGTAAAAGTTATGAATTTTTTATGTTTCAATCTCCAGCTCTAATGAAATAGTTTTTCAGATGCCACACATTATACATTTTCATAACAGGAATTTGGTCTGACATTTTCAATCTGTTGTTTCATGCGCTGTGCTGTGCATATGTAATGGCTTTATGAACACCTGAGAGAGTGTGTGTATCTGTGTGTGTGTGTGTGGTTGGCATTTACTTTCTTTTAATTTGTACATTTCCAGGCTCATGTTGGAGGCGTATCTGAACGTGTCATGATCTGTTTTGTTTCCTCTGCAGTGTGTTGAATCGGACACCAGTTCATCTAATCCATGAGATCATCCTGGTGGACGACTTCAGCAACAACGGTGAGTCGCAGGCTGCAGCTGCAGATGAAGGCTGCAGACACAGGTTGCAGACACAAGCAGGCTGCAGACTCAGGCTACAGATGCAGGTTGCAGATGCAGGCTGCAGCCCCAGGCTGCAGACGCAGGCTGCATGCACTGGCTGCAGACACAGGCTGCAGTCTCAAGCTGCAGTCTCAAGCTGCAGTCTCAAGCTGCAGACGCAGGCTGCAGTCTCAGGCTGCAGTCTCAAGCTGCAGACGCAGGCTGCAGTCTCAAGGTGCAGACGCAGGCTGCAGTCTCAGGCTGCAGACGCAGGCTGCAGTCTCAGGCTGCAGACGCAGGCTGCAGTCTCAGGCTGCAGTCTCAAGCTGCAGACGCAGGCTGCAGTCTCAAGGTGCAGACGCAGGCTGCAGTCTCAGGCTGCAGACGCAGGCTGCAGTCTCAGGCTGCAGACGCAGGCTGCAGTCTCAAGCTGCAGTCTCAGGCTGCAGTCTCTGGCTGCAGTCTCAAGCTGCAGACGCAGGCTGCAGTCTCAGGCTGCAGTCTCAGGCTGCAGTCTCAAGCTGCAGACGCAGGCTGCAGACGCAGGCTGCAGTCTCAGGCTGCAGACACAGGCTGCAGATCCTGGCTGCAGGTTTCTTCCAGGTCAGATGTAAAGACTCACACACACACACACACATAACCAAAGATGGCGCAGCAGCAGGATAAATAACGAGCTGGATTTACTTTTCCAACATATCAAACTAGAGATGCATCAATCAGATATTAATATATGCATTGATCCCAATATTTTAAAAAAATTCTAGCTCGAGTATCGGTGACAATGTGTTTAATCCATAAGGACAGATTTTTTCAGTTTTCAGAGTTGCTCTCTGCTGAGCAACATCATGTAATATTATATATTTTATATTATACTGAGAACTTTAGGAACCATTTGAAAGAAATCGGTATCGAACGTGAAAGATGTGGATCGGTGCATCCCGACATAAAACCCAAAACATGCATTAAAAACCAATGTTTCCTTTTTCACTTTTGAGAACATATTCCAGTGGACTGATTGAACATATTCTGATGATAAAATGAGGAATCCAGCAGGAAGCTCCCAGCATGCCGTTCATCACGCTGCTGGCTCTGAGTCGTTGTCCTGCTGCTGTGGAGAGTTTCAGCTGGAAACAGCCTGCAGCGTGTGAAGGAACTGATGACACACCCGGCTCCCCACAGCACTCCTGACATTTATTACATCCTGTTTTTTATCTCATCTTCATTTCCAGAAAGCGACTGCCAGCTTCTCACCAAACTGCCTAAAGTCAAATGTCTTCGTAACAACAAGAGAGAAGGTATGGCAACACGCAGCCTGACGGCCTTTGGCTGTTTTCTGGCTCCTCGTGTTTGAGTGTTGTGTGTTCACAATGAGTTACGAGTCTTTTTATCATGCAGCAGTAGCAAGATATGCAAAAAGGCAGACTTGGAGAAAGCTTGGAGAACTGTGTTTGATTCTGGCCAGCCGCTGAATTCTCAGTAAATCTCCATCAAAAGTAAATTATTTAAGGAGCCAAATACATAAATAACTTGAGCAGTGTTCTTGTAGATGTGGATGTTCTCCTGATTTCACATGTTGTCTATTAGCTCTGCTTGTCATTTTTCTGTGAAATCTATTTCCAGCTGCCTTCATGCATCAAATATAAAATGCAAACAAAATACACAAATGAATGTGACAGGCTGACAAAGTGATGAGGTTATGAGCGCTCTGACATCTTAAAACTCTTAGTGCCGCCATAAAGAATTAAAAATGTGTTTTTAATCCTGCAGCAGATTATCCTGCGTGTTTGTACATGGCTTTCAAGGTGTTGAAGCTTCTGGTATTAGGAGCTCAAGGAAGGAATAAACAATATTTAATTTATTTTATTTTATTTAGACCTTCTGTGGAGGTGGGATGTTTTTAAAGGTCTCTGGTTTTTGGGTTTTTCCTTTTGCTACTGAATGTTTGTTCCTTTGAAATGACAGAAGCTGAACAAATGAAAAAAGCTCATCTGTGATGTTGGTTTCATGACTGAAAACATTACTTTCACATTTTTCCAAATATGTTTTGACGTAGCAAATGTTCCCAGTCTGAACCAACCATGACACGATGACTGGAGATAAAATAACCAATGTTATTCTGAAAGACAAGTTCACGGCTGAAGGTTTAGAACAAGGCTAAATAATTAGCAAGATAACAGATGTTGGTGCTGAAAATGTTTCTTTTTCTCCAAACATGATGCTCTGCATTGCAGCCAAGCATCTGCAGAGGGAGAAAATGATTTCATGGTTCTTGTTTTGCAGCTCCTTATCTTTTTACCTCCAAATGATCTGAATTGATGGACAGCAGAAATTTCTAGCCTGTAGTCATTGCTGTTGTTGTTCTGCATTGACTATATAATTAGTTTTATTAGTCTAACATTGTGTTTAAAATGTTTTAAAGATTAAAACTGTCTTGTTTTGCTTTGCCAGAACTTTCTTGGGAAAAAGATTTTTAATTCTCTTCCTGGTTAAATAAATGTTAAATAAACCCTGGCGTTGTTTTAACATGCTTCCTTCTGCTCCAGAGCCATAAAAAACAAAAACTTATTATATTTTATCAGTGGTCACAATGAAGATGATCAGTTAATAAAGCTGGCATCCTGAAGCAGTGAGGGTGTTCTTACTTTTCCCATGATAATGTTCACAGGTGTACAACAGAGATGTTTTTGTTGCCGTTCAGTTATTTGACCGAAGGTTGTGAATAAATGTTGCTAAGCTGCTTTCAGGAAACACAGATAAGAGATCAATAACACACATCATAAAACTGGAGCAATAATAGAAAATAAAAGCCACATGATAGAAATGAAGAGATCTAAACCTGAAGCACAGGAAGTAAATAAAGCGCCTGCTGCTGTTTTACCCGTTTAAGCAGGAAATGACCAGTTGAAAGTGTTTGAAGGAGAAGACTTTGGTTTCGGATGCTTCCTGAGGTCAGAGCAGTTTCCTCTCAGGGAAAAGCAGAAGAAGAAAACACTTACACGCCTCTCCAGCAGGTATTGAAGTTTGATGAGAGCAGACCATTTGAACTCACATTACAGCTGGAAAATAATAGTCTTCTCTCCTCTAAAGTGTCCCTGCCCCACCTGATCCCGCTGCTCCTTCCTGTTACTCTTTGCTTGAAGTCTCCCTGGTTTCTGCCCAGCCTGGTTAGCTTCTCCTGCCTTGGCTTCACCTCTTTGTCTCAGAGACAAAGCGAACACTTGTGCTGCATGTTGCTGCTGAAAGATTTCATTACAGACTCACAGGAGCAGGTTTCATCAGTCTGGCTTGTTAATAGTTTATGGCTTTAGGCTTTTCGACTTGATTATCTTTTTAATGGTCATAAAAGCTCACCAGTCTGGCTCTGTGTGTCTTCTCTGTCAACCACAGATGGTTTATGCTTCAGAGACTCGCTGGCACAATAAATCCTCTCACTTCTTCACATTAACCTCAACCTAATCCAAAGCATTTTTAATAGGAGAAAATTATCATATTGTTTGTAAAAATACAGATATTTTATTTGGAGTATCTAAAATATTTGAAAGAAAATGCAGCTGGGCTGAAATATCAAGATGCAATGCTAGTTGACTCGTGTATTCAAAGGGTTATTCCCATAACAAAGTGGATTTTTTAAGCAAAACATTTGTTCTACTGCTTGCCATATTCATTTACTGTTTACATATTTCATTTATGTTTATTTTTAGATCTTTGAAAAACTCTCTGGAGTCTTGCCTTTATTTTAAACACAGAATGTTTCAAATAAAACTTGTAGTTCCTGATATATTAGAGTCATTTGTGTCGTTTTCAGGAAAAAGCAGGAAATATGCTGATTGTTTCTTACAGTTGTGTTAGAAATCACACGATGGATTAGTGATGAGTCCAAAATTGTTTCTCAAAACATGTTTTTGGTAAGTGACTGTGACTTGAATCCCACTTGTTCAACCTCTTTTGGAGGAGATGCTTCAGTCTAATCTCTGTCTGGACTGTTAATCTTCCCAGGAAAAAAACATTCATCTTCATCAGGCTTTCCCTAAATAAAGGCTAAAGCAAAAATTGAAACAACCTGGATGTTGAACCTCACATCCAGCGTTCCTGTCAGCCTAACGTGTGTTCCTGTTAGCAGAGAGGAAGAAGCTCAGAGTGAGAGCAGCGTACAGCTGTGGATTACCAGCAGAGATTAAAGATCATCTCTGTACACTGAGTCGACTCTGAATGTGTTTATGTGCATCTAAGTAAACGGCTGCCGGCTCGGGTCACTTTATTCCTCCGTCAGTGTTTGTGCCGGCCTGCGTGTGGCTCCGTTTATGTGTGTGGGTCCATCCATCCAGAAAATAAAGCCTTATTGAGGATGAAATGGGATTTTTAATTGGCTGAGCCCCGGCCTAACTGCTCTGCGTGGAACTTCACGGCCCCATGTACAATGTCACCGACACACAAACACAACGGACCCTCGGCGCCGTGCACACTCGTCCGTGCACGTGTGCGCACACTGACTGAAAAGACACATTCACACAGGATATATCTATGTGTCAGGGAGTATTGATTAGACCATTTACACCAAATAGAGGAGAACAGTGGCTGCCATCAGGGAGACCTCCCTAACTAGCTCATTTACACACACACACACACATTTAAAACTGACCTGGTCACCACACACACACACACATCGACTCTCCTCCTTCACTCTTCTGTTTCTGTCCTTTAGAAGTGAACAGATGAAGCTTTTCTCCCAGACCAAGCCTGACACGTACATGCAGAGTGTAAAAGGTTGTCTCCATGTCTGACAGCGCCTCTAAGAGCTCGCATCGATTTTCCCCTCCGCTGACTGTCTCTGAGAGCCGGGAGGCCAGAAACGGCCTGAGAGCGAGGGTTCAGAACATGCAGCAAGGCACTGACACCACCGAGGCTGATGGTTCCATTCCCACCATGCCTTGTTGCTTTTTCAGGCGGACCAGACAGCAGCCATGTTTAATCTGCTTTAATCCAAATCCAGTTCATTTTCCCAGAAAATCCGGTTTGTTTGTGGATGAGTAATCAGACCAAACTGTGGACTCCATTTCAGTCTCAGTTGGGTTGAATTCAACTCCGGTTTGGTTCGAATCCATATGTGAACGCCAAGCAGACCAGAGACCGCTCCAAAAGCAGGAAGTGGACTACAGCGCACGGCATTATGGGTAATGATGTGCGCTGTCAGTGTGTTTTCACACCTGATAGTCCAGTAGACTCTGATTGGGACCAAAACTGCAACATTCGTTAAATTTCCAGCTGCTGTGGTTCGTTTTCATGAAACCAAACCAACTTGTTCCCCTCCCCACCTGTGGCGGCGCTGCACCAAGAACCACTGAAGAAGATTCTGAGCGCAACTTCATTCTTCATGAAATGCAAACCAAAATTGAGTCAGATTTTAGGGATTTCTCTTTTGTCTTTGATGAAAAGAAAACCACAAGAAATTTATTCTGCTTGCTCCAGACTCAGGTGCTGTTTTGGTTGAATTTACCCAGAATGCCTTGTGCTACATTCTACTTCCTGCTTTTGTCTGCTTGCCAAACAAACAATTGAAAAGAAAACATGGCAGTCATGAGTTGATTTGTTGTTTGTTTGTGTTCCTGCATCAGGCCTGATCCGGTCCAGAGTGCGAGGGGCCGACGCTGCCAGGGCCAAAGTCCTGACCTTCCTGGACAGCCACTGTGAGGTCAACAAAGACTGGCTGCCCCCCCTGCTGCACAGGATCAAACAGGTGAGCTGCTATGCTAACCAACACAACCTCTCCAAAAACTGGGATCAGCAGCTCCAGTAACATCTGCAGAGTTCCTCAAAGCTTGTAAACCATGAAAAACCTGAAAGTGTGTCTGTGTTTGCCTCAGGAATGAAATGTGTTCATTGTGAAAGTAACCTTCTCTCTGATTGCCTCTCATTAAGGAGTAAGTGCTGCACTGTCTCCCTCCACACGCTCTCCTCTCCCGCCAGCCTCCGTTGTTTGTGTCTCCTCTTTGTCTGCCTTTCGCTGCCCTTTCCTCTCTTATCTGCCTGCTCCTGTTTTGGCACTTGTCAGTTCTTCCACAGTTTTACATCTTTTCTTCCTCCTTTTCCATCACTCCTGCTCTTGTCTGTCACCGCTCTCTTCGCCTGCAGTTATTTTCCTCCATTTATCGCCAGACTTCACCTGTTGCCATCACATTTTTACTATTTATTTAATTCAAACAAATGACCTCTTTCTTTTCTCTAGTTTGATTCTCACTTGTTCAAGTCGAAAATATTGAAGCTGTTTTTTGTTTATGGACTTGGTGAAATCTTGGTTTTATATTTTTAAACTGAACAGAGTTAATAACGTAATGATGTGATTCACTCACGGACTGGAGTTTGGCACTTTTTTCCTCCTTTCCTGTGTCATTCTTGTCTTTGCTGTTGTTTCGTAACTTTTTTCCACTTTTATTCATCGCAAACAGCCTCTCAAGTTCCTCTTCACCTTATTCTCTGTGTGTCCTCTCATTTCCTGAGTTGTTTTCCACCGATTCATCAAGTCAGCAGATCCTTTGTTGGTATTAAAGACCTTTGATCTCCCTGTGGAGAGACGGATCAATAAGTAAATCCACCTGCGAGTCAGATGTGTTTGGGCTGCAGAGTCGACGTCGTCATTATTCATTCCCGCAGCAAGCGTACGTGCGTCTTAATGCCCAGCAAGTCGTTTGTCACTGTCCATGCCGGTCATTTTATAATCGTATATTTAGATTTAAATGTATGAAGTATTGATCCGGGTCAGCAGAACCCCACACCGCTCTAAAATCCGATCACCTTTAAAATAATTGTCTGTCTTTTTGATAGAGCGCTGAAATCTCACCAGTATTTCAATTTATCTTAATTCCTGTGGCTTTCAGTCATTGTGATGTAGAAGTTTATTAATAACTCAGGATCAAATGTCATAGTTTCATCATTCACAGCAGACCGTTTAACAACAATATTTTGTTTTTAACATCTTTTTGTCAGTTATAATTTTCACTGTATTTCTCCCACTCAGCTGCAACAAGTCAGTCAATGCAGGTCCATAAGAAAAAATTATAATATTGAAAACTTCTTTATTTCAGCAACCAGTTCACTCAGCATGACATTTTGCAAATTACATGCTGGTAGCCTTTATTTATGCAGACGTACTGTCTACGCTTTTGAAGGTTGTGTTTGCAAACCAGCCAATCTGAGAGGAGAATTCACTTTCCTTCGTGCCGATTGGCTGAACCCAGAACAGCAGAAACAAGGAAGTCTGTAGATGTTACAGAGGTATGTTTGGTGTTTGAAATATGGGAATAGGAAGTTATAAGCATTTTTAGATGGATTCTCATTACATGTAATTTAAGATGATGATGTGAAACGATGTGTAGTTCAGGAAAACGTCACTGGACTGCTACAAAATGTGCAATAAATAAACAAAACAAAACAGTTTACAATAATTACACTTTTTCTTACCACTAACCATGTTATTTCCACTCACTCAGTTTATAAAAATATATTTTAAAAGCTGAAACCAATTCTTGTTCATCTGGACTTTGAGGATCATTGTACATTTCTAGAGTTTCTCCCATGAATTTTCACAAGAACACAGAAAAATCTGTGAAACTTCAGTTAGGTCGTTCAGAACATAGTTTCCTTTGCTTTGTTGCTTTTGTTTTTTTCTCGTGAGCAATCTGTCGCGCTAAACACAAAGCTGAATCAACGAGGAATAACATTTCCACTATATCAACAGTTTCTTCTCTTTGAGAAACCTTTAAAACATTCTTATGCAACAGGATGAAATCCGAAAACATGAAAAATGAATTTATGCTTTATGAAAGATGGGAAAACTAAAATATGCTGTTTACAGGGAGCGAGTTGTGGGAAAATCTGGATCCGAAGCTAATAAGCTCGATGCGACACAGGAGAGAAACATGAAGATGGGCGATTAATAGATGGTGATGATGAGGATGATGCAGATTGTTCTGGGGTCAGGATGCTCTCAGCCCAGCCATAAGATGTTCTCATTTTAAATTAGGTGGAAAGAACAAAATGACTGGAATTAAGAAACTGCTCTGGAGTGATTTGAAAATAACAGTCATCCAATTACAACACTAATGTCACAAATGCTTCTCCCTGAGTGCTGCACAGTGTCATTACCCTAACAGCTATTAAGGCAGCCGCAGCGCTCTGCGATGTGGCTGGAGCTACGGTGGGATGCTGCCCACGTCCCCTTGCACTGACCCTGCAGCTAATGGTCCAGAACCGCTCCACCTGCTCTGTAATATCACCGGCTGAAGGCGCATCCAGCCGTTTGACCAAACTAATAGAGGGACACCACATGATTTAACAGGGGGGCCACGTCTGGCAGTGTTAGTGAAAGTGTGATGGAACATTTTTACTTTTATCCTTGTAAAGAGCAAACTGTGTCATCAGAGGTGGAAATATGTGGGCTATAAAGGGTTGTCATGTTGGGAGTGCTAACTTTAAAATGATTTAGAACTGGATCCACATGGTGAACGCAGGATTTCTATGGGAGGAATTAAGGATGCGCTCTCTTTTGTTGGGTTGCAGTGGATGTTTTCTGTGACGTCGTTTTCTAACCTGCGTTTAAACTGCAATATGAAAAACTTACAATATCCTTTGGTCTCCCAGCAACCAGCATAGCCTTGCTTACATGCATTTTAAAGCTGAACGTTTATTGATTTGTAAAGGTTTGAGTGAGGACGCCGAGTTGCTGTAAATGAAGAGCTTTTTACCTTTATTCTGCATCCCAATATATTCGGTTCAATTCGGAGGCCATATTGCAACATTTGTTACATTTTTAGTTGCTGTGGTTCTCTGTGTGATAACCAAACCATTTGAGCAACATGTCCCGTCTCTGCCTGTGGGGGCGCTGGACCAAGAAAGGAAACAAACAAAACCCTGAAGAAGACACTGAATGCACCTTCTTTCATCTCAAAATGGAAACAAAACTGGAGATTTTAGTGGTTAGAGAAGTTCTCTTTCGGCTTTAGTCAAAGACCATTAGCCATGTCTCCCACTAGTGCCAGGCTAGCGTTTTTGTTTTGGCCATATTTACCCAGAATGCACTGCACTGAAGTCCACTGATTGATTTTGGAGCGGTCTCCAGTCACCTAGTTTTTTACCTCTTTTGGTCCACTTCAGAGTTTGAATGTGCATTCATACCTCACCAAACTAATCCGATTTTCTATCCAAATAAACTAGAGTTTAATGAACAGGACTGCTGGAAATAAAACTTTAAACCAGTGAAAAGGGGTCTAACAAAATAATATCCCAACACTATAATAAAAACAGCTTTAAGTGAACATTTCTGGGTCAGTTGCTTCAAGCATAACCTTGAAGACTAAAGTGTGTCATTCTCATTGGAGCTTACTGGTGACGCAGTTGCTGTTTCTATGCAATGCAGATTACATCTAATTCTTGTAGAGATCATTTTTAAGTAATTTCCCTCCCTCTGGCCATCATGTATAAAAATAAAAACCATTTATTTTGACCTTTAACCTTTGAGAGTTTATTAAAGTTCTATTCTTTCTGAATCCATCTTAGGGTTTTGTATTTTTCCTTTCTTTCATCAGCAAAGTGAATATAATGATGCTGAATTGAAAAGGACAGAAATAGCGGTCACTCTCACCGCAGTTACTGCTTCTTGCATGATTGCTGCCAAATGACTGAAAATTCCTTCCAGTGTGAGAATTATCATGACCTTGAAGTGTGCTGTTACTTTCAGATGAACACACACTGAACTGGAAATGCCATTTATTGGAACTGAGTGTGAATGCTGATGTAGCATCCGTCTTTGTTTCTATTTACATTTTCCTTCTCAGTTAGTTTTTCCCCTGTTTGTCCTTCACAACTCAAACTTTGGGTGAAAATGTGTTTGTTTTTCACTTTGTACCCAGGATCCAACTCGTGTGGTCAGCCCTGTCATCGACATCATCAACATGGACACCTTCGCCTATGTGGCGGCCTCAGCGGACCTCCGTGGAGGTATGAGGAAATGCTTTTCTCCTACCTTCAGTCAGAAAAATAAAAATGGCTTTGAGGTGCCTTCAGGGTATCTTTTGATGGCAGAGAAACCCCTGAGGGCTTCTGATTTATGAGCGGGCCCTTCATGATGGGTTCATGAACCTGCTCTCTCTGCTCTGGAGCTCAAACGCCTTTGAAATATTTCCCTTTCAGCTTCCAGCTCTCTGTGTTCGTTTTTTCTTTCTCGCTGGATCCCCGGCGGACGCTGGGTAGTTTGTTTCCTTCAATAAGAGCTTGTATTTGAAACGTGCTCGACAGTCAAACACCTCAACATGAGTATCCTGCATAGGTTCCCTTTCATTTTGACTATTTTTTACAAGGTAAAGCTTAAGTGTTAAAAACAGATGGATTTATTCTATTGGATTCTCTCAGCTCAATTTAACGGGTCTAGAAATAAAATGTAAAGTTTTGGAAAAGAGCTATAAAAACTAAACTATTGTTTCTGTCGCAATAAGCAATTAATCAATTAATTTCATCATAGATTCAAATGAGCTCAGTAATTTCCATTCTGATGATTAAAAATGTTTGGAGGGCTATTTTGTTTACTGCAACAGAATAATCTACTTTATTTATGGATTTGGTTGTTAATGATTTTTTATTAAATGTGTATAAAACACATTTATTGGTTTTGATCGTCGTGTTTTATTTTGGATATTTCCAGTTCCAGTGTTCAATATTATTAACAAACTTTAAAAGTATTAGTTTTAGAGAGGGCAAACTTGCATTATTATACCATTATTAATATATTCATTGAAAAATGGTCTCAAAATGATGATATTATTGTTTATTCTAATTATTAATAGGAGAACTTATCGACCAACGATACTTATTATTGTGTTTATTTCTAAAAACCAATCATCAATAAATTCTAATAGGTTTTTTCTCCTTTGTTTTCACTGGTTCTTATGCAAATGTAGCAGGTGAATATGAATTATTGATGGATCGGATTATGGATGAATTTCTCAATAACAGCTCATAGTTTGATAGCATATCAGAAATCCTGAAGAATCTTCCTTATTTTAATCCTGACAGGTTTATGTAGCTTCACCTGAAACAAAATGGATAGAAAATAATTCAGTGTTCTGTCACCCATCATCTCTCCTAAGAGCTTTCAGCTTCCTGTTTCCTGCTATTAGCCTGTCTCATCCTCATCTTCCTCACTGGGTGGCTGCAATCAGTGCCGGTCAGTGGTGATAATAGTCTCTGCAGCCCAATCCCAGCTGCACACAGGGGATCGATGGTCAGAGATCATTTCATGAAGGGCTTTTAACTGGAGATAAAGTGGCTCCCGACATAAAACAATGCCTTGAAAATGGATTTTTGCTGCTACAGAGTTTTTTTAAATTTTAATTAACATTTTGGCATGTTAATTTTTTATCTCAGTTTATATTTGGGACGCAGCGATCCTCTGCTTTCACTTCCGATACCAATAACAATATCTGAGGTTCAGTATCGATACCAATGCAACACAGAAAAACAGCTGAACCGAATTATTTCTGTTTTTTAAACACAGACATAAATTCACTGAATTTAAGATGTATTTGATAAGTCAAAATCTTAAATTTCATAATCTTAGTCAAACATGTAAAATTAAACTGCCATAAAACTTTCAAATGGTTCACAAAATTCAGTGATAATCTCTAAAAACAGTCACTCAAAACACAAAGCATAGATTTAGACCGAATAGATCTGCCCCACCGATCTGGAATTATTCGATATCTGGACCAACACAGATATTAAAATTACATCAGGGTTTAGTTTATATGAGGCTTTAGATTTACTATTTTTTTATATATTCCCTCAACTTGTTTTACTTTCTGGTCAACACTTTAAACAACCTTTAATTCAGATGAACTTTAACCTTTACTGTCACAAAGTCATGAGTAACGAGTTGGAACATGGCACTTCAGATTTCAAACAAGTTTCATGAATAGGTTTAAAAGTTTCTGCATCTGAAACATTTACTGTTTTATTGCACAGAGGAATTTAAGGTGATAATTGGCTTTATTTCCACATGCCAGCCTTTAAGCCACTGCACATTAATGCTGTCTGCTGTTTGCAGCATTATGTGATGCTTACACGCTTTTCTGTTTTTATCGCTCAGGGTTTGACTGGAGTCTCCATTTTAAGTGGGAGCAGTTAACAGCGGAGCAGAAAGCACGCCGGACCGACCCGACCCAGCCGATCAAGTAATGCACAGAACACATTAAATCCCGACCCAATAAAACTTTATGTCTGGCATGGAAAGGTGCTTACGCTGAGGACCAGTCAGAGCCGCCCTGACCTCAAACATTAACACGCTGAACAGCTGATCTGCTCTCGTGAAGTTTGGTTTATTTGGAAGTTTCCATTATTCATTCTGGTCTTTGAGGTTAAAACAGCTTTTTTACATCCCAGTTCTGATGTTAACGTGTTTATTACTGATGTTTTTGTGGATGGATTCCTCAGAAAATAAAGTATCTAACATCATTTCTAAGAGCAAACAGGTTTAAGCTTTGAACAACCTTTAATCTTCATTTTGTCTGTGAACTACTTTTATATTTATTTGGACATGTTGAATCCCAAGAGAAACTCTATCAGGTTTATATCGTTTATTTTCAGGCAAAGCTGTGAAAACAAAACACATTTCCTCCATTTTTGCTTTTTTGTCACTCTAAATGTTTTACATTATCAAAATTATTATAATATTGCATAAAGATAAAATACTGAGTAAATACAAAAAGCATTTTTTCATTTTTTTATTTTATTCACTAAAGGAATAAATCTATTTAATCTAATTTCGACTTAGAAAACGTTACTGAGAATATTATGTTCATTTGGAGGCTGACTTATTTTACTACTGCCTAATTTAAATTGCTTGCTAAAAAGATGTAGGATTTTTTTGTACATCAGTATTCATATTGTTTGACAATCTGATGAAGTTAGATGGTGAAACTGCTGCCCTGTGATGTGAGTGTAAATCTGTAAAAAAGGAACTAGGATCATCTCTGCTGGCAGAAACACCAGAACAACTAAATGTTCCCCAAAACAATTCAACACCAGAGTTGGATTTAAATATCTCAACACTTCCTTGCAGGCTATTAGCAGATATGGAAGACGTTCAGCGTTGAATGTGTTGGTGAAAGGCGTTGTGGGCGTCTAACCTCAGTCTGCTGTTCCAATGTTCAAGCAGAAACTTTTAATTGGTTCTAAATGTGCGCAGTTTATGTGTGAATGTGAGCAATAATGTGTTTGTGTGGTGGAGTAAGTTGCTGTGAGGAGTTTGTGTACAAAGGAGTGCACAGCAGGGAGTCCCAGGTGCGATTCGGGGACCATGTGTGGTCCTCAAATGACACAAATCCAGCACAATCCAGATTGATTTTATTTGGACTCAAGGTAAATCTATTATGGACATTATTTTCTTCCAGTGGGAAATGTTCGGTACACCACAAAGTATACATTCATCCAGAGAGTTTTTCTGGAAAGCCGATATTTCTGCATCCAAATCGTTTTTTATCTGGTTCCTTAAACATGTTTAAATATAGAGCGTGTTTGGAAAGGAAGCGATTCAAATCTTGTTCTTTTACTATGAATATATTTGTTAAATTGAGCCATAAAATGGGAAAATGTGTTTCAAAATACAAAATCATGTTTAAGTTTTCATTCTACATTAAATAACATCTCTTTGCTACACACTAAAAAAGACTATTTTATTTTCTTAATTTTTGTTTTTGTTACTTTTGACTCAACAATTTTGACCCTCGTGACAAAATGTTTGGCCGTTCTTCAGTTATGTTATGGATTCCTAAATTATGTATAACTGTGTCATTATGGTTGGTTGTCTCTTTATTAGAAATGCAAACTGATTCACTCCCATTTCAAAAACAATATATATTTCATCAAGACCTTCAGCTTGAATTGATGGGACCTTCTGAAACCCAAACAACTGAAACTTCTTAAGACTGCAAGTCAAGAAAACAAGAATGAAGAGTGATGACTGTAGACCAGCATCATTCTGAAACAATTACAGCAAAAAATCCCATTTTCTGTGTCAGGACTGGCCAAGTGGAGCGCTGCGGCGCCGTGCTGCGGCGGCGTCGTGCTGCAGCCTGGATGACAAACGATGCATGTCTGCACCTCGGCAGTCAGCAACAGAGCCCACTCCTCCTCATTCTGACCTGTTAGTTCTGCAGTGACCGTGGCCACGACTCAGAAAACCTAATCCAATGAACAATTACACAGCTCTAATCATTAATGACTTTATTACTTAGAAGTATTTCTAAAGAAAAACAGTTTATTCCACTTTTGTCTCCTTTGTGCATTGATCCTTTTGCAGACACAGAGGCGGGAAACGTGCTAATGTGTTAATAACTCTTATGACATCTGATCAGCCGTGAAGCTCCTGACACATTTAATCCTTTCTTTACTTGGTCACAACATGCAACAGTTTCTTTATGAGTAGATAGTCTGGATATTAATTACAGGAACAGGAAATTGGCCATAATACGACACAAAATGCAGCATCAGTTGTTGAGTGATGTTTAAGTGTCATCTTCTGTGGTCCTGAGATTTAAACATGACAGATGGATGAGAGGAACCCAATGAAAGCAGTTCCTTCTTTCTTTCTTTCTTTCTTTCTTTCTTTCTTTCTTTCTTTCTTTCTTTCTTTCTTCTTTCTTTCTTTCTTTCTTTCTTTCTTTCTTTCTTTCTTTCTTTCTTTCTTTCTTTCTTTCTTCTTTCTTTCTTTCTTTTCTTTCTTTCTTTCTTTCCTTCTTGTGCTTCGGTGTGTCAGGACGCCGATCATCGCAGGCGGGCTCTTTGTGATTGACAGATCCTGGTTCAATCATCTGGGGAAGTACGACACGGCCATGGACATCTGGGGCGGGGAAAACTTTGGTGAGGATGAAAACACACACATCTGTCTGACACCTGAGACGCTCAAAGAACAAACTGCTGAGTTTTATTGTGATCATATCTGACAAACCAACGTAGAGTAAGAAATAGGATGTAAAGAGTGCACAGTCTTTGTCTATTTGACAAAGACAAGAAAAAGCATTTTAACTTGTTGGAGTTTTAGAACACTCTCCGTTAAGGATGCAACCAATAATAATATAGAGAGCGCTTGATGCAACACGTTTCCCTGATCGTTTCATCAACAGTGCTGCAACAGGAATGTAAATTTAATTTCAAAATTTTCAGATGAACGAGTTTCTTTGTGCTAAAATGAGAAGAGGAAACAGTTTATCCATGAAGCTTCTGGACTCGTTACTGTCAGAGTGAGGCAGGTTGAGCTGCAGAGACATTCAGACATGATTTAACTGAGCTAATAATGGTGTTTATGTCCCAACAGAAACATAATATGTCAGCAGAAATAAACAGTGACAACAAGAGACCAAATCCAATCAAATTTGTTTAAATGGCAAATTAGAGAACAACAGGCGTTAGCGAAACAAAAACAACAACTAATAATTACAGCATAAAACAAAATACAAACAGATTCATTTGTGCAGAAACAAATGAATCCCTCACTCTGTATTAAAAGCCAGTGAGTAGAGATGTGTTGATATTAGCATTCAGGTTTTTTACTGGTCTTCCTGGACTTTGTGGTCATTTCATCCGACACTGCAGGCCTCAGGCTTCCTGTCTGACAACCAAACTATTTCAAATCTAATAGAAATGTCTCTGAAGAAGCAGAATAATTATATTTATGGAATAATTAAGTTTCCCTCTTTTTAATGAGTCATGTGATGTGAGCAGAGTGAATTATAGTGATTGAGTTTAGAAAGCAGGAGTCGTCCGGTATCAGATGGATGAAGGTGAACTTTCCTCTGGGCTCAGAAAAGTCCAGCGTTGACATTCCTCCAGCAGAACATCTGGCTCTCCTCCTGCTACCTGCCTGCAGTGTGTGTGTGTGTGTGTGTGTGTGTGTGTGCGTGCGTGCGTGCGTGCGTGTGTGTGTGTGTGTGTGTGTGTGTGTGCGTGCGTGCGTGTGTGTGTGTGCGTGCGTGCGTGCGTGTGTGCGTGTGTGTGTGTGTGTGTGTGTGTGTGCTCTGGCTGCTCTGCTGCTGCTCTCCTCAGATCAGTGAAACACTATTAGCCTGTTTTCCTCCCTCCCTGGCACACACACTCATTTGCTGTGTGTCATGTCTCTGTCAGTCTCTCCGGCTCCGTGTCGGTTATCTCCTCATCTCGCTGACTCTTCTTCTTCTCCTTTGTTCCGTCTGCTGTTTCATCTCTTCTTCCATCCCTGCCTCCGACTCATCAAACTCGGCCTGTGCTCTAATTTCCACTTCCTCTGCAGCTCTTCTTCTGCTCTTATTGTCAAACTTTCTGAACTCTGGACTTTTTCCTTTTGTAGTGGAGAAACTTTCTTTTCTCTGCCGGCCTAAACTCACCGACAGTTAAGTTACAAGTCAATATAGACAAAAATCCCCCAAAACAAGTGAGCTTTACCTTTTGCATGTGCCATTGGATTCAGAAACACATCTAGTTTAAAGGTGGTATTATGATCCAGATATTTCTATAAATGGGAGGGAAGTGTTTATAAATTGACAAATTTAGATTTGACTTTGGATTCTTTAGTTTAGTAAACTTTCAGTATATTTGTGAATCTCTTACTATTTATTTAAGCAATTCTCTTTTTTTTAAAATAGTTTACATTGACTAACTGGTCACAGGAAAACTAGTTTTAAAACCTCATGAATTAAATAAAAGTGCCTGAGAGATTCATGTCATTGTCAGATTCGTCCTAAATATGATTTTGAAAATCTTTTTAATGCAAATGATCATGAATATTTGTCACTTTAAGATCACGTGCTAACTGCACCAGAACTGCTTTTAATAAAACTTCCTTTTCTTTTGGAAGTTCGCCAAATGAGATTATAAATTGTACTAGTTATAAAATGTTTGCACATTTGGGGAAAAAAGGCTGTTAAATAAGCAGAGCTGCATAAATTATTGATGAAAGCTATAAATGGTTTATTGAACTGTCTGTAGGTTTGTAGTTTGATTGGTTTGCTTGGTTTTAGTGAATTGAATAATGAATTATTGGACATGTAATAAATTATTAGACTGGCTTATCACCAATATAAACCGTTGAGTCATGAGACTGCAGGTGGAAATGGTTCCAGCATCTCTGCTTTTAAAAGGTTACTGAAATGTTGTGCCTTTATTTATTTACTTAGATTAAATAGCGAACATTCTAATAAAGTTTGCGTGTGTGTGCGTGTGTGTGTGCGTTTGTGTGTGCGTGTGTGTGTGTGTGTGTGTGTGTGTGTGTGTGCGTTTGTGTGTGCGTGTGTGTGTGTGTGCGTTTGTGTGTGTGTGCGTGTGTGTGTGTGTGTGCGTGTGTGTGTGCGTTTGTGTGTGTGCGTGTGTGTGTGTGCGTTTGTGTGTGCGTGTGTGTGTGTGTGTGTGTGTGTGCGTTTGTGTGTGCGTGTGCGTGTGTGTGTGCGTGTGTGCGTGCGTGCGTGTGTGTGTGTGTGTGTGTGTGTGTGTGCGTTTGTGTGTGTGTGTGTGTGTGCGTGGGTGTGTGTGTGTGTGTGTGTGTGTCTGTGCGTGTGTGTGTGCGTGCGTGTGTGTGTGTGTGTGTGTGTGTGTGTGTATGTGTGTGTGTGCGTGCGTTTGTGTGTGTGTGTGTGCGTTTGTGTGTGTGTGTGTGTGTGCGTTTGTGTGTGCGTGTGTGTGTGTGTGGGTTTGTGTGTGCGTGTGTGTGTGTGTGTGTGTGTGTGTGTGTGTGTGTGTGTGTGTGGGTGTGTGTGTATGTGTGTGTGTGTGTGCAGAGATCTCGTTCCGGGTCTGGCAGTGTGGTGGCAGTCTGGAGATCCTGCCCTGCAGCAGAGTGGGTCACGTCTTCAGGAAGAAACACCCGTACGTGTTCCCTGAAGGCAACGCCAACACCTACATCAAGTAAGACTTTTACCGTCACAGTTTGACCACAAACGTGTCTCTGCTGTCACAACAACAAGGTCTAAATCCAGTTGTTGGTGTTTATTTATGTAATATTAAACCAAATGGAAAAGTCAAATATTAGCCCTGTATGATCAGAAGAGACAAAGATCAACCTACTGGAGATTTTTACTGAGGATGTTGTATCAGACACGGTGGAGGTAGAGTCATGCTGTGGTGATTAAACCCCTAAAATCTATGAATAGAAGAAAAAAGAGGAACAAATATGAGAGCTTAGACACAAACATTATAATCTAAAGAACTGAAATAACTTGATTTTTGTTTCTTGTCGCATCGTTTATGGACTAGAACTGGACACCCGGCTGAGACAGCAGAGGTGCAGAACCTAGAGTTTCCCTGTGCGCGTGCGCAGCCGCCGCGCCGCGCAGCCGCCGCGCCGCCTGCGCTCGCGCCGTTGTTAAGGTGGATTTACAGCTTCCCGGGAGCCTTTGAGCTGCCACTACGATATTATCCCATTAGCATAAGCTGTTTTCTTTCTGCAAACGGAGACATGTTTACAGGCAGGCCAGTAATCCATTAACATGCTCAGAACACGTGAATTGATCTGGTATTAACCGATCAATCAAGGCTGTAAGCAGATTATGTTGCCTTCAAATGATAGAATCAGGTCAAAATTGATAAGGATTCAAAGGAAATAAAACGCTGATCATTAAAATTAATTGGTTGTTTTTTAAAAAGTGCAAGTCACTATTACTGGCCTGAGCCAATGGCTGCTGGTAAACGTGACAAACTGGGAGACGTGAGGAAGAGCAACAGCTTAATTGCGACACTCCATCACTGCATTACTCGTGGGATCCACTAAACGCCGCGGACCGATGATTTATCTCAAAGATTATTCCTTCAGCTGTTCGCTCACTCATTAACCTCTGTCTGTAAGCAAAGCATTAAAGCTGCAAGGTGTGGGAGTTGAGTTGGCGGCGCGGTTTAATTGGCGGCGGCAGGCTGGAGGTTCGGCTCTCTGGCTGCCGAACGGCCCTTCAGAGCCGGGCCGGTCCAAACCGCCCATTAAAGCTTATTGTTTTGTGTCAACTGCCTATTTCACAGCAACACTGAGATGCTTTTTTCTCTCGCTCTAGTTGTTCATTTTTGCTCCCCGTCGGTTGTTACCGAGGCAACATCTGTTCTCCGAGGAGGATGATGACTTCCGTCCTCATCCAGACGACCTGATGTTTGCGCCTCTGCAACAGAGCCGCCGCTTAATTAGCAGGAAGCTCCTCTGTTGGCAGACAGGATTATGAATTATGCTCCACCAAAAATTGCTGCTTGATAACTCGATTACAAAGATTATGCTGCTTCCTTCATTGTGCTTCGTGTGAACGCGCGCGCGCCTGCAGACGCTCATTTACAGCCGTCGCGCGACACGCATTTATGTTTCTACGCCCACAAGCATCACGTCCCCTCTCTGTTCCGCGTTCATTAAGGCGCCGCGGCCGGCGCCTGTAACGCTCATAATGGAGGGTTTCCGTCAATTCAATGAGATCGCTCACAGCTCAGAGAAACTCTGCTAATAGCTAATTACAATAGAGACGCACTGAGAGGGAAGGAGAACGAGACAAAAGGGGAAAATGGGATGAGAGGCAGAGAAAATCACTGTTGCAGCAGTGGGTGAGTAAAGTGCAGCGGGATGAATAGAAATGAGCTGATGGGACACAGACAGAGATATGATTAAAGGATGATATAAACATGTGTCACTGAAAATATGAAAACAAAAGAAAATTCTGACTTGAATCTCAGAAATCTGATTTTTTATTCTCAAGAGTTCTGATTTTTTTATTTTTTTACTCTAATCTTAGAATCCTGACTTTAATCTCACAATCCTGACTTTAATCCAGTACTATAACAAGGACGAAACACTTATGGGATCATTTTTATTTGCTAACAAAAGAATGTTTTGTTATTTGAATTTTGACATAGTATTAGAATTCATCAGTTATTTGTTTTCTTCAGTTGTTTTCTTCAACCCTCCTCTGTATGACAACATGCCAGAGAAGTAAAGCGTTAGCTCAGACATGTGTAGCCGCAGTGATCCATCATCCAGATCTCATCGGCGGTGGGCCGGGTTTCCTCTGCAGCAGCCGCATTTAAACGCAGCAGGTGACCCGGCCGAGCCTCCTGATGTCTGTCTTTATTTGTTTTCTCTGTCCTTCCTCCTGCAGCCTCTTCTTCATTCACACCAGCAGGATCAGAATCAGAAGCTACTCACAGAATGCTGATGAGAGAAAGTCCTGTTTGCACAGAAAAACACTGAACAAAGTCTTCTGTCTGCACAAAACAAATACATGGAAACCACTTGGATTTTCTACTTTGATGTGGTTCTGTGGAGAATTTAGTATCTTATTTTCAGTATACACCGGTCTGAGGGAACGTTCCGATAAATATTTATTAACAAATGTTTATGTATCAATAATCTCTTTTTTTATTTGTTTGTGGGGAAAAGTACAAAGGAATCACCTTAACTCTATTTTGTGAGTTCAGCCAATCAGCAGCAGGGAAAATAAGTGGGACAACAGGATTGGTTGCTGAGTGAACAGCAGCCAATAGCAGGTCAGGTAGCATTTTGCTTCTGTATCCTGGCTTCTTCCTAAGCTGCATTTTCTTTTGAATATTTTATAAATGCTCTACGACAAAAATCCACAAATAAGTTGAAGAATTGTTCCACCGAAAAATCCATGAAGAAATGAATCCGTAAATCCTGGAGCATGAACAGGCGGTGTGTACTCAATTCCACTGAAGCAACAGGAATTAACATTGTTCCTCCTCAGTCATCTGCCCAGAATAATTGTGTTTTCCTGCTTCGGTGTGTTTCTGTGTGTGGAAACAGGAACACACGGCGCACAGCCGAGGTGTGGATGGACGACTTCAGTCTGTTTTACTACTCGGCCCGGCCGGCCGCGCGAGGGAAGTCCTATGGAGAGTAAGATCAAGAAGAACTACGCCGCATCAGTAGGGCCATTGTAGACAGAAGGAAACTTAAGCATTTCCATCAAAAAACTCCCAAATTTTGAGATTAATCTTAGAAATCTTTGAGAAAAAAAACAAAAAATTTTGAGCTCCGAAAGCAGAAAATTTGTCAGAAAAAAAACTGAAATTTTGAGATTTTTTTTCATGTTCTCCAGGAAAAACGTGAAATTTCTGAGTTCCAGAAGTCAAAAATTTGTGAGAAAGAAACTCAAAAATTTTAATATTAATCTCAAAAATATCATAGAAAATACTTTAGAAAACATTTTATAAAATTTATAACTTCCAAAAGTCTTGAAACTTTTGAAATCTTCAAATTTCCAAGATTTTTTTCAAGAAAGTTTCTGAGTTTAATCTCAAAATGTTTTTCTGGCAGAAATGAAATGCTTTTTTCTATTGACCAGATGCACCTGTTGTAAAGTGTCTTGCTTCCTCATTATGAAATGTGCAGATTCACTCAGCATAAAAAAGAGCTTAACGCTCCCAGCTGAGGTGTTAGTTGTGGTCTCAGAAGACATCAGTAGGAAACTTCTAGTCATTTAGGAATATCGTCATTAAGGCTGTTTGGGGATTTAGACTCTGGATTAATACAGTCGACAAACTAAAGGAGCATTTCTCTACGTTGTAAAAGAATATTTTCTTGAATCATTGCTGTGAACCTCATGTGTTACTTTTATATTTTAAGCTAAATGTTTCAGAACACCAGTATGGTTTAATGGATTGTGCATCAGTGGCAGGTTTGTTCTGAAATGTCAGTTTATCTGCCAGAAACATGTGAATACTGACATTTCCACATCGGTTTTTGTCTGACTCTGTGTTAGTATTTCATTATCTGTTTCGGTGTTGTTCCTCGTTATGGGTTATTTCAGCTGTTCATCTGTCAGCCTGACTGTCTGCTGCTTTGTTTTTGTCTCTTCCAGCATTCGAGGCAGAGTTGAACTTCGGAAGAAGCTCAAGTGCAAATCCTTCAAGTGGTACTTGGACAATGTGTACCCTGAGCTCAAGTGAGAATGCATGTTTTTATGTGTGTGTGTGTGTGTGTGTGTGTGTGTGTGTGTGTGTGTGTGTGTGTGTGTGTGTGTGTGTGTGTGTGTGTGTGTGTGTGTTAGCGCATGCCTCTCCAGGCTTATCTGTGCTGGAAAAGCTTCTGCTGAGCGTGCAAACTTAAAGGAAAAATTTTGAGGCTGATGCCAAAAGTGGCTTTATTACCGTCTGGATCATTGTTAGAAAAAAAGATTATTTTTATCTTTTCATACTTTATTTGCTGTTGTAGAGTTTCGCTGACTCATGATGGTAGATCATCGTATGAAAAGATGCAGCACACTGCAAAGGTTGGAGTCCAACTTTCAGACTTTATTAAGGTGGCACAAGTCTGGCGCACCAAGACTCATCAAAGCAGGCGAGCACAAGTTTAGTTCAAAAGTTACGTTTAAAAACGCATTAATCTTTGGAGTAATCAGAAACTTTGGTTAAAAAAAGCTTTGAATCATATGTAAAACGCTGCAGCATGTTGGAGTTTCTCTGATCGTCTGGATTGAGTTGTTTCTTTTTTGCACAATAATCCTGTCTGGATTATTGTCTGGAAGGATTTTTTTCATTTCAGATAGTTAGCTTGTTGTCAAATTTCAGGTATTATTTGAGTTTTTGCTGCCAATTGTTGACCAGCACCTTGTTGCGTAGGAGACGATTACACCACATCAATAAATTTAAAATAAAATGAGTTAATATAGAAATACAGTATGTTTAACACCTTATTTAATTTTGACATTATACTTTTTTTATAACTGGTACATTCTGTATTTTTTAAATCTGTATTTTTTCCATATCTTTCTGCAGTGTCAGGTTGATTATTTCATTATTTTTCTATCTTGAGTCCAGATTTCTTGCTTTTCTAATTTGCAGATCATTTATTCAATTTTTCATTTAGGTCCTCTTGTCCAAGACAGACAATAAGCACTTAAAAATACAATTATATGCAGTGAGGAACATCAGAACTATTTCTAAAAACATTTAGACAAATGACTGCTACATTCATAGAATGCTGTAAATGAAAGTCATTGGGATAATTTGAATATTTTTCTTTGTAGTGCAATAAATCACATTATGTTCTCTATAATAAAAGTTTAATAGATTTTTTATTAAACCTGTTTCCCTCAAAACCCTTTGGTATTTTGCTGCCTCCACTTTCTGTAGATTAAATACTTTTCCAACTTCAATACATTTTTAATCTCAACATGAAGGTCAGAAGCAGTTTTCCTCCATCCTTGATTAAGATAAATGAAGAGTCGCATCACATGTGACAGCAGCGTTATTATGGATGAAACATTTTAATTGGAAAACACACAAAAGACCCGAGCTCTGTATAAATCCACCTGCTTGTGCAGGTTTAAAGAAAAATAAAAGAGGAGAGTGATTTCCAACTTCTCCATCCGTCACGTCCATTTGACTTCCTGAACGTCTCATTCGCTGCCTTGGTGAGAGAAATCTCTCTCTCTCAGTCCTGATTGGCTCGGCTCCCAGGGACCCGGCTCCTCAGATTCACCACACACACGCACGCACACACACACACACACACACACACACACACACACACACACACACACACACACACACACACACACACACACACACACACACACACGCACACACGCGTACACACACACACACACACACTGTACGACTCTTTACAAAAACCTAACAGCCATGTGTTACGACCAGGCTTGGATGGCCGCCACAAAAATAAGGAGGACACAACAACCAGAATCATTTTTCAGCTCTTCAGAGGCATTTATTAACAATAACAGTCTAGGGAATAATGAGCAGCAGCCCAACATTTGGTCCCAGTTCCTGGTCCTTCCCCAGTCATTGACCCGGTTGACCTTCACAGCTCCCAACTCCCACAACGTGTCACGCGATCTGCCGGAGCCGCCTCTGGATCCAACTGGCCCTGGATTTTTGCTGGTTCTTGCCGTCCGCTCCTGGATCTTGTCGTCATGAGTGGTGCACCTTGAATACAGTCCTGATAGCCACGTAATCAGAGGCACATTCCACAATCAGGGACCTGCAAACAATTTACCGGCCACGTTGCCACACAGCTGGAACCGTCACACATCTACATACAAACCATAAAAATACACGTAAACATTGTTGCTCCATCCCGGCCTTTTTAAAGCAGCCATTTATTCACGGGAGGCTGGTGCTAATCCCCCAGAATGAAATTAACAGGCTTCCTCTCAGGGGACAACAGACGTGACCCTTAAAACGCAGAATAACCTTTAACGGGTTATTAAAAGAGAAAGATAGCAGATTGAATTAATGCAGCACAGCTTAAACTCCAGTTTATGGCATAGCTAAAACTTGAACAAGAAAGGCTGAGAAAGTTTATTAAAGAGGAAGACGACAGAAGAAACTTTTTGGACTGAGCGTAATTTTATGGCTGTTTTACCTCAGCTGTTTATGGAAAAGTATAAAAAACTTTTGGCTTAAATAAAATGTAGGATAAGTATCATAAATCATATTTGGTCCGAGCATTTTATCTATTCTTACAGCTGACAGTTAACAGCTTTATGGACAGTAGATACTGAAGCAGATGTTTTTAGTCAGACCTGTGAAGTAATCGATGTGACTGAAGATAAACAGGGATAAGTTTCTCTGGCTCTCACTGAAACATTCGTCCTCTAGTCCTGGAAATGGTCTTCAGGCGTTTCTAGTTGTTTTTTGGTTCCTCCGTTTCCCAGCCTTCTCTCTTAACGTCTGCTCGTCTTCAGGGTCCCAGACGATTCGGACTCCCAGTCAGGTGTGATCCGACAGCGGCAGAACTGCCTGGAGTCCCGGCGGGTCGAGGGCCAGGAGATGCCCGTCCTCACACTGGGCCCCTGCGCAGCAGCAGAGGGGGGCCCCACCAGCAGTCAGGCAAGCCTGTCAGCATTTACCAGCAGAAAATGCACAGACATACCAGGATACACAATGTGTTTATGTTTCCATATTCCTGGCCTGGAAAAGGTAAATATAGCACATATTTAGGTCTTTTTCTTTCCATACAGTGGCATTAACGTGTTTTCACATTATCATTTGTCCAAACTAATATCAGTCAAAGCCAGCGTTCATCCAGCAGGCGAATGTTTCCCGAATCCATATATTTTATGGCACTTTTATCGGCCCAATTCTGATCTTTTCATTCCTAAAATAATCAGATTTTACTAAATTAGATCCGATACTTTTCAAAGCACCTGCATTCAAAATGATCGTTGGTATTATATTTCTCTCTTACATCATTGAAGTTAAATGTGACATCATTCTGCGTCAGAAGCAGCCGATGCTCCACTGAAGTTGTGCTCTCTTTTGTCTTTGCTTCCTTCATCTTTTTATGATGTCATGACCAAATATTCTCCACACAAAAGCAGATATTGTTCTTGTAAGTGTTGTTTTTCAGCCTGCTGACTGGAAGTGTGCAGCAGCAGGTTGCGTAGAAGTAGAGCTGAGCTGCTGTTTGCTTCATCCGCCTGCAGATAATTCCAGTTATTCTGTCATTTTCTCTGGAATCTCATTCAAATGATTTGAAACTCTTGGCAGAAAATTGGAGAGGTTTTGCCTTTATATTTCACAGTAACAAAAAAATTTCTTATCCCACAAATATTAAAATCCTGCTGAAAGAAAGTTCCTTGTTATGCATTCTGGAATATGCATAACATGTTTCCATGTTGTTGTTTATGTATAGCCAGTTTCTATTAAATATGACAACATTTAGAAGTCATATTGTGTAAATGTAAATGTTTGTAAACATCAGACATGCAAATTATGAAGCTGAGAAAATCTCAAGACGTTTAGTTTGTGCAGAACAGAAAACAGATGATGTTTCAGTTTTTGCAGACCGGTTTCTTTCTGACTTTGTTTTGCTGGACGTCTCTGACCGTGTTCATTTTTCACTAACCAAGCACAGCAAAAAGCCTCTGTGCGTGTGTGTGTGTGTGTGTGTGTGCGTGCGTGCGTGCGTGCCTGCGTGCGTGTGTGTGTGTGTGTGTGTTCTCCATCCTCTCAGCTATAATTAATACCCATAGGATTCTCATTATTCCATGTTTAGAGCGATCGTGGAGCCTGTGATTCACGCTAACAAGTGGGCTTGCAGAAAGCCAACATGTCAGCAGCTGAAAAACCTAAAGGCTGGAGAAAACAGCCTCTGACTTGAAGGTGGCTGGATAAAGTCCCACAGCTTCCAGTTAAAGTGAGAATGAAAAGCTGTCTCTGATCCAGAGGAGTAAAAAGAGAAACTGGAACCTGTTCGGTTCGTTCACGTCAGGCCTGAGATGCCAGGCCGGATCTGAACGTCAAGAATTAGATTTAACTTTAGTTTAAAGGGTAAAACAGAAAGAATCTCCCAGGGTTGGAGGGAAATTGGAGGTGTTTTCATTGTAAATGTGAATTACTTTTTCATTATTCTCTTTATACTCAAATGTTGCCAGAGAAATTACGACAAATCAACTTTTATCTGACACAATTTTCTCTCTTTTTTTTGCAACCTGGATATAAAAACATCTTTTATACCGTCTTTATTGTAAATTTATGCCACAACACTGCAGGATAGTTAACCCTGCTCACATAGGATCTAATGTATTAATACTTTATATTTTCCTCATCAGGAATCAGCAATGAGGACAAAACAACAACATAGCAGGAAAAATCATTATTAAGAAGCAACACTGTGTAAAACAACGTTACTCAAAAAACAGAATCACAATTTGGAACAATTCTCTAGTAACTACTTGTTTCAAAAGAAAAATAACCTTCCCTTCTTTTCTTAAAAACTTTAAAAGTATTTTGGTATAACTGTTAAAGTTTCTTTTAGTGACATAAAGTCATTCTGATCGGAGAACCAACAAGGATAAAAGCATGTTGTCTGTCAGTGACTGGATTTATTCATATTTGCCAATTAGATTGAAGCTTAAAATTTTTAAGCAACTGAATATTGTAACAGTAGCTCAGCATGTTGGACACACCAACATTTTTAATTGGCCCTGCAAATCATGTCTGCAGGGCTCACGGCAAAGTCAGCACATTTTGGCCATTTATTTAAAAATAGTCACTTTATAGACATTTACAACCTCAACAATCAGCTTTTTCTGCTTGTTTATTAGTTTTGAATGTCATATTATCAGCGTTTAAGTGTTATGTTTTGTTTTAAGAGTTAGAAATTCAGTTGCAGTTGTAGAAATAAACATCTACCAAATCTTTCAAATCCAAACTGGCAGTAAAGTTACTGATATTACCATCTGCATGTAAGCAAAGCTACTTTACTTAGTGTAATATTTCTACCTTTTTGTCAGAACTTTGTTGTTTCTGCGGCTTTCAGTCTATTTTTCCTTGTGATGTATTTGGTGTAAAGATGTTAAGTTTGTACCTGGGTAAAAGTCTTTGAGGCAGAGCCTGTAATCACCCTGCAGATGAGAATGCGTGCTGCGTCAGTCATCTGTGACACAAATCAATCACACAGCTGCATTACCCAGAGGTGAACAGCTGTATTATAGATGGTAGGAATCCATCTCACTGAGCCACAGCTATGATTGTGAACATTAGTAATGTAATTACCTCTGAGGCTGTGAACGTGTGCATGAAAAGCAGGCGGATTGGCCAGCTTTTCTCAGGTGTCTCTTATTTTGAGCCTCTCTGCTTCCTGATTTTAACCCTTTATTTATTGTTAATTTTTGAATGAAGACAAAGGGAAAATCGATGGGGAGTCAGTCATAAATGGACATAAGTTAATGCAGAATGTTGGAATATCAATGTTGCATTTTACTTTTGATTTAAAAACTTTTAGACATACAGAAACCAGGATGTTTGCACATCCTAAAAAAAATCTGAAATTCCTTAATCCAAAATTAATATTCAAGTTGGTCTTCAATAAGTTAATCAAAGCTCTCAGATGCTCCTTTGGCATGACTTTAATCTCGTGTAGTTTAGTTTTCTTGTGGGATTTTTCTGTCAGGCAAAAGAATGAAAAATCTTTATTACGTTCTTTGACTCGGTTTCCTCATCTGCCTCCAGTTCAGTAGCTAGTTAGCTAACTAGCTTGTTTGAGTCGTATCACTGGTGACCGGAAATTATCTGCTGTACAACGTTCGTCTTGCCAGTGGTTCATATCTGTTGCCAAGTTGCACAATGCTACTATTTGAAATATGCTCTTTTCTTTTGTGTATTTCTGTCTTATTGCAGGTCTCAAACTCTAATCATAGTGGTCTTAAAATGTCTTAAATTTAAGTTGGAAAAACCTGCAGAAACCCTGATATGCACACAGACAAATATATTAAAAAGAAATCTTTAGAAAACGAGGAAATAATTCAAATTTTTCTCCCTCATCACAAAAAGTGAAAATATTTCCAGCCTTTATTTCTTGTAGTTTTTTACGATTCTGGTTCAGATAAAATAGAAACACAAGTTTTTAATATGACATAAGTTAATGTATAAATAAATGTTATTTTAAGCAGAAATGTCAACCTACTGAAAAGTATATAACATTTTTGAACATACTTTTTTTCATCCACTCAACTTTCTAGTCATAATCCTGGACATGGCAGCTTCTTTACTTTTTATATCCTCCCTTCAAAAAACATTTGCACATATTTTTAATTACGCTAATAAACATTTAAGGTGTTTATGATGTCTGACCTTTGCAAAATATTCACATTTTCAGAAACACCTCAACTTTTTATTATCTATGATCCAAAATCTTTTAAATTATTAGAAATATTTTATTCAATGTGATGAAAATATGTAACATATGAGTTTCACTTTCTGAAATGGAGGACAAGATATTCACCTTACAATAACAAAATATGATAACTAAGAGAATTCATACTTAAGAACTACCAAAAAGTGCCCAGTCAGCAGTTTTTCATTCCAGCGTGAGCGCTGAGGTTGTCGGTTTGGTTGTGTTGGGACTGAATCTTAAAAGTGCAAAGACACGCAGTAACTGAGCGGCGGGTGGCTCCAGCTGTGAGATAATGTATTGAACTGGAGCACCAATTAACCTCTGATGTCATTCCATTTGCAGCAGATCGACAAATCAGTCTCTGTGAAATAAAGCCTGCAGCGTTCAGATGTTCTTCAGAAAACAATTTACCTCAAACAGTCGGCTGCAAAGACCTCCACTTCTCCTTTCAACCATTCTCAATACTAAATACTTCCAGAACTTGTACAGGAAAACACAAAGTTAGCAAAACTTGAGAAATCCATGGGATTACATGTAAAAGGTTTTGCTAGCCGGCGATAGCGCCAAGATCTTCAAGTCAAACTTTCATTATTCAGACATTCAGACGGCCAGGCAGCCTGATGGTCACACTTCTGCTAATCCACTGATAGCAATAGTTTTCATTTAGAGCCTGAGCATTTTTGCTAACATTAAAAGTGTTCAGCACAAAGTGCTAATTTAATTAGCTGTTTTATAAGCTTTCAGTTGAACAAAGTTTGATTTCTCTGTTGAAGTTCTGATTTTTGACTGCTAAGACTTTTTTAAGTAAATGTTCAGGTAAAAACTGCCCACTGTTAAAGGACTGCAGCAAAGAACATGGCAAAAACATCAAATCCTACAAAGTATTTCTGAACTAGTTCATGCAAATATCTTAGTTCACTTAGTGTAGTGCTCTATGATACTGGAAAGTAGATAAAAAAACTCTCTAGATTTTGTGTTTTTATGGAAATCCTATCTTTGAGTCACAGATTCTTCATGTGAAACCAGGGAGGGACGAGGGACTGATCCAGAGGAAGCTGGAATACTGTTACTATCTCCAAACCACAGTTTAAAGTGGCAGTTCAGTTCAGTACTAAATTGTTAGTTTACTGGCAGTGTAAGAGTTAAAATGTGCAGAAGGCTTATAAACACACTATGGCTGCACACATTGATTAATAACTGGAATATGTTTTGTTCCTGCAGGAGTGGGTGTACACTCACGGGCAGCAGATCCGTCAGCAGCAGCACTGCCTGTCGCTGTCGACCACCTTCCCTGCATCGCAGGTCCTCATGCTGCCCTGCAACATGGCGGACGGGAAGCAGGTCTGAACACAGGCACACACACACACACACACACACACACCCACACACACACACCCACACACACACACACACACACACACACACACACACACACACACACACACACACACACACACACACACACACCCACACACACACACACACACACACACACACCAAACGCATGCATCCTCGGCTCAGACTGACAGGTGGTGTGTATTTGCATCACCGTCTTCCAAATGGCAGGTAAATAAATCAAAATGTTAATTAACCTGAAGATGAATTTATTTAAAAAATGACTGATATTCACACATGTGCAGATGCTTGGCGCGTTTCTGAGGGTGCAGCTTTGAAAACAGACACTCACGCATGTCATTACCTGACCACTGGGCACCTTGACGGCGTCCCAGAAACCCCTGCAGCAGGGAACCACCTGACAACCAATAAATCACCTGAGGAAGAAGAAGAAGAGGCAAGGGAGGGGAGACAGGAGAGGAAGGATGGAGGGAGAAAGGAGACGAGGGATGGCAGAAGATTTTCTCATTAAACCTCACCAACTGTTCCAACGTGGAAAATCTGCTCCGGTGTGTTTGTGTTCATCGCCTCCGGGTTCCTGCGACGCAAAACCAAACCAGAGGATGCATGGATCCAATCACACTCAGAAAACATGTTCATATTTCCACGTTCTGATATCTGACATGACGCACAATAAGATTCAATTGTTATTTCATCTAAAAGTTATCCAGGCAGAAAATGAGAAACAAAATGAGAACGATGGTAAAAGGGCGTAAAAAACAGAGAATCAAGATATAAAACAAAGCAGTAAAAACAAAAGAGAAAGAAAGAAGAAAAGCTCAAAAACACATAAGTAATCACACTCACAGTCAAAATATTCACTCCCCAAAAGCAAGTTTCCCCTTTCCAGCTGCTAAACTAAAGCCTGCAGACAAATCCAGGACTAAAATAAAACATATATTGCTCAACTTTTTAATAATTCACACTTTTATGCACAGTCATATCATTGTGAGAGAGAAAATAATAATCTTCTCCTATTTTATTGCCTTTCCAGTTCAGTATCACTGTAGTCGCTTCAGTCTGTCAGAATAAGATATGAGAGAATCACCTGCATTCAAAACCTGACCTGATTGGCTGATCAAACATTTACTGTCATTCAGTTCAAGACTCAACTTATTCAACTTCCTAAAACAGCAGAAAACTCAAAATCAAGCTCATTTTACACTGGAGTAAATGTTTGAACTCGTTTTTAATAAAACATTTTTTTGCATTTATTATTTAATGGATTTTTGTTACTTTTCTGTGTTGAGGTTCCATCCAGTCTGACTGAAGTTGAGGATTTTTCAAAGAAGAAAAGAAAAAAATAAAATTAAAGCCTTCTAAATTTTGAATGTCATGGTGATGATGAGACGGATTGTTGTTCTTTTTAAAGACAGTGAACGCATCGCTGTGCATAAAGAGGCTGGAAGTGTGAAAAACAAGCTGCAAATTAGGAGAGCAGGGAATTCTGCTTTGAGATGTGAAGAATTTAAAATGATTTTTGAGAGTTTATTGGAGGTTAAGACAAGAACAAACCTGCAAAACAAAATGTACAAGAGATAAAGACAAAAGATGCAGATGGAAGAGAACTGAAAAGGAAAAGAGACGTTGAATTTTACATTTGCAAAAGAAGATACAGCTTGAAGAAATGAATAAAACATGAAAATAAAGAAACAAGGAAGGAACAAAAGGAGGAAGGATGAATGTAAGGCAGAAAGAGAAGGAAGGGAAAAGAGGGAGGAAAGAATGAAATGAAGGAAAGATGGAGAGTAAGAAACAAAGGAAAAAACAAGGAAACAAGAAAGGAATTAAGACAGAGTAGGAAACAAGAATGAGTGAAGGAAGGAGAGTAGGAAACAAAGAAGGACATAGGGAAGGATGGACTGTAAGAAACAAGGAAGACAGAAAAATAGAAAAGGAGAAAAATATGAAACATTGATTATAGATACAGTTAATGAACAAAGTTAATTTCTAAACACATTTTTTCTCCCATTTTGCTTGACTTTGTTTGAAATTAGCCAGAAAGTTGAGGAGAGAAACGAATCAGCTGGAAACGTCTGCAGCGTTTTGGTTTCCGTCGTTCTGCTGGGAAATTTCCAGATGGTTTCACTACGTTAGCAAAACGAGACTCTCCGCTGAACCCTGGAGACGGAGGACGTTGGGGAGACCGGGGGCTGATGTTTGGGTCTGCATGCATGGAGACACGCAGGCAGCTGCAACACACCTGCCTGCAGGAGGCGCTGCTGCGGCGTCACGGTTACACACAAACACAGCATCTGGGTTTGTTTTAGCCGTTTCTGTGTGTACTGCAGGCGCGCCGCTGGAGCGCTTCTCTGTCATGTAAATGAAACGTGTAAACCTTTGTGCTGACACACTGTGTGTGTGTGTGTGTGTGTGTGTGTGTGTGTGTGTGTGTGTGTGTGTGTGTGTGTGTGTGTGTGTGTGTGTGTGTGTGTGTGTGTCAGAAGGCAGGAAGTAGAGCGATGATGGCTAATTAGAACGACGATCCGGCAGAGAAACAACCCAGAGCTGACAGGTGGAGACTGAGGGAAGGAAAAAATGCAGAGAGAAGCAAAAAAACAGAGGGAGAGAAATAAAAAAACACATAAAGACAGAACTAAGCAAAGAAGAGAAAACTGGAATCATTTTAAAACTGAATTTCCAAAGTATTCTGCAAAAAATCTCACATAAATGAAGCAGCAGCACTTAGTGTCACATTCATCTTTAGTAAATTACATGTCTGCCTGTAAACACATTGCTACGCTTAATGGTAGCACAGGTTGCGTCTAAAAATGTCTCATAAATAGAATGAAAGATGCAAAAAGGAAGAATATTTTAGCACATTAATAAACCTGCAGCTAACAAATCACAACGGCTGTGGAAATATCAGAACGGGAGGCGAGCAGAAGTAGTTTCCACTCTTAACGCTACAGAGAAATCACATGAAAGAGATACAAGACCTGAAAAAATACATTCTACAAAACTTAAACACAAACATGTACAAAAAAGATCTGGAATATTAATTATTTGTTCCAGACTTCTCAGAAACATTGCGTGATGTTTTTGCACCAAACAATCTAAACAGCTTTGAGAAAAAAATGTTTCTGTCAAAATGACAAAAAGAACCAGGCTGACAGATTTTTTTTAAATTGCAGGAAAAACATGAGAGAGATTAAAGTCTTGATGTTAGCAGAATACAGAATAAATATGAGGAATAAAGTCATTTCATTGAGAAGAAAAGAGCCTCTGACAGAAAAACATTTTATCAGTTTACTTAGAGATTGGCAGAGGCTTTAGATCAGGTCAAAGGTCAATGATTCTAAGTCCACATCGCAAAATCTTTCTTTTATAAATATGTTATTTTACATATTTTTCAAAATTGTCACCATGTTGTGACAGTAAAATAAGAGACATCATTTGTGAAAAGGTCGATCCTCCACCCACGTAGAGAGTGATTGACAGCACTAAGACCCGCCTCTTGGCTCTGATTGGTTGGTTCTGGTTGGCACTAGAAAGCTGAGCAGCTCCATATTTTCACAGGTTATCAAACATTCAGAGCGACGGTTTCAACAAATGTGTCAAAAAATATCTAAAAGTTACCTACTGCAACTTTGAGGAAATTGTAGAGCTTTGTTTACTTTTCAAAGGATTTTTAATATTTTTTTATTATGAATGTAATTTTGTTTAATCCCAGTAAGAAAAGCTACAGTGAAATCTTAATGAGAAAATATATCAGAATCACTTTCAATTCAAACCTTCCTGCAGGATAAGAGTTAAAGTTTTTGTTTTGAAATTATCCAAAATGTTGCTTTTGTAGTCTGAAATGAAAACGCTCTGGTAGGAGAGCTGAATAGTGAAGTGAGCAGAAGCCTCCCAGGAGGAAGTGTCAGGCCTGTGATGACCCGAGGATGATGAGATGCGCTCTCAGCTCCCAGCGGTCGTCTGGAAAAGGAACAAAGTGGCCTGAACTTTACCAGAGCTGCTCTGGCTGGCACAAAGACGGAGTGATGCAACGTGTTCCTCTCATATTTGATGTCAGCTCTGCTGCAGCAGCTGGTAATGAGATGAATACTAATTGATTTACTTTTAATTATCCCTCCCTCTTTTTTCTTTCAATTACAACCCAGCGGCCCGTCGCTGTGCTGCGGCTCGTCGCTGTGCTGCGGCGAGCGCCTCGTCCTGCCAGAGTTACTGCAGAGCTGCAGTTATTTCGCAGGACAAAGCTTGCATGTGTGGGATTAGGACCCCACAATGCTGAACCAATCAGAACATGTTCATGCTCCACATCCTGACAAAATCTGAAACTTAAGAACAGCATGGATGTGATTTATATTTTGTGCTTTAATATTCAAATTTTGACCCTTCATCAATTCTCCAGTCTAAATGGCTCTCAGTCTGTTACCCAGCTGTAGAATAATGATATAAATAATATAATATACTGCATTATTACTACTTACACCTCCACTGACCTCAAAATCTAAAATTTTAATTTCATTCAGTACCATCTCAGCTTCAAACAGAACAACTCGTGTCATTTATTTTACGGTGATACTTTCTGTTTTCTCCCTCATTAAGCAATGCAAAATAATGATACTTTAGTGTAAAATAATTTTCCCCCTAAGCATAAACAATATTTCAAGAGAAGAGATGGAGGGCCGGTTTAGAAGACACCTCCATCTAGTGGCCTTTAAGAGGAATTACACATAGATATTTACCTAAATTCACCAAAGTCTTGCCAACATTTGAGATTATAAACTGAAAAATATTTAAATGACAGTTCAACTTTAGCAAGATAGTTACAGAATCAGGGCCTAATAATTGTGAAAGTAAAACCTTTTCTACACAATATGAAGGGAAGTCAACAGCTGTGGGGCCATAAGGATTTTCAAGATAATAGTTTTGTGCTTATTTTTTTTTCTATCGCTTTTTTTCCTCTATGTTGCCAAATTACATTGTTGTGAAAACATTATTTGATTTCAAGAAGTTCTCATTAAATACAGAGACAGATAGTTATTATTATTTTAAGTCTATTAATCAGTTTTTGTAGTTTTTCTCTGGGTTCTCTGGATTCCTCCCACAGTCCAAAACAAAATGGTTAGCTCAGATCATGAGAAACATTTGATCAATATCAACATATTGATACGTCAGACTATTCAAACATTTCACTGAACTATGACCCAGAACTGCACAGCATTCTGGGAGATGTAGGCAGAGGAAATACTCAACCTCTCATGACTGCTTGCTAAGCATCAACTAACTCTTTGGTTACCTAGCAATGACCTGTTGAGTAACTGGCGCAGCAGCAGTTTCCTGTTTGTCCACCGTGTCTCATAACTGCTTGAAAATAAAAAGGGAAAGACCACGTCATCAGTTTGGTAGCATTTCAGATATTTAAAACAAAAAAACCCTAATAAATAGTTATTTATAATGACTGATATGAAACTCTTGTAATGGATTTTTTATGATAATTTATCATGAAATGAACAAGAACTCTTCTGATGTTTGTTGTTGTGTCTCTGTGATGGACAGCTGGCCTGTCCAGAGCGTCTCCCGCCTCTCACCCACTGACTGCTGCAGGACAGACATATTTATTGATTTATTACTCTATATTTTTCCTGAGCAGTTACTATAAGTTACCTATACTTGTATATGGAACCGTTGTAAATGGTGTCTATGTTGCACTCTTGGGTGAGCAGCTGTGAAACATTTTCTTTGTTTATATGCTAAATTCGGTGACAGAACCTTTGTCATAGTCAGAAACGTATTTCTCTGCAAACGGCTGCATCGTCTCAGATTCGCTCTGCAGAGCGTGACTGAAGACCTTTTCAGAAACGTCTCGGGCGAATGCAACTTTCTGGATTAAAAACATCCTCTTTCAAATGCAGCACAGTGTCTGAGCGAGCAGCAAGAAGGTTGAAGAAAGCCAAAAAGAATCAGATATTAGCATAAAACTTTGTGTTTCTTGTTCCTGTCCTGCAGCGATGGCAGAAATCAGGGACCCACCTGGAGCACATCGTGTCTCGATTCTGCCTGGACTCGGAGATGGCTCTGGACGGCATGGACTCGTCCCGCATGCTGGTCATCAGCCCCTGCGAACTGAGCGCCTACACACAGAGATGGGAAGTTCCCTTCTCCTGACCTCGTGACCCTGGGCCTCCAGAAACCTGCTTTATCACTCTGACTCTCCACCGGCGAGAGCTTTGGCCCAGCGCTCCACTTCCACTGACCGGAGCGGCGGGAGCGACGTCAGCACCGAGCCGAAGATTACCGCACAGAAACATGATGAAGACGAAGGGCTGAAGCAACAGAGGATCAGAAGGATGCATGGGTCAAATTAAAGAGTTTGAAACTAAGTGCACCTTAAAACTGTCAAAGCTGGGCAGAAACTTTTCACAATGAGGGAAAAAAAATAACGTCTGGTTATTATTTACAACAAACACGTTTCTTCTTCAAGCTGTTTAATCATCAGAAAGATGAATAGTAAGCACAAGTCATGTTTACCACATAACTCATCATCATTAACAGTGCAGATGTGTTTCCTGTTGCATTCAGCAGGAACGATTAAGACCTCGTCAAAATAAAAGCCATTCAGGCCGGGGGATAAGTATTCCAACATTTAATCTAAGTTTGAGATTTTTTACATAAAGTATTTTCAAAAGCATTTTTCTGCAAAAACCTTAAACCCAAAACTATAAAAATTAGAACAAATTAGCATTTTATTGTTGCTTCATCACTTCCTGTTTTGCCAGCACTTTAAAATAAACTGGCTTGTTTTTTGCCATGTTTTCTAGATTTTTTTGGTACAGATCAAACATTTCAGGTTAGCTGGAGATTATCTTGAAAAGAACACAAAGCTCTGAAGTATTTCTGCATCATTGTGTATTAATGTCGGTTTGCAAGGTGCTGGCTTTTGAAGAAGTTCTCATTAAAACATCAGTCAAAATACATATTTTCACTTATCTAACCAAATAATATTTTGTTTTACTGCCTGAAAGCTTTACATGACCTAATCTTCATGATGTTTCTTCATTGTGTGCAACTTGTTTCATTCTTCACATTATCAGCACATCCTCTGCAGAGATGTTTCCTCTCATGTAGCGACAGAATCCCAAACAAAGGCTACATTTTATTTCTAGTCAAATTAACAGCAAACAGATTATTGCTGATGAAATTCAAACCTTCAATCCTGGTGTCATGTGATGATGATTCCTGTTTTTGTTATCCTGAGGATCTAAACAGATAAAGTTACTGCTGATCTACAGGCTCCTCCACTTCCCTCACTTTTTTTCTCACTTCATCTGCAGCTGCATCATCTTGATATCCTCACTGATTCCTGAATAAAGTTTTATAATTCCTCTTTCTATTTTTGTTAAATGACTGTGCTGTATGTGTAAACTGTGAGCTCCAGTGTGTTTTTCAGCATCCTCACCTGGAACCTATCAGTCCATCACAAGGTCTGTAACTTTTAACTCAAGATTTATTGCTCCCTTTTTCCCTGGGCTATAAATTTTACACAACATTTGTCTTCAAAAGGCCAGATGAGGCTGATCTTCAAATTTCAAAAATGTCTACAAGAAAATAATGACTCAGCTAAACCATGTATGTTTGAATCAATCCTATAAAAGATATTTATGTCCTACCATCACAAGTATAAATGTGAAGAGTTGCTGAGACTTTAGGTGGAGCCAGAAGGAAAGCACTATCATGATGGTGAAGTATGGTGGTGGCTCTAGAGTACTGTGGGACATTTTCTCTTCTAAAAATCTTGGGAACCTTTTAGATGGAATGGCATCACTGACTCTTTCAGATACTGTGATATTTTGAATAAATAAATATATATGAAAATGGGTCATCACTGGATCCTTCAGCAGAATAAAGATCCAAACCATCAACCTTCTTCCATTCTAATCACAAAGAGAATTTATTATTTAAAGAGACAGTCAATAGTTAAAGATTAAGCGCTGCATCTCTTGGCAAAAAGGGAAGTGTTCATGTGAAAACTTCATATAATTACAGCTGATTCTTCCCCCTCAAATATGCACAAATTATCCATATCAATTTTAAAAATAATAATTCAGTCATGTTATTGCCAGAGGTGGCAGTATGTCTGGTGGCTGCCTTTTCCAAAAACAAGCTCATGTCTGCATTTCTAGCAGGATCACTTTAACGGGAGAACCAGCAAAGGAGAAACTGCTTCCCTGCAGACTGAAGCGGAGTGTCTGTTCAGATCCCCCTCTGGTTCAGCCCACCGGTCCGTTTCATCCGCTCAGGGAATCACTAACCCGAACCCGGCTGACCCACTTTGGATTTTAAAGACATTAAACAGCAGAAGATGTCACAGAGTGAAAGTTGACATTTAATCTTTTCAACTGCATCCCGGCTTTCCAGAGGAGAGAGTCGCCTTTACGTAAGCACAGCGACCTTTCCATTTTTCTACCTATTTCTTTGCGCAGCTGTGTTGAAATAACCTTAATGTTATCATTTCGTGTTTCTTTACAAACACCACAATAATACTGAATTTATCAACGCGTTTTGCAATTTATGGAGTCTTGACATTTCAAGCCGGTTAAATGGACTGTAATTAACTTAATTGTTTCCAGTCGGAACTGTTTTTCTCGCCGTACCGCCGGGGTTTGTAGTTCGAACCTTCAAGAATTAGAGTTGCAGACGGCAGAAATGGACTACAACTCCCAGCGTTCAGAGGACGAATATGAGCTGAAGATACGTTCGTGTACTTTTAAAAATGAAGTTTCTCGCTGTACCGCAGTTAAAAGTGTAACTTAAAAGAGATTTGGAGGATCAGAAGAATATTTTTCATTTTGGTTACATCTCCGGTTGATACGTTAAAGTGTTTCTTTTCATTTATATGTTGTTTTTTTAGGTTTTTGACACTATGTACAGTGAACGAGAACACGGGGAATTCAGGTAACTTTTTAAAGGTTTGACCTCATTGTTTTATATATGCGCAACATCTCGAAACCGTTTGGAATATTATGCGCTTTATAGCACATTCAAAGCTACATTTCATGTCTCAAATTGGAATAATAACGCACATCTCCTGTGTATTTGAAAGCATCACGTGCGTCACTTTTTAAGGACATGAACTGAGGTTTGTTTTGGTTTACGCTGGTTTAACTAAGACAGAAACGTTGACAATGTTCGTTTTGAATATTTTATCCGAATGCACTTGAGGCCCAAGGTAATAAATGGCACTTCCAGGCCCGAAAACAGGTATGCTATGCTAACGTTAGCTAGCTGTTCGTAGAAACGGAGCTTGTATTGAATGAGGCGCAAGCTAGCAAACATGTGTTAGCCTAGCTTTCGGTTGTTTTCGACACTTCAATATTGTCTGGATCAATATTGAAGTGTATTGATCAGGGATGGTTTAGAGTGAAGTCAAAATGTCATCAAATGGTTACAAATTATACGCAGTTCAATAATTTTGTAAAGATGCACCAGTTAGTCGGTGGAATCGGTATTTTGTTCCCAATATGCTGGGATTGCCATTAATACTGTAAAGTCTTGTTTGCTATTTAATTGAGAAATATCACTATTTTCATTCTATCAGCACATCAACCTCCTGTTCGTATTTTGAAACATTTTTTTTAGTTTAATAGAAATCACATGAAAAGCTTATGACATCTTCCTGTATGCTTTTATTATGGATAAACTTTTGCTGCTGATTTAAAACCTCTTCTATTCAGGAACTTTTCCCGTTTGATGTTGTAAATCCAAGAATAAAAGATCAGAATTTCAGTATTTTCATCCGTTCCCACATGTTAATCTGTTTATGAACTTTCTGTTTGATTCTGAACTCCAGACCTCCCATGTTTCTTCACCGAGTGAGCTCCTTCAGTTCCTGTGTTCGTCCCAGAGGGCACCCGGCTTTCCGCCGGGCCTCCTCCCACCACCACCCGTTCACCCCTCACCCTCATCCATGGTGGTCAGCCCCCAGATTCCCACCCTGGCCTCCTCGCCTTCCCCCACCTTACCCACCACCTTACCCACCTCCTTGTCCACTGTTCACTGGTAACAGGTTCCCCTTTGTGAATGCTGGTGGTCTGCAGTCATTCCACACCTCTGTGGATGTCATGATGGAGCGACCCGGCAGAGAACCTCCAACCAAACGATTGAAAAGTGGCCAGGACAGGAATAGTGTTGGGAAAAATGTTTCATCCAGGGATGGAGGAGCGAGGGAAACGAGGGCCAAAGCCAGGGAGAGAGAGTCAAAGCAAGTACATCATCATCGGGATTTCAGAAGAGACGGCGAACTTCCAGCGAACCACCGGTTCTCCGGAATTGGAGAAAAATCAAAAACCGGAGCTGAGAAAGTTTGCAGCAGAGAAAGAACTAAATGTGAGAGAAAAAGCAGCAGCGATAGAACAAAAAACCAGCAAGCTGCAGGATCCAGGACTGAGCAGGAGAAATCCAACATCTGGTTCCGAGGCAGGCCTGCTGAGGAGCAGTGGAGCCTTCAGCAGAACCAAACCGGGTCGGCAGAACCAGACAAGGTTGGCGGTTTTGATGCAAGGAGAGGGGCGGGGCCTCAGTACCAGCCTTCCAGTTCGATTCAAGCAGACGGACGACCTCCACAGACCGCTAAAGGTCAGTTTCCTCTTTTGATAATGGTCAAATAAACGCTGTTTAAATGTTTGTACGCCATAAAAAAATAAATGCACTGGGATTATTAAACTCATTATTCAGTGGAGCATTGGGGCCAACCTAAGTAAATAAAATTATGAAAATCGTCGTAAAATGACAAGAATGAATTTATACAAGCATAAAATCATCACATTATGACTTTGTTCTCATATTTTTTTGGCTTTATTTTGAAATGTTATGACTTTATTCTTATACAACTTTTTTCTCTGAGCCATTTTGATTCTCATGCAACTTCTTATAATATAAGTTTATTCTGGTAAAAAATTAAGACTTTTATGTTTTAATTGTGTTCACCAGTATGGCTAAGCAAAGCAATCCTGCCAGTCTGCACATTTTATCAGATGAAATTAAACCTTATTGTCTTCAGGTCTTCAGAGGTACTGGGAGACCTGCAGTACTGAACCCCAGCCACCAGGGGACAGCAGAGTCTTTGACTTCTCTGTGATGTCCTACAACATCTTGTCCCAGGATCTGCTGCAGGATAACGCCTACCTGTACCGACACTGTGACCCCGCCGTTCTGCCCTGGCCGTACCGGCTGCCCAACCTGCTGGCAGAGATCCAGCAGCACGACGCCGACGTGAGTGGACGACATTCCTTCCAAGTTTAAGAAGCTTTACCTTCTTCAATTTTAAAATCACTATAGATTAAAAAAAAAAAAAGAGTAGATAATTCAGGCCCCAGCGAGATTTGAACTCGCGACCCCTGGTTTACAAGACCAGTGCTCTAACCACTGAGCTATAGGGCCTCACCTGAGCAGAGGTGTGGATCAGGTGTAATTAAAGTTTCAGCAATGTGGACACACCTTCCACTGCAGCTGGTATGACTCCAGTTGTCTCAGTGCTCAGTGTCTGTAAATCTGGCTTTCAATGCATCACTGGATGTTATTTCACAGATGAGTACATTTCAGTCAGAAAGCGTGTAGATAACTGCTTCGGTTAGAAATAAGAGAGAAAAGTCAGAGTTTAACATCGGAAACATAAAATGTAAAGTCATTTAACATCAGGAGTCCTGTGGCTCTTTTTCCACAGTGGCTCTTTAAGAAAATGTGCAGAACCAACTATTTCTTTAAATATACATATAAAAAGTTCATGTTTTAGCAGGCTTTGTTAAATACACTACTATTTGTCTGGAGGACAGCAGAAATTGTCATGAAATTATGTTTTTCTCTGTTTTAAAACCTTTGCTATATATATAGTCAGATTTTGCTAAATATTCAGTTTTTTAACTGTGTTGATGAATTTTGTTTGATGGCCATCAGCAAATAAGAAATGTTTGTCTCTGCAGGATGGAAAAATAAACTTCTTAGGCCCCAGCGAGATTTGAACTCGCGACCCCTGGTTTACAAGACCAGTGCTCTAACCACTGAGCTATAGGGCCTCACCTGAATCAGCTGGTGGTGATGACTCATTTACACCTGTACACACAGCACAGCCACACCTGTATGTCAGTGTGTGACGTGTCGCCACTTTACTGTTTTGGACTTCAGTGGTTGAATTTTGATAAATCCAAAACGACAGTAAAGTTTCCTCCTGATAGGACAGAGAGGGTTTATTTCAGCTTCAAAAACACAATAAATAACGAGATGCATTAAAAGTTTGTTTCATAGTAAATATATTATGGAAAGAAATCTCCATTTAATCTAGGATGTTCAGATCTTATTTGTCAAGTTCAAATGCAGTGGCGCACCAAACGCAGTTTTCTGACTGCAGTTTTCTGAATATTTGAAAAGCCAATTCTGATTTTGGTTGCAGAGGTCAGTAAGAATGTGTCTAAGAATAAGAATCGTATGATGCTTCATATGATCAGATTCAGAGAAGATCAGCTTCATGTGTAAGTATCAGTATTCAAATGTTCTCCACTGTTACATAAAGCTTTTCTAAGGTACCTTACATTCTACCTACTGTAGGAGCTTCAGTTAATCAGAACAAGCAACCCAAACAATTGTAAAGTTAATACTTTCTAATCAGATCAACATAAAGCTAAAGAGTAGAAATGTGGAAATTTTGAAGTTTGGAAATTAAAAAAATCACTTGCTGGTCAAAATCTATATTCAATAATTGAAGTTTTACCAGCCTGATCCATTTGGGCCAAAACACTCAGAAGATGAATATAAACTTCTGACATGATTGGAGCAACTAACAGAAATAAATCCTAGGTTAGGAATAAACAGACATGTTTTATTGTCAGTGAGAAACGTCTGTCATGTAATTTAAATGTAACACAATGTATGTTATTGTCCAAAATCAGAGACATTTGGAATATTATTCATCTGGAGGAATTTTTGTCCTCAGATTTTATTTGGTTTATTTGTGTTTAAATCATGATAAACATCAGAAACTGATCCCAGTTTCTGTTGTACATCAGATCACAATTGTGTGAATAATTAGTTGTTTTTGAAAACATGTAAATAATCATAAATTGAAAAGTATTTCAGGCCCCAGCGAGATTTGAACTCACGACCCCTGGTTTACAAGACCAGTGCTCTAACCACTGAGCTATAGGGCCTCACCTGAGGAGAGGTGCGGACTCGGTCTAGTTAAAGTTTCAGTGCCGTGGACACACCTTCCACTGTGATGCCATAAACATCGCTGGATGTTTGATTTTGAACGTCATACCTGAGCAGCGCCTCCTGGTTTGGTACCAGACAGACCTGTTGGTTCTGTTGGCAGCTTCTTTCCTTTCTCTGTTGGACGGCTGAGGTTTAAACTTCTAAACAGGAAGTCATGAATACTGAGTGCAGCTGAAGGAGTGAAGATGTTCAAATAAATGTTGTTTTGTTTCTGTCCCAGATTCTGTGTCTTCAGGAGGTTCAGGAGGATCATTATCAGAACCAGATCAAACCAGCTCTACAGGCTTTAGGTACCAACTCCAACACATCCAACTAGTTCTGAACAATACGCAACTTATTCCAGTTTATAGAATATAGAAAGTATAATATGGTGGAAAATCATCAAAGCTTCCAGATTTTATTCTTTATCTTCTGTTGATCAAACCAAAGATGAATGTCTTATTATTATAGATCATAACTCAATATTTCAGTCAACTTTTCTGCAGCTGTAGATTTTTTTTGCTTTTCTGAGGAAATTAAATAACAGATAATGAAGGAAATAAAGTCTGGAAAAAATGAAACATTTTTCATTCCCTCATTGAGAAGATAAAAGTACGATTTCTATTTATATGTAAATAACATCCTTGAGTTTTACTTTGTCACAACTTGACTTTTTATTCACTGATTTTTGTTTTGAGTCACTGAGAGAAACAGGAAACCAAATGTTTCAGCAATAAAAGGTCATCAAAGGCTGAAGTAACCAGATCATCTCACATTAGGATTAATCTGGACCTAATCTGGACTGAAACAATTAGAGAACAAAATAAAAGAATCACAAACTGACTGAGAAGTTTAACAAGTTTTTATCAGTCAGAGTTTGAATGTTTCAGTCACGATATGAGCCTAAAGAGGATGTACAGCGTCAGAAAGTGCTGATAAAAATGTAGACCGTGCTTTATTAATGTGTGTGTGTGTGTGTGTGTGTGTGTGTGTGTGTGTGTGTGTGTGTGTGTGTGTGTGTGTGTGTGTGTGTGTGTGTGTGTGTGTGTGTGTGTGTGTGTGTGCGTGTGTGTGTGTGTTTCAGGGTACCAGTGTGAATATAAGAAGCGGACCGGGAGGAAGCCAGACGGCTGCGCCATCACCTTTAAATCGTCCCGCTTCTCGCTTGTCTCCTCAACGCCGGTGGAGTTCTATCGCCGCGGCGACGCCCTCCTGGACCGGGACAACGTGGGCATGGTGGTCGTGCTGCAGCCAAACGCCGGCGCCGCCCGATCCGACGCGTCCTGCTCCATCTGTGTGGCCAACACTCACCTGCTCTACAACCCTCGCCGTGGCGACATCAAGCTGGCTCAGCTGGCCATCCTATTGGCCGAGATCGGCCGGCTGTCCCGCCTCCCTGACGGCTCCACCAACCCGGTGATCCTCTGCGGGGACTTTAACTCGGCGCCGTGGAGCCCGCTGTACCGCTTCCTGACCACAGGCTCTCTGAAGTACAAGGGGATGCAGATTAACACGGCAAGACCAGACTAAACAATTAATCATAATTAATCAATTATTGAAATCATCATCATCTAAATTAGTTATCAAATGACTTGAGAATAAGAAAAAAATTAATTGTGATTTTGGTTCTTTAACACATGTAATCATTAAAATAATACATTTTGTGAATCATTCTGTGACATGAAAGGCCTGACTGAGTTCTCACGTTGTGAAGGTGTCGGGTCAGGAAAGCAGTCCCAGAGGTCACCGTTTCCTCACCCCTCCCATCTGGTCCCCCGGACTGGGAATCAACCAGTGCTGCCAGTATGAGAGCAAACCAGCAGAGGAGCCGCGTCCCAGCAGCCCTGCAGGTGAAACACGATTCCTCTCCGTTCAGACCGGACCAGTTCACTCAGTCTGAACCTGAACCGGTATCAGTTCATTTGATGTGAACCTGAACCGGTTTCAGTTCATTTAATGTGAACCTGAACCGGTTTCAGTTCATTTGATGTGAACCTGAACCGGTTTCAGTTCATTTGATGTGAACCTGAACCGGTTTCAGTTCATTTAATGTGAACCTGAACTGGTTTCAGTTCATTTGATGTGAACCTGAACCGGTATCAGTTCATTTGATGTGAACCTGAACCGGTATCAGTTCATTGATGTGAACCTGAACCGGTTTCAGTTCATTTGATGTGAACCTGAACCGGTTTCAGTTCATTTAATGTGAACCTGAACCGGTTTCAGTTCATTTGATGTGAACCTGAACCGGTTTCAGTTCATTTAATGTGAACCTGAACCGGTTTCAGTTCATTTAATGTGAACCTGAACTGGTTTCAGTTCATTTAATGTGAACCTGAACCGGTTTCAGTTCATTTGATGTGAACCTGAACCGGTTTCAGTTCATTTAATGTGAACCTGAACCGGTTTCAGTTCATTTGATGTGAACCTGAACCGGTTTCAGTTCATTTGATGTGAACCTGAACGGTTTCAGTTCATTTAATGTGAACCTGAACCGGTTTCAGTTCATTTAATGTGAACCTGACCGGTTTCAGTTCATTTGATGTGAACCTGAACCGGTTTCAGTTCATTTAATGTGAACCTGAACCGGTTTCATCTCCGCTCTGCTTTCTGTCTCAGCTGTGGAAGGAGGAATCTCTAACCTGACGGTAGACGATCCGGCCCCCCAAGCCTCAGCTGATGTTACCAGGTAACCCATGATATGGCTTTAATCCAATCAGAGCTTAACCAGGTGTGTTTCCTGAACGATTCTGACCTCTGACCTCTGATCACAGTTCAGAGCCAAACTGCTCCAGATACAGGATCAAACATGACCTGAAGCTGCAGTCGTCTTACGGGCACCGCCTTCTGCCGGACGGCCGCCCTGAGGTCACCACCAGCCACTCACGCACATCCCTGACCGTGGACTACATCCTGTACAGCTCAGGTACACACCCACACACACACACACACACCCACACACACACACACACACACCCACACACACACACACACACACACACACTTTTTTCTGTCATTGTTATCAGTAGTAACAGTTTTCTGTTCTCTCTCTTCTCTCCTTTATTAGATATAAACGCAACCCCTTCACTTCCTGGTGGGCGGGGCCTCCAGCTGCTGGGCAGGCTGTCATTGGTTGGCCAATCAGAGCTGGAGGAAGTCCACAGACTTCCCAACTGGCATCACTCATCGGACCATCTTCCTCTGCTGGCCAGCTTCCGCCTGGGTCCAGACAGCTGAAGGAAAAACTGGGTTCAGTCCAACCTCTAGAAAAAAACTTTTATTTGTTTCAGAAAACTAAAAATAGAAAATAATTTTTATTTCTGCTGCTCGTACGTTTCCATAGAGTTCAGAATTTGCACAACAAATCTATCATTTTATGTCTCCATGGTGATGGATTTACAAAACAAGTTTAGAAAATATATTTGCAGACATGCTGACCCCAAACATTTAAAAAACCAGATGCTAAATTCAATATGCAGAAATGAACCAACATGTTTGACTCAGACAACAAATTTCATCATAAACATTCATTTTTGTTTATTATAGATGAAAATTCAGATTTATCATCTTCTTTGCTCTGCTGATAACATTTTAATATTCATTTCCCTTTGGGATCAATAATGCATTTTTTTGACTAAATGAAGATGGTTTTTTTTTTCTAACTTTAAAAGTTTGAGGTTAAATGTATTTTTAAAATGATACGTTTAACTCATCACCTGCTGGTTTAACAACAGGAATTATGCAGTTAAGTTTGTTTGTCAATAAGAGAAAGTTTTATTTTATTGTCTCATGTTTTATAAGTTAATGTACCAAAAGTAAGAACATTACTATAAGATCATCTGTTTATTATTTTATGAGTTTTAATTATTTTTATTGCCAGTAAAAGAAGGATCTATGCATCTCATCATCGTATTTGGAAAACGTTTGTTAACTGGATGATTTCCACTTCATGTGAGGCTGTTATCATTTTTAATGCATCACTTTATCCTGGTATGCAGCAAGACGCCAGTTTGGACTCTGTGTATTTTTCTACTGTTTTGTTTGCCAGTTTGGGGAAGTTTACAGTTTGTAAATAATAAATTTGTATTTCTTACACCCAGCTGCAGTTTGCTTATTGATGCCAGACTGCAGGATGTTGTTGCTGTCAGACTTTGACTTGTCTTAGAGACGAGTATCAAACCGAGGTTAAACGTTTCATACCGATTTCCACCTGAAGGAAAGTCTGGTTTCATTGTTAGAACCAACAATTAATTCATTGTTGATTGGTTTGGTTCTGAAACAACCCAATCAAAGAGAATTTGGACAAATGTTTTTGGCTCCCCTCAAAAATGCTGCATTGCTCTGCAGCCTCGGCTGGATCTGCTACCTGCCTCACTTACAAACACAGGGACAAAACGAGCTTCCACCTGTTAGTTTGAAAGGTCAAGAAGATTTTCTGGATGTTTACTGTATTGCCACTAGATGGCAGCAGACAACCTAGTTCACTTGAAATGGAAAACTATGAGACTCATCTATCCAAAGAAACAAACACTGCAGGCCATAAAGTTTACAGAACTGATCTGTACGTTATGAGTCAAACAAAATACTGCATGTTGAAAATTCTCAAAGTTTTTTAATGGTTATGAGCCAAGTCCTTATTTTTGCTGAGCATTTGTTCTTCAGTCTGAGGATGGAAGGTCTCTCTGCCATCACCCTCATCCTTCATTTCCTCCAGGTTCACTGGAAGATTCAAGGCTTTCACACATGCTACAATCTGTCATATATTTTAAAATCATTGCAGTATGAAGCCTTTTTTTCTTTCATGTAGTACACAATTAAGTTACATATTCATAGTGTAACTGTGATTTATTTTACACTCACAATTTAGGATGACGTAATATATACACATAGCATAGTACAAAATAAACACACATATTATATTAAGATGTGATAAACACGCATACTATAGTATGATGTTTTTTCACATGTAGCAGCTCTCTAGTGTGATTAATTTGTGTATCTTTTCATTAATGTGTGGAATCTCAGATATTTGTATAAAGGTGAAGAGAATTTTAAAAATTCAGACTTTAACTGTGCCGCCTTCACTCAGGGAAAAGATGCAACTTCAGTCTGTCTGAAGTTTGCTTGCAGTTTTGGACGGGTTCTAGTGAAATATGGAATTAATAAATTATATCCATTCATTGGTCGAAGAGACTCGTCATCTTTACATAAAAACACTCCTCCCTCCCTGCATCAAACATCACATTCAGGCTGCTGACACACAGCAAGGTAAACCTTCCTGCCTCTAAATCCTGAAAATGGAGCAGAGAGGAGAATTGAGGGATTATTTCTATAAGTCTGCAGCCTCCATGAGCCTCACTGGAACACGCTCACATCTGCAGTTCGACATAAGCTGATTATTTTATCAGAAGCCAGGACCCGGCGCAGCAGTGCTGGCCGTTTCTGACTGGATTTCTCTCCTGTTCATTTTGACAAACTTTCCTGCTTAGTTCATTTAAAAAAAAGTCGATTTACAGTTGTATTTCCTCATCACAAGTAAGCAAACTGCAAACATTTAACTCAGATGTCGACCTTTTCTTTATCATCAACAGTAACTACATTCAGTAAAATAACTAGAGTTGGCAGAAAGGATCGTGAACCAGTGTTATTTTAAAGACTGAGCATAATGTGAGTGAAAACTCCATTAAATTTGTAAGAGATACAAAGAAGCTGAAATAAACCGAAGTAGAGGAACATGTTCTGAAACAAATGAGGAACACCTGCTGAAAAACATAGATTCATTTTTATTAAAACAACACATGCTGCTACATTTGGAGATAAAAACAGCTGATGTAACAGTAGGAGAGGAACAATGATAAATTACCAGGTTTCACATTTTTGCTTATTTATCTCCAGAGTACAAAACGACACAAGAAACTCAGTAAAAACCGACAAAACTCTCGTTTTCAAAGCTGTTGAGTCCGTCAGACTCTGATCATATTGAGAAGCGGTGGAGGGGTTGAGCTGCACACACACATGCACACGCCTGCTTCGTCACGTCCAACTGGAGCGTTATTAAAGGCCGACTCCAGAGCCAGACATGAAGAAACCACTTCAGTCAAAACAAAACTAAAGTTCAAATATCAACAGAATACACAAAGTAAACATGGTTTTACACCCATAATGAAAAACAAAACAAAAAAATCAGATTTAAATTTAACGCACTGCTGAGGCACTGGTAATGCTGGATCATGGTTTCTGAGTTTGATTTCTTTAAGAGATAGTTTGAAATCTTTTTTCATGAAGTTGTGCATCTTTGTTTGGTCGACCAGTCTCATGTTTTACATTAATAGGAGCTGAGCTGTAGATCTGTTCTGGGTCTAAAGCCGTTCTCCTCCAGCATGGAGCTGGTTGTTGATCTGCTGGCATCAATGGCTGACGAAACGTTGGTATCAGCACTTAAACAACTGAAAGGCTTCAGACGAAACACGACAACCACAAAGTGTCTCTCTTTGTAACAAAGGCGTTTCATTCAAAATCAGAGTACAATCAAAGCAAATATCCTAAACAGACTTGAGTCAAACGCAAAAGAAAACATTCAGATTCTTTTGAAACTGCTTCACGCAGAAAAGTAAAAGACGTGAAACTTTTCAAAATGTAACATCTCTGTGTGCTTCCATACGCTAACAAACACGAGGCTTTTAAAGACAAACTGCAGTAGAAACATTTCGCAGGTTTGGAGCCGAGTCCCAGATCGACATCAGAAACATGTAGAAACGTCTCAGTTTGTTCACAGCACCGTCATAAAAGCTCAGAATGAATCAGATCGTTTGTTCAAACAGTCACTGAGGAAGACTTGGTTTTGCTTCGTCTCTGCTAACAGCTGCTGCATAGCTTTTAACTTTCAGAAATACGCTGGTTCTGATGGAAAAACACGATGAGAAACATTCACAGAAAAGTTATACATCAATTTATGCAACCATGACGCAAAATATGTACGTGTGAATATATATTTATATAAATGTTTTATGAGTATTTTCATTTTTATTCTTAAAACACCTTGAAAGATGAGGGTTGATATAATCTAGTTTGTGGAGCTCATAAAGTCAAAGGGAAAAGACAATTAATAATCAACAGTTCAGTCAGGAGAAAAACTTCAATGTTCTGGAGTTAAGCCCTTCTGATCAGAACCGGGTCATCAGCAGGACAACGACCCAAACACAGCAACACATCTATGAATAGAATGGACGAATAGAAATAAAGGAGCGGCCTAGTCAAAGTCTAGATATCAAGTTCATTACATAGAACTGCTCAGTTCTATGTAATGAACAGATCTGGGGTCAGACTCTGAGGTCAAACAGGTCAACTCCACTTAATTAGTTTACTAAATTAAGACTTGAATCTATTGGTGAAGGAAGTGACTTCCTGATGTGAGCTGAATGAACTTTAACATCTGGATCTGATATGAAAGTAATGTTAGCATGTTAGCATGCTAACATGCTAAAGTGTTAACATGAATCAAAACGTTTGAATGAAATAAAACAGATTTTCAAGTTTCTGTGCTGTGATTGGTGGAAGGCCTCGACAGGAGAACCCAAACGTCCGGCGAGACTTGACCTGACTGGACCGTTCAGACCCTCCTTCACACACACACACACACACACACACACACACACACACACACACACACACACACACACACACACACACACACACCACACACACACACACACACACACACACCACACACACACACACACACACACCGTCAGTGCAAACAGTACTGACTGGAGGCTGCTCTGAGTTTCTCTGGGATCAACTCTCTCTCCTCCGATTCAGAGATTTACCTTCAAATGAAACTTTATGGATTCATAAACATGTTCAAACGGCGCTGACTGCAACACAAAGATACATCACTTCCTGTTTGGTTCCTCTGAACCTCAATCTGTTCACTTTCCAGCTGTTGGTGGAACAGGTTGGAAAATAAACTTTGACCTTTTCTCCTTCCCAAGCAGAACCTTTAGAGGGAAAATATTTGGCTCTGAACATAACATGCTAATTTCTTCTCAACTTTGCAAAAAAGTGAAGCTTAAATGATTTAAAGGTCAAACCTTCTGATTTGTGTCAACAGACAGATTCTGCTGCGCTCTGATAATCCATCGCTTCTATCACTCCATCTTCATCTGTTCTGTTCTGACTCTTTAGTTGTTTTTGCATAATTTATCCAACATGCTCTCCTAATCTAGCCTGCCTACAGTGATTAATGCATTCTGCATTTCAAAGTGTGTTCAGCCAGATTATTTGGACTCCTGTCGGTTTTGAATTCCATTATCTTCAGTTTTATTTGTTTAGTTGAATTTTTGGTCCAACTTCTGGAGAGACGTTTTAAATCCGATAACGTTCTGAGAATCTTTCATGATGAAAAACTCCAGCCATGTTTTTTCTTTAAACCCCGCCCCTTTGAGAAAGGACCGCCCCCAACCAGACGGTTCAGCTCTAACTGCTGCCTCATGACAGGAAGTGACCTAGACGAGCTTCCTGTCAGGAATGAAGAATGGCTACCACATTCTGTCCACAACTACTTTACTTCTGATTCGCACTGGACGCAGTTGCAGTGACCTGGTTTATGGCAGCAATGACGGCAGGTTGACCCCAGGCTGAGCGAGGGCGGGTCAGGGTGGGGCGGGGTCAAAGGGCAGGGGAGTTCATTAGATACGGATCTGGTAACCGTCGCTAAGGGTGCTGAGCTCCAGAGGTCTCCTCTCCACTGCGGCTGGCCTACAAGAGAGAAGAAGAAGAAGCTGAACTCCAGCTGACCGCTAGCAGGGATGCTAAGTGCTAAGGAGCTAACAGGCGTTAGCAATTTAACACCCTGACACTTTGTAATGCCGTACAGCAGAAAAGTCTGTTTCCAAACTGCAGACTAAACAGAAACTTTAAAAAGGCCATTTTTTCATTTCTTTTTCATTTTCCATAAATGTTCACATCCCACTGAAGGAAGCAGCAGCTTTATAGGCAGGAAATGTCAGATGTACCGATTGAGTTTTCACTGGTTGATACAGATTTCTGATCATTTAACTTCACTGACTGAAACACAGCAGCTCTTCTCTCTAAACTTTGTTTTAATCATCAAATATTAAAGAAATGGCCATAAAAGAGAAGAACAGAGAAAATTCTATTTAAACATCTGTTAGCATCTTTAATAATTCTTATTAAACTCAAATATTAAAGAACAGATTGATTATGATGTATTGATGAATCAAACAGATTTTCGGTTTCGATGCATTTAATGAGCAGGATAAAAACATATTTTTCTATGCCAGTTTTTTCCTGTTTCTTAAAGTCATTCAGATTTTGTTGACATTTCTTTTAACCTCTTGTTGTTCAGAAACACACTGAACTGGGATTGGTCTATATCTACAGCGGCTGTCAGGGCGCCATGCCTCGTGGTAACGACGGCTCAGGGACTAATTCTGGTGCTGCTGGGCTGCAGCTGTCGGCCCGGTCAGATTCTGTTACATCCCGACCCACAAACAGGCTCAGCATCTCCCTCTGAGGACAACAAGCTCCATTCGCCTGGTTCTCAACAGTAACCCAGCTTTTAGATCCACTGACATGTTTTCAGCTCTCATTCTCTTCTTTCCACAGAGAAACCTTTCCGATCAAACTGGCCATAAAGACTTTATCTTAGACCAGAAAATTGTTATTTTGTGGCTGTTTCTGGATTTGTCTCCATGATGACGATGCTGAGCTGTGTGTCCATGTCTCCTAATTTGAGATGATTTGTCCTGAATGCTGGGGCTGCTTCAGCTGCCGAACACAGAAACTGATCTGATCTCTAAGAATCCTAACAGACAGTATGGGCTGACCTCAGCCTGACCCCTGGCTGACCTCAGCCTGACCCCTGGCTAACCTCAGCCTGACCCCTGGCTGACCTCAGCAGGCAGCAGTGTTTCCGTTTACCTGCTGAGGTTGAGTCAGAGCTTCAGTAAATCTCTGCTGCAGGAACAATGATGAAAACAAAGACTCACGATTTGTCTCGACGTTTTTCGATGCGTCGCTGAGGGCTGACCGGCCGCCGCCGTGGCGATAAGGACTTTCCTCGGCTGCGCTCCTTGATTGGTGACTGAGCGATGGAGGATTTCAGGATCTAGAAAAGTTTGTTTGATGATAATTATGTTTAAAACAAGTTCACTGGTTCAGCCAGAGTTCTGCAGAGCACAGGAGACATTTTCAGTAAAATATTAAAATACATTCAGAGGAATTTATTTATTTTGCTACAGAGGAACAGAGTGAGAACGTTCTCTGTTTATCCGTCGATCTCATCATGGAACATGATGGATTTAGAAATGGAAAACAGAAAACGAAATGTTAACCAGGCTAATCATTAATATAAGATAGAAAAGTGTCTGAATGATGTTGACTTTGTTTTAAGGTTAAAAATGTTTAATGTTCATAATAAAAAAAAGTTTTTCTGTCGCTGAAATAAACAGATTAAAGATTTAACAACAGAATCAGAGCTTTAATGGGTTTTATAAAAGTGATGCACTAGACGTGTTCTTTCATTTTTATAAATTTCCAGTGATTCAGAGAGAGAAGGTTTTATATTAGAATGTCTGTTTCATTCATGATTTCATTCAATGGGTGGATGTGACTGTGTGAGGCGCTTTGAATGGTCAAAAATGAGTTCAGTCCATCCATTTACATTCACAATGTAGAAATATTATCTGTTGTTGTCGTTTGGTCTTAAAGAGAAATCAAATGTGGCTAGGCTAGGGTCAAAAGGTCAAAGCTTTAGAAGGCTTGCAGATTGGTGAATGTCATTAGAAAAATTAATGAATGAATGAATAAAACAGCAGCTGATTGGATGGAGCTCTGAGCTGACCTCCTGGCATTTTAAAGAAAGGAAACTATAATCAACAGCTGCTGATGATTCTGTAGCTGCTGCTGCTGCTGCTGTAGCTGCTGCTGTAGCTGTTGCTGCTGTAGCTGCTGCTGCTGTAGCTGCTGCTGCTGTAGCTGTTGCTGCTGTAGCTGCTGCTGCTGTAGCTGCTGCTGTAGCTGCTGCTTTAGCTGCAGCTGCTGCTGCTTTAGCTGCAGCTGCTGCTGCTGTAGCTGCAGCTGCTGCTGCTGTAGCTTTAGCTGCTGCTGCTGTAGCTTTAGCTGCTGCTGCTGTAGCTGCTGCTGCTGTAGCTGCTGCTGCTGTAGCTGCTGCTTTAGCTGCAGCTGCTGCTTTAGCTGCAGCTGCTGCTTTAGCTGCTGCTGCTGCTTTAGCTGCTGCTGCTTTAGCTGCTGCTGCTTTAGCTGCAGCTGCTGCTGAGCCACAGGCAGGAAAATGAGGGAACAGGAAACAATGAATATGACTGAGACAAAATGGAAGTTTATGTTGTTTCCTTCTGTTTTCTGCTGTTTGTTCAAACTTATAAACAGACTGAACCTTTTTTAATGACTTGATATTAACACTATAACCACCAAACATGTATATCTTAATATTGTTCTGTCTCCTTCATGGTCTATAGTAAAATCTAGAGAGTCTGAACTCCATAACCTGATTACAATCAGATTTTAATCCTGACACTAAAATCTGACACACACACTCAGCCTGTCTTTAATAAGTTCACACAGTCTGCATCACGGCTGACTCAGGTGTGTATTAGTGTGTGTGTGTTTGCGTGTGTGTGACAGCTGCAAGTCTCTGACCTACATATCATCTAACTGGACACCAGCAGCCTCTGCTGGACTCCGGTTCTTCTTCATGGGATTTAAACAGAAACATCTAGAATCAGAAATAAAACCAGGACTGGGCTCATGAATCATCTATCGTCACCCGGCCTGGATGTCTGCTCCTTCCTTCCTCATCACGACCTAAATAATCCCTGACTGGTCATATCCATGTTCAGCCCAGAGGAAGCAACATTCATCCAGGATCTCATGAAAAATGTCCTTTTCCACCTGAAAGGAGCTAAATAATATTAAAGGTTGAATTTAATTACAAACCTTCATTTTCAGTGTGGAGGTCAGAACCAGATGAAGCCAGAGAACAAACAGAAACATGTTCCTACATGCTGCTGAGTCTAAAGTTTGCTTCCGAAGACAAACAGAAAAGGTCGTGGCTGTCGTATGATTAGATCCCAACAGACAGAACGTCTTCCTGCTGTGTGGCCCCGGGCCCCCGTGTCACATAATCCTGTTTACTTTGTGTGGACCATCCAAGCAGATTTATTCTGGGCTCTGCCTGATTTAGTTTCTGAAAAAACTTGTTCATTTTCAATATTTTAATGTAGAATAAATTTTAATTTATTCTGAACAATAATTCTGATTAAATATCTAATTTTCTTGTTGTTTTTTATGTTTTGTAAGTTTTCAAATAAAAATCTGGAAAGTGTGGCATGCAGTTCTATCCAGCCCCCAGCAGCCTGTAGAGGTGAACTAATCATTGCTGGTGTCATATAACCTCTGTATAAATGTTCTGTTTCTGGCCATAATTACAAGTGAGAACTGTGAATCATATCCAATCTGCTACACTTTAGGTGGTGCTTGGAGTTAATCTGACTGATGAAATCCCAATAAAACACAACAATGTTCTTTATTTTAATGCAACAAAATGTGAAACCTTTTGCAGAAGACATTAAATTCATCTATCTGTGTGCTGATGAGACAAACCTTCATCCTCATGTCCCGGCCATGTTTCTCCAGATCCTTCCTCATCTCCTGAGCGCCGAGTCGGGTCGTGTTCAGCACCAAGTACTTCCACTCGATTGGCTGAAAGACATGGGGGTCGTGAGGCACGTACAAGCCAATCTTCACCTGGGAGAGACGGACAGAAGCGGTTAGAAGCTGACCACCGGCTGCGCTGGCTCTGCTCAGCTCCAGGTTTCCTCCTCTACCTTCTTCAGCGTGTGCTGGTATCTCTTGTAGGAGCTCTCGAACTCGGCCACCAGCTCGCTCAGCGTCCGGTGGCTCAGCGGTTTGTCCATCAGGTCCGGGCGCCGGCTCATGCCCAGCGATCCGTAGCGACCGTTGCAGTAGACGCCCAGAACCACGTGGTGGAAGCAGTGACCTGAAAACTGGGTCTTGAAGCTGATGGGGAAGCGCTCCAGAGACGTGAGGCCGTTGGTCAGGTAGCTGAGCAGCAGCGGCGGCTAAGGAAACGTTTGACTGCAGGAATCGACCACACACACCGACAGAAACCTGGAAGTGAACGTGTTCATTTGGAACCAAAGCAGCTTCTTCTGTGGTTAATTTCATTCATTCTGATGGGATAAAGAGCCTCTGTATTTTATTCTGTTTAAACATAACCTTTAACCTTCACATCATGGTCCAGCTGACACATGATTTGATTACACGTCTCATGATCTTCTTTTCCTTCCTTTTTTCTGTCAGCCTTCATACATTTTCCATCTTCTCCTTTTCTGTTTTCGGCGCCTAAAACTAAAACTCAACTTCCAGCCGTTCCTAAAGGAGCAACTTTAAGGTTTTAGTGACAGTTTGTTCCAGTTGTTTGGAGAAACAGGAATTTCTGACTTCTCATCCAAAGAGAGGCCTTAAGGTAGCCAATCAACTGCCTGGTTTAAACCATGGCGGCTTATGATTGGTCAAAGCTTTCATTAGTTGGAGCACAAGCAGAGAGCTGATAACAATAAGACCTCAGAGTCTGAGCCCAGATCGGGTCTATTTAATGGCTGCATTCAGGTCACATCCTCAGACACTTTGGTTTCTGTTCCACGTCTCATTCAGACTCTGGTTTCTCTCTGAGAAAAGGTTGAAATAAAACGGATGAAACAGCAGGAGAGGCCGTCTCCTCCAGTCTGTTAATCAAAGAATCCAGTATTTCCAAACAAACCTGAGGCTGAATATCAGCTCAGGGAATGTTTGACAGTAAACGGGGAGCTTTGTGGCTGCAGATGACAAAGAGCCTTTCATTATCTAAAACTCAATAATACAAACAGATTCCTCACCTCCAACCACAATAAGTACTGAGATTCAAGCAGAACTGCAACACTACTGTGCCCTGCATGTCTTATCTGTGAAAGCCAACACAATAAGACATATGCACTAGACACACACACACACACGCACACACACCCGCTGCGGCCCAGAATGAACCCTGTGGATCCTGGAGGAACCTCGGATCGCTGTCAACACGGAGGCAGCCGAACTGACACAACCAAATGCCACAAGCTACAGCAGATGTTCTTCTTCCCACAACTCGCTGCAGGAGCTAATTTTATTATCATGCAAGGTATTTATTTCAAATAAAATCTGTAGAAACTCTGTTATTTTAACGTTTAGAGACATAACCTGTAAGTAAAGATATGTAGATCCAGTTTACTGATAGCGACTCAGATTTGTGCTGATGAACTGAGGAATCCAGGTGAGGGAGGAGCCGACTGGTTGGCCTGGTGTGTCACCATGGCACTGAGTGAGGGTGTGTCACTATTCCAGGGTGTCATTGAAATGTCCTCTGATCGACCTGCGCTCTCAGGTGAGGCCCTATAGCTCAGTGGTTAGAGCACTGGTCTTGTAAACCAGGGGTCGCGAGTTCAAATCTCGCTGGGGCCTGAACTTTCTTTTCCCTCAACAGTTAATTCTGTTTAATGATGTATGTTAAACTATGAACTTGCTGACCTCTGTCCTCTCTGAATATTTGCTGTTTTGTCCGTCCTTCCAGCTCCATCAGCTGCTGTTTGCAGACCGAAGCCACCCTTCATCACAGTCACTGTCAGAGTGGCCATGACAACCTGCAGGATCAACACTGGAAGCATTTATCCTGAGAGACGTTTGTCCTGCTGACAGACCACAGTCACCTCAAACGGCACCAAGTCTTTACACGTTTCATTAAAACATGTTCAGGGGAATTCAGGCCCACAGCGACGGAGACCTTGAACGCATCCCATCATTTGCCAAAATCCTCACACACCATCTGTTTGGATGCAGCAAGCAGAGCCGATGAGCCGACATACCAGAGACAATCACTGAGGACTGGTATCCGACTGGCAGTTTGTGTGGATTTAAAGAGGCTGATGGTTTTAGTAATTACTAATTCTGATCAGATAAAAAATATTTAGCACATCCTGCAGATTTTCCATTAATCCACTTAAGCCTTTATATACAATATTAGAAACACATTAAAAAATGTTAATGACCAAATAATTACATTTCTCTTTAATAAAGAAAAATAAATTAGTAATTGCATAAAATTCAGCAGCATTCTTTTCCTGAATGTTTGATCATTTGTAGCAAAAGCTGCATCTGCAGCTAAAATCTCAACTGAACATCAATCCTGTGTCGGCCTGATCTGTGGACCAGTTCTGGATTAGCCAGAGATGGAAAGTTCGGTCGCAGCAAAAGGTGCTTCAAACTCAGATTTTTTTACAGCATTAGAACCAAGTAAAGTGAAAATTATTCCACTTTGTGAATATAAATTTTTTTATAAAATGTTTCGGACAGTTGTGATTTTGACGGTGTTGTTTCAGCAAACACCCTTTTTTGAGTGCTATGGATTGAAGAGACTTTAAAAATTGTTGTGTGTAAATCATTTAATATTTCCAATGGTAAATAATTGAATCATTGATTCTGTTATCAATCAATAAGAGTCGTCTTTTCTTTCACAAAAATTAGAAACAGGTAGAAATTCGAGCAGGGCAGACAATGACCCAAATAAAGAGTTGAAGCAGTCAGGTCTTCTGCTGACATGTAAGCACAGACTGGTTGGAGACCAGAAACCCAGGCAGTACAGAACCTGAGTCCATGAGACTGAGCTGTTGGGCTAAACATGGACGCCGCATTAGAAGCCAGAGCTCCTAAAAATGACCCGGCTGACCTCGGGTCCTGAGGATGATGCTGAGAACCAATGGGGATGAAACTTTGAAGTGTTCCTGTTGCCAGGCAACACCACAGAGCGAGAGAGGGGGTCGATGTTTTGGGGCAATAGTACTTCAGAGGTGAAACTTTGATTGATTGATTTTTTTTACTCAGACAGCAGAGGAGCAGTGCAGAGCTGAAAGGATACACTCCCAGGATGACGGCTTCCAGGCATTTGATTGGCAGAGACTCCCTGATCATCTCCCTCGCCGTTTCCATCAACCTGCAGAGGAGGGGAGACGCATGAACAGCGAGAAGAAAAACACACGAAGAGCAAACAGGATTAGATGCTCCAGGGCTTTATGGGGAACTCATGACGCTGAATTATGTTCATCTATAAACATTTATCGGTTCTTTTCCACTCACCCACACAGCGGGCGGCTCTTCTTAATCTCAAAAAACTGGGTTCCAGTGTGGTTGTACCTAACACAAACGTTAAGGGCAACAGGGCTCTTAAACACTTTCACAATATGTTTTCCTCTGCAGTATCACTTTTGTCAGCAACATTAGCATCCATTTAGTTTAGAAACTCAGCCTGAAATGCGGGGCTCCGTTTCTAACATCTGCTGTGGAGGATGATTAAATGTGTTTAAGGATACTGCAGAGCCTTCATGTAGTTCTGGACGGCTACCAGCCAATCGGGGGCTGACATGGATGGCTTGAAGGTTGGAATGGAGGGAACAGCCTGCTGGGAAACAAAAAAAAAACAAACAAACATTGTTAAATGCTTACAGTTAATTAACATCTGGAAACTTTCAGAACCTCAAAACGATGTTTTAGTCTTTCAGTCCATCAGACAACAATCTGCCTGCGAATGTTTGATCAGAACTGATCAGAACCAATCAGATCATGAAACTCTAACCTCAAAAGTTTAACAACTCTTCAGGATGTCAAACATGTTTGTCATTGATATTTTTTATAAGTCACATAAAGTTGTGCTAATTGGACATCAGTGCTTAACATAAATCTGAAAAAGAAACAAACATAAAAACAATACAAAGAGAGAAGAGATTAAATTAGATGCAACTTAAATAGTTTATATAACTATTCAACATTTATAAGAACACATTAAACAGAATAAAGTTACCTCAGACAAGAACTGATAGGGAAAGAGCAAAGTTGTGTTTTAAGAGGTTAATAAAGCTGTCTAATGTGTGAGTAAACCGCTCCAGTTCCCCCAAGAGAACCAGACAGAGCGAAGCTAAAACTGCTCTAAGATGGTCAAACTTTTGCATCCAAGTTGTGGTTTTTAGCAGAATCAGCAAGCAGAGAAGTGAACCTACATTCAAGCTACTTTAAATTCCTTTTACATCATCTAAGCATTAAGAACCGCGTTTGGTAATAACTGACTCTAAATGGGTCAATTATTACAGAACAACAACAGAACAGGGCCCAGGATGGACCCTTGAGGGACTCCATGGGGAAGTGAAGCTGAAGCCGCACACTGTAGTCTAGGCAGGAAAAACCAAAGTCTGCAAGCATAAGAATAACGGCACCTGGACTCAACAGTAAGGTACAGGTTGTTAAAAACTTTTCTCTAGTTTATGTGAGTTCTTTAAATTCACGTTCCTTCTACAGATGAACAAAAAGGAGAAGAGAAGTCTGCGTGTTTCGTGGCCGACCAGATGCCAACAGGAAACCCACACTGCTTTGAAGCAAAACGTTCCAAAGATAAAGATCACTGCTGATCCTGCAGCTGGTTCACCTCAACAGGAAAATCTTCTCAGCCGTCACACGTGTGAAGAGGCCACGAATATTTTAACAGAGTGACTCAGGCTGAAACACAGACCGACGTTTCCTGTGAGTCTCAAACTCAGTAAAAGCTGGACTTGTGCATGCACAACAGAAGAGTGAACCATGAGCACCAGAACTATCACTTCCTGTTTATTTCAGGCAGGAACAGAGAACAGAAGGGAGAGATAATAGCACTACATTACAATGACTGCATCCTTACTGGGTAAAACACTTTTGTACGATAACAGCTCCCTGAATCATGCACAGCAGTTATTTAGTCACTTAACTGCTAATTTACTACAGGCAAGTAGACGATTAGCCCGAAAACAGACAGACTAATCAGGCAATCCGTCAGTCAGCAGCTCAGAGGAAGACGATCTGCCAACTGGCCATTCATCTGGTCTGCCGGCCAGCAGCAGCATATCGTGCTTTTTAACAGCCACATAATCTGGAAGTGAAATCCTCCTCACTGGCTGGACAGGCTGAGGCTCAGAGGGTTCAACAACAGACAGCCATTTCTCATGTAATGAAAAGCATTCATTATTTTTTTATCTCTTGTTGTTTCATTACATTATATTCAGAGGAGCGAGAATCCGTAATGTGAGAGCAGAATGAGCATCGATTCACAGCCGGTTTATCCTGGTAATTAATCTGTCTGCTCAGCCAATCTGGAAACTCCTCCTCTGGTTTCTTGTCCACCCTTCATCTGACTTCTCTGTTATTACCTCAAACCTTCTCTACAGATTTCCTCCTGTCTTTTGGCCTCCGTCTCCTCCCACATGTCCACCCTGTGACATCCTGACTCCTGTTCCTCCCTCTCTCCAGCTCTACACGGGCTGAGCAGACATCTGGGAACCGTAAATAAAACCTTTCATGCTGGCTGGATCTACAAGCTCAAAGTGACTCAACGTCAACGTTATTTTTGTAGAAGACAACCTGGAACAGGTCCGAATAGCACCTAAAGTCCATCGTACTGATCATTTCTAAAGTGGATGTGCATTATGGCAACGCAGAAAAATAAATGAGTCAACTGGGCTTAAAGGTTCTCTAGATAAACTAGAATAAATTCATTTTTTTAAACAGATATAAATGTGCTGAATAAAATTAATAACTCTGTATCAATACAGCACACTTAAATACACTCATATCTTCACAAGTTTGATCAAACATGTAAAAGCAACAGAACTATAATTTGTACAGTCAGTTCAATTAGGACCGTAACAGACAATGTAAAATAAATAATAAAGAAACTAAAAGTGACAAAAATATGTTGGCTACCTTGTAAAAATAAACTGCAACAATCTTTTAGATTTAGACTGACTAGATCTGCCCTGATGAATCAGGCACATTGTCACTGATTTTCAATATCGGACCAATACAGATATTAATATTTAATTGATGCATCTCAGATGTAGGATCCTTTCTAAGTTAAGAAGCTGTGACAGAAAACTGCAAAAATAAAGTCCAGTTTTTTATGCAGTTATTTGTAACAAGATTCAGCAGAAAATAACTTGAAGTTTGACAAGTTTGGATCAAAGGAGCTGCGAGAGCCTGAAGGTGGTAGAAGAGCAAAGCTGAAGGTGATCCTCTTCAGCTGGAGAATATCCACATCTCCTACCAGACAAAACTGGATGATGAAAGACAAAGTCGGCTCAGCTCAGCTAAACTCATATCAGCTTCATCCTCTCACCTTGAAAAGATCAGACAGTTTCTAACAGCAAGGAAACAAAAATGCTGAGGTATAAAACTGAAAGTAGTTTTACTTTCCTATGGAAAATAATGTTGGAACAAGTGAGCTCAGTTTACTCAACAACAAGAACACATGAAAAACAAAGCAGAAAGAAAAGCACCTTCCATCAAAACGAGCAGAACTAAGTGAAGATTTGAGAAAAGAAAATGAAGAGAAATCAAAAATATCTCAGATCTGATGAACATCTACCACCAAACAAGAGAAAGAAAAGAAAATGAACTTCCTCCTTTTACAGGCCATCAGATGAAATAATCAGAAATAAATTTAATCATTCAATGAAAGAAGATCAACACTTCTGATGAGAAGAATAAATGAATGTGAATGAAACCAGACGGTTGTTCTGTTCCTGAGGTTGAGCAGAAAACTGCAGTCTCTGGTTTTTATTTTCTCTGGTATCTCTAGAAATCTTCTCTCTCATCATAAAAAAACAAAACATTTTCATTAGCTGTAAATAACAGTGCGGACAGCTGACACTGGCTGCCATCTAAAACACATTTGCTGTGTCAGCATTAAATATTCAAGACAACTAAAGGAGGGAGGGACATGGACAGGTCAGGTTTCCTGCTGCCAAGATGTCTTCAGGGTGGGATTTCCCCAGGAACGCTGGAGTGTGTGTGTGTGTGTGTGAGAGTGAGTGAGTGAGTGAGTGAGTGAGTGAGTGAGTGAGTGAGTGAGTGAGTGAGCGTGCGTGCGTGCGTGCGTGCGTGCGTGCGTGCGTGCGTGCGTGCGTGCGAGCGAGTGAGTGTGTGTGGAAGCAATATATTCCTTCATATTTATTTCTGAATATCCAACAGTATTTGTATTTTGAATCCATTTTACTGATTCTTGTTGAATTTCTTTAAAATAAGGTGAAGTTTGCATGAACCTAAATATTATTGATATTTACTGTGCATTAAACTTTTCTGCAGAACAGAAAACAATAACAATGCAGAAGTTGTGAATATATGACAAAAAATTTGAAGTACTTTGTCTATAAAATGTTTTCAACATATTCAGGTGAAAAGATAAAGTATTTCATAAAATAGTTTTGGTTTTCAGAATAAATCCCATATATTTTAAAGTTCCAGCTCTTTACTTAAAGGTTTGTGTTAAATACTGCAGTAATACCAAACAGATCCAGTGAAATTAGTTTCCCTTCATGCAGTCCAGTTGGTATCCAGAGATTATCCACTACCCAGATCATATGTGAGGGATTACTCAGCTGCTGTGCCAAGACTGCAAACCGGTCCTGAGGACGGAGAGAGGCAGCGGGTCAGCGACCAAAACACAGCAAACTCAGGAAACCCTTTCCTGCTGGAGGCCATTTTAACCAGTGGGAACAGCTTCACCAACTTTCCTTTAGCTTTAATTTTTTAACTGACAAGCCTGAAAGAAACCGAATGCAGCTTCTTTTAACAACATTTTCTTCAATACATGTCATTGTAATAATGACATGTATTCTCCCTTTATTCTCCCTTTTTCCTCTTTGCCTGAAGGTGAAAATCAGCGCATCTGCTTTGACACCAACAGCAGAGTGGAGTCAAGCTGCACATTAACAAACCAACTGACACCTCCATTGTTCACCGTACAACAAGACGCTGTGCAGCTGTTTCCCAGCTCCTGTCGTTTACGTCCAATACTAAATGCTTCACTGCCAGCAGCAGAGTGACGGTCAGAACCAATTTACAGAGATAATGTGGAAAATCTCTGATGTACCGAACGTTTCAAATAAAAATCTTCTATAGAAACAAACATTTGTGTCTGTAAAGAACAACGTTGTAACTGTCTGATGAATTAAATACAAAGTGCAATATGAAGCATTTGTTAAGCTTTGTCCACATTCCTCCTGCAGCTTATCACACAGTCTGGGAGTTTGGCACCGCCAGGCAACCGGGTCACTAATGACCACATGGGTAATTAGTGGAGTGAAACAACAACAAGCAGATTCTCTCCTCTCTCAGGAAAACAACACGCATTCAGGATAATTACTGATGGGAAACTGAAGAAATCTGAGCTGTTTTAGTGCATGAGGGATAAACTGACATAACAAAGATGAATATCATAAAGTTTTGGTTTTCTCCCTTCAGAAGATTTGCAGTTTGAATCCACAGCAGAGAAACAGCATTAAGAAGAAAACTAAACGTCGCACTTAGTTTAAAAACATGAGGATGTATAATCAAGATGAAAGAAATATTTGAAATGGTTTCACTAACCGATTTAAAGTGGCATCAAGCTAATATGTTCAGAATTCATCCAAGCAGTAATGTAACTAGTAATGATCAGCGGTGGCACACTTACTCTATCTTAGTGCTTTTGCTATCATTGAAAACATTTATTCTGTACCCAGAATGCACCACTGTAAAAGGACAGCCTGTAAACAGTTTAAACCCATTGATGTCCAGCTCTGCTGTGGTCAGATATGCAAACGATATTTAACTTATTTTATTTTAAATAATTTTCCAAATCAACAGGAACTGGTTTCAGTAAACTTTTACTGGTTAATGAAATATTTCAGCAGGAGAGACGAATGTGTGCAGCCTTCTCTAGCCTGCTGCCGTGCTACAGTAAGTCTGCATGTGTGACACAGAATCACACTGAGACAACAACTAATACCACCTGACAGGCATGGTGCTCCAGTTTAGCACGCTTGTTGTCATGGTAATAGCGAGTTCTCCTCAGACCGTGGATTAGTGAAACTGTGTGTCACACCGGGTCGCCGTTATCACCAAGGGTTTCCAGCTGTGAGCACAAACACAACCAGGAGCATCAGAAACCCTGACTCACAAAACCAAGAGAAATTCCTCACAAGTCGCTGAGAATTCACAGCAGGAGGAGAGAAGAAACACGGAGGAGAAGAAACACGGAGGAGAGAAGAAACACGGAGGAGAGAAGAAACACGGAGGAGAAGAAACACGGAGGAGAAGAAACACGGAGGAGAGAAGAAACTCAGAGGAGAGAAGAAACTCAGAGGAGAGAAGAAACACGGAGGAGAAGAAACACGGAGGAGTCAGAGGTCATGTGATGCACACTGCATCTTATATGCTAACTGAAACTGAATCCTATGTTTCAGACAGATCTGAATGAGAGACACACTGAAAGATTTGATCAAACTCAAACATTCTGCCTTTTTATTATTAGTCAATCTAACTAAGTGCAACCAGGTCACAGTTATTGGAGAAAGCAAACAAAAACTATTTTCTGTTAAATGTCTGGTTGGTTCAGGCTGAGAACAGGACAGAGCGAGAATTTGAGCAAAGCTGCTCTGTTTGATCCTTTTAAGCCTTCAACCTTGGCCTGTTATGGAACATGGTGGACCGGGAAATGAACAGTACCAGAAAACCTTCTGATTACCTCATAGAACAGTCACAACATCCCCAGGGTGCTGCATGGAGAACGTCTTCATAAAGAGCTTTTTACTAAAGAAGGCAGTTCAGTTAATGCTGAACGTCTCAGTGCTGCCATGTGACACACACCCATCCAGAATAGATGCTTTGATAATGACAACAAACATGCCTTCAAAGAAAAAACTGAAGGTCATCCTATTAATTTATTTATATAACAACTAAAAACTGTGGTTAAGTTGTGCAGTAAAAAAAAACAGAAAAAAAAGCAGTACCAAATTTAGAAGCAGTAACTCCAAACCATGAGGTTTCTGATTAGCCGTGTTTTTTTCTCAGGGGAATAAATCATGAACAGAATGCTGAGGGCTTACTTTTGGCAGGTTTGCAGCGTTCCGTATCCGGTCCACCATCTCCTGCCCCTCAGGATGGACGGCGGCCACATGGGACCACATCCTCTCCCAGGTGACGCTCTCGATGGGGAACCCGTTCCGATTAACGTAGAAGAGAACCCCTCCGTCCTTCTTCTCTTCCTCCTCGGGGGATTTACTGAGGGGGCAGGCGGCGGTCTCCTCCCCAGCGCCGCAGTGGAGCAGGCAGTGTGCACTGCTGCTCTTGGAGCGGCCGCGCCTGTTGAACTTGGCCGATGAGGTGCCGGTCCGGCTCGGGGAGTTGGGTCCCGTCATCGGTCCCAGGAGCACAGGCGATTCTCAGCCAGCTAGAGCCGCTTCCTGCTGCGGCTCAGACAGTCCATACTGGCATAGTGAAGGCAGACCTGATGAGGAAGCAAAAACAAAAACAGGACAGATCAGGATATCTGGAATATAATCTACATATATCTTGGTGACGTTTATGAAACACAAATGAAGAATAAGACCCATGCTGGTCCATCATGATGAACAATATCCACCATATCCCCACTCCAACATCTCTCTGCCCGGCTTTCTAACCATCCTGCCTGTAAAAGTAGATGGATTTGCCTCCTTGGCCATAACATTACATTACTGCATTAAAAAATATATATATATTATTGGGGTTTATAATATCATAGTGTTCTGAAAAACCTAATTATGTGCTTGCAATGCATAATCATGAAAATTAAATGAAGTAAATGCTTAAAATGTTTCACACTGTATGTAATACCTTCACTTTTTAAAGTGAATTTGAAATATTTTCTGGCCAACCATCTAAAAAGATTCACTTGAGTTTCTGAGGGATTTTGTTGGTGTTTTGCATTCAGTTTGAAGCCCAAAGTATATATTGATATGTTGATTTATTTAGAAGAAGCAGAATTAACTCTCAAAAAACAAAAAATTTCTTAAATATATTTAGAAGGCAAAATTACCAGCTGACCAATACCCGAGAGGATAGTTAATATTTAATGACAACTGTTATTAAAAACAATTTTGGTGACAAAATAACATTCTAAAAGCCATAAACTGAATTATATTAAAACCAACGTTTAAAGGAGTTTTCTACACATAAATAGGACTAAACATGAATTATTTCAGTAACAGAAACAGGAACCACGTTGACTTAACGACATTGCTAAGCTGCAAGATGACAAAAACACAGAAAAGTTCATTTCTGCAACAGTTTTTCCTCCTTACTTGAACCGAATCCGCGGAAATATCCCAGCCGTTATTAATCCAAGCCTGCCGTTCGTTCCGAAAGGGCTCCGACTTCACACAGTCGACGGCCTCCAAGCTTTAAAAAACATTTTTACTAAGTATAACCCTCTTTAGGAGGAAGTGGGTTCCATTCATAAAAAAGGCGACCGTGTCCACTCCGGGCTGGAAAGTCTTGTTTTTGGACCGAGGCTTTGTAACTTCACCCTTTTTAGAAGTTGTCAAGTTTCCAAGCAGTAACGGTCGTTCGAATGGAATTCCTGTAAGTTTACTTTCAAAATAAAATCCCGGAGGGCTTTATCTTCTTGTCATGACGTAAAATTGGTTAAGGCTTGCTCGCAAATGAGTTATAATGAAATACACATAAGGTTATGAATAAACATCTAAATTATTATCCACAATGCGTACGCTTAAGAAACGTACCTCTTTTATTCTGAAATTCTCATCCGGAAGTTGAGTTGGTTCCGCTCCTTACTTGACGGCGCTCTTCTATCTTTGGTCTCAGCACACTGCAGGGGCCGCTGCCTTCCACCAGCCCAGTCCTGGGTTACCGCCTCCTCTGTGCATTGCCTTCCGTTATCAGGCTCTAAATCGCCTCGGTATCCGCTGTCTATTCGGAAAATTTGATTTCATTATGATAAAAGTCCTAATAAGCCCGTCACATGATTAAATCATTTGAGATAACGCAGCTCCTCTAGCGGATACCTGGCGATCTCTTCTGCTCCACGGATTCCCTGCAGTTGCCGAAGCTAGGCGGGTTCTAATTGGTTGAGCTAACAAAGAGGGGCGGGACGTACAGGGTCGTTTACCAAATTTGGAACTGATGAGACACTTTGATTGGTTGATTTTGTCAACAAGTGAGAAATTTGCAACAAATGTAATTTTTTTTTAAACTCCTGGATTATAATTGTTGGTTTTGCATTAAGAGGTTATTGTCTATCTGTTCAAATAAATTAACCTAATTATCATGAAAATGACAAAAAAAAAAAAAAAAAAAAAACACAGAGACACATAATTGAAAGCTGGCTCAAGACAAAAGGAAAAAGACGTGCACAGAAAAAATCTTACTGATTTCTTTTTTTTTTTTCTTTTTAAATATTTCATGACAAAAATCTATTTTGACAGTCATTACCTGACCCGCATCTCCCTCTGGTGGACAAACATTTCCTGTACAGTCACACAAGACAAGATGGATTGTTAATTTATTTGATAAGTATTTTTATTGTGTTTTAAGACAACATTTTTAATATAGTTTTACATTTCAAATTGAAATAGTTCATGTATGAAATTGTCCTCAAAGTCCATACTCTAAAAAGGAAGTTAATGTATTGTGTTTTGGTTGCTTTAAAACTCTTATTCCACTTATTTCCTTTTAAATAAACCAAAATACCAGTTTGGTTATTTAACAGAAGCATAGAGGCAGCTTGGATCAGGCGATACTCCTATTCTAACGGCGCTGTAAGTCACTGCTGCATCACTTCCCCGAACCTGTGATAACACAGTGCAGCAAATAAATCACTGCATATGAACACAAATCCCCACAAATGAGAGATTTATATGAATACTCTGTGCAGTTTCTTAAAATATATTATTTTCAGATAACTTACCTGATTGTTGCTCTTCTTTGGGAGGTTAATTGAAGCATAAGAGATGGTTGCATCAGGTTCATCCTACACAAACAAGAACCTTAAACAACTACTTGATATTTATTAAGTTATTTCCAACATTTTCATTTCCATTTATTGAGAGCAATTCTTTTTAAGTCTATTCACGGGTGTTTTCGAACATGTAATTTATTCCTAAAAGCTTGATGAAATTGAGACATGAAGCTGACATTTTGGGAAGCTAACAGAGGAAACTTACTGGATCCTGGTTCAGTTCTGCAGCAGACTGAGCAGCTGCAGGGGCTGAGCTCACCTGGGTTTTATTTCCTTCAAAGAGCAAATCCAAAGACATGGTTTAGTATTTATAGTGAAGCTATTAATGTCTTCAGTCGGATCTTCTCACCTTTATTTTTCTTCCTTTTCATTAAAAACACAACAGCTAACAGGAAAGCTGCCAAAACGACGACTACGACGATGGACAACCACCACATACCTAACAATAGGAATAAACATTTTTATTTCATGTAGATCTATGCATATTATGCATGTATTCATCATATAATCTTCAAAGATTAGATGTTTAATTCAAAAGTCAAATGATGTGAACAGAAATAGATTCCTGACTCACCAGATGGATGATCTGCCTCGTTGTTTTCACATCTTTTATTTTTCTTCCCTATTTTCAGAAATTTCATGACATTAAAACATGAAGGCCAAATTTTTCAGCTCATTTGATCAGACTGAATTGACAAATTGAGATTTTCATATTTTATTAGTTTTCTGACCTGCAGTTTGATCTCTGAAGGGAAACTGCTGCGGCTCCCTTCCTCCAGACTCTGCTACTTCACATAGCAGTAAATTATAACGGCCCGGCTCATAAACATAATGTGAAGTCTTAAAGGTGACGTCAGCAGCACAAGCAGAGTTTTCTGTTTCTAGATCTGGATTATGTTTATTAATACTTCGACCTTTAAAAAGCCACTTCACTCTGTGTTCGCATGGATCATTTGGTATAACAGAACATGTTAGTGTCACGTCTTCATCGTCTTTCTGTTCACTAACTGTTGGAGGAAAACAAATACCTGAGGTTAGCTGGTGACTGTGCTGAATACTTATTTAATATTTAGTGAAAGGCTGAGAATATGTACTCACTGTCAACCAGAGACAAGGCGACTGAGTGTAAGGTCTCCTTCTCCTTCTTGTCTATGTGTTGTTGGCAGTGATATGTCCCAACGTCTGCAGCACCGACCCTCTGAATTATCAGAGAGCAGTTTGATGAGATGCTCAGTCTGTCTGCTTTTTCTCTGGCAGCCTGAGTTTGAAGAATCTGACCAAACTTGACCAGATCTACCGCCGATCCCCGACCTGATTTACTGAAGAGCCAGTGGATCCTGAGGCAGTGAGTCGGATCCATCATGTTTTCACAGGCCAACAGAACTTCATCTCCTCCTCTCACCATGACAGATGAAGAACTTTGCTTTGTTACTGCAGAGAAAAGCAACGGAATGAAAACAGCTAAAACGAGAAAACATGTCGACGCAACAGGAAATGCAACAATCTCACAGCTATAACAAGAAAACTTGCTTCTTTCAGATAAAATACAAAACATACAGCAGTAACAATGATCCTCACCTGTAAACTTGAGAGCCAGAATCAGACATAAAGACAGTTGAACTGATCTGAATTCAGTCATTCTGTTTCTCGACGGTTTGTCTTCTCTCTGCCTCAAGTGTCAGCAGATTTTTTGACAACTGCAGGCCAGTCAGCACTTCCTGAATTTCACAATGTTCCTCTTTCATAGATCAGACTTATCTCATCCTAAGATGCTCTTGTTTTTTCTCACCCTGTTATAAATTCACCTCTGACTTGAGGGGGGCTGACCAACATCTGAACAACACAGATTTAGATTTGTGTGAAGAGGGGAATGTTTGTCTTTTGTAACTTGTCTCTCTTGTTGGGATGCTACTTTAAGTTGACAACTCAGTTTGTTTCCACTGAGCTGCAGGCCACTTAGCATTTCCTGAGTCAATAGATTATTTCCTTTTCAGTAAAAATGTTCTTCTCCAGTACTTCACACGTCACATCCGTCTGTGTGTCACTTCTTTCTCACTCTGGTGTTTATTCAACTCTGATCTGAGACAGGTTGACTTGTTGCAGGAATCCAGGCTCATTTCCCCTCATCCATGACTGAGGTTCAGATTTAGAGACAGTTTTAAATTAAAACCTGTTATTTAATTACTCTTTTTTTATATTTCACCAGATGCCAACCTTTAACGCCCCCTGGTGGACAGAGATGAGTTTAACAGTCCTGGCCAAGAGGCAGCAACAAATACAACGAATCTTCAAAAAGAAAAATGTTGATGTCAATAAAATTTCTTTGTCACTTTGCCTGAAACAATAAATCAATTAATTGCATGATAAATGTAAAAAAGCACAATAATTTCCATTGTCTTTATTGTTTTCTTTTTCTTGTGTCTCTTCTTGGTGTTTCATCTCAACTGGGCCTTTTCTGAAGAACAATTTCATTAGATTGGTGAAATATTAAATTAAATCAATTAAATATTATAGTGTGGGACATTTTTGTAGAGTCCACATTTCGTTTGTGGCTCAGTTAATATATTTATACTTACTGTCAACAACAATCAGCAAACTTAAAATCTCTTCCCTTCCGACTTTCTGCAGGTGTCACTGCCGACGTCCGCATAACCACAGCAGTCTGCTGTTAAACCCAGTTCACCCAGTTTGGCAGACTGGTCACCAGTCTGTCCGTCTACAGCTGTTTCGAAGCCTCCTGCAGTGAAGTAAAACCAGTCGATGCTGTTTCACTGAAAAAAGGTCAGAATTTGCTGAAAAAGTCAGAAATTTGAAAATGAAAGTCAATGTTTTTCTTCTGAGGCTTTAATCCTAATCTGTATGTTTCTACTTTCCAAATCTCGACTGAACTTTTAGCAGCTTTTCTCACCTGTTGTAGGAAAAGGCAGCAACAGAAACAGAGACATGCTCCTCCATGTGAACGTTACATTTCTCCTGACGTCTCTGTGGGAAAATAAATCTGGACTTGGAAACTTTCAAACTGAACTTATGGGATCATTTTTCTTTAATGTGCTGACTTTTTTTCCACATGGTGTAATTGACTGAAAAACGCGTTGGGGGTTTAATGACTCATTTATTTTCTCTCTGATTACTCAACCAGATGCTCCATATGGTGCAGTCCGTACGTTTTGATCCTTTTCTCTTTCATTTAAGAGGAAAAGAGCAAAAGTAACATCTGGAGACGACGACCATCCAGCTAAAAAAGCAAAACATAAAAAATTTTGATTCAAATCAGATTGTGAATTAAATAAAATAAAATATAAAATTATAATAAATTTGTCATTTATCATAATCTTCATCATTTATCATAAAATATCTGACCATAAGAAGCTTTATTTATCGTTGTCTCAGTAAATTTCAATTAATTATGCTTTTGAAAGAATGACAATACTTTCAGAAATGCTATTTTATTTTATTTAATTTTTTCTGTTTTCAGAATATGCAGAAATTTTGACATTTTTTTCTTTAACCCATGTATTCAGATTTCTTTTGTCTATGAGATTTGTTAATCAGTGTTATTATGCATTGTGTGCAATACCGTCATCAACAATAATTGATAAAAACCCAAACTAAGAAAGAAAGTAAACCTGGATACATATTGTGTTATTGGATCAATAAATGAAGAAGTTGTGACGAGTTTTGGAAAAGCATCTGAACAGAGAAGCTCCACATCCTGTTTCTTTCTAAAGAGGATGCTTAGAAAGAAACAGAGAATCTGTTAAAGAGTTTATTCTATTTTTAAAGTTGTGAGAAATGATCCCTGCTGATCTTCAGGCAGGAAATGACTGAGGAACGTTTCTAGTAATAGAAACATAGTTTATACTTCAATCATGTTATCATGCTCCATTCAGTTGCCAGAGGAATTATATTTTGTATTAAATACATATTTTTGATGTAATTATTGTACTTTTTGTTTCAATAAAGTCTTTTCGAGAAACAGAGTTTATTTGTTTTCTTTTCCTCTAGTTCCTGATTGTTTCATTTTTCAGTACCTCTCATCACCACTAGATGTCCTCGTTCTTTCAGATCCAGTTACTCGTTAGTTTAAACACTCAGTTTTCAGTTACTGGAAAAATGATTTTGTAATTAAGTGAATTTCGTTGCCAGAGACTCAGGCAGCTGAAGTCCTTGAAGCCATATGAGGTAATTCTGTTATTTATCTTTTTTTAGTGACTTATTTAGTCGTTATTTAAAGTTTCTGCTTACTTTGCCATGAGGTTTGATATTTTTGTGTTTGGAGTTTTGTGTCCAGCATATTGATTTATTTCAACACTTCTGGCAAACTTTAATATAAATAGAGCTCTTAACTGTGGGAAACAGCACACAACTCCAGATTGCGCGTAAACCAAGTTTGCTAAGAGACAAATTGCAGCTGTGTTTTTCAGAAAACATTCAAGTAAGAAATAAGATTTTTGTAATGGTGACCCAGGATTGCATTTAGTAACAAGAAGAGAAATCATTTGTTTTTATGTGGATCAGAAGCCGCATGCAGAGTAAAGAGGTTTGTTGGTATTTTTTCTGTTTTTGTGTTTAAATATCAGTCCTTAAAAATTTTTATTGTCAAGAATGCAACACAAAAAATTCAGTGTAATTTTTTTTTAATCCAACAATTAAATGTAACAAACAAAGTATTTTCAAATTCAGTGATAAATAAAAGAAATACAAGATTTAATTCATGACTGACTAACTTTTATCAGATTATCATAAAACTCTAAAAAAAAAAGTTGGTGCATTTACAGAGCTTATATAAACTTTTAAAACAAGTTTTGATTAATTTAATCAGCAGGAAAAAAAAAGATTTTTATTTTAGTATTTCACCTTCAGATCACTTTTGGTCAAGGATGAATTGACTGTTTTTCAGTTGATTAACTGACATCCATAGTTTTATTCAATTTATATAACTTCCATACAGCACAATGTTTGTGACATTTGTATTACTTTACAAACTTAATAATGTAATAAATAAAGCATCAGACTGAATCAGTAAATCAGATCAATAACACATCATTAATAACCTGCACATCATTATTATGAGCTGAAACCTGATTTCACACCAACGACCCAACTGAAATGAATCAGCATCCAGTTAATATCTCAATAACAGTTAAACTTCATGATAAATACGGTTTTGTTTTCAGAAGTGTTTCGTTTGTTGTTCATGTGATTTGCTGACGGTTTGCGTTGAGGCTGTCAGGATGTCAGGAACCTGCAGGAGAGTCGACCTTCACACAGCTGTAGGTCACAGAGTCGCCTGGCGCCTCGTCATCCTTCACGAGAGCACAGAGCAGAAATTAAATCTGACTTCATCAACGCGTCAATGTGAGCCTAAGAACTCATGAGGACAAAAAAAGGACAAAAGTAACTCATCCCTGAACAATTACTTTATTGTGGATTTTTGTGAAAAAAACTGAAATTTCAAAATGTTCTGACTTTATGCAGGAAAGTGAGTAACAGCAGCCTTCTTCAAATTTACTGAACATGAAGCAAGACATCAAATCAACCAAAGTTCAGACCAGCAGCAGTTCTGCTTTTCCAGCTCCTAATTTCACCATCGAGCTTAACAGAAGGAAACTTACCCAAGTTTTACTTTTTGCCTTTTCTTTGAGGCAAATGGTGGCGTAGGGCACGTCATCATCAGGTTCAGCCTAACAAAAAGAAAAAACTTTTACCAACTGACACTAAGATTCACAAGACAACAAAGATAAACCGGAAGATTTCCTTTTAGTTGGCTAAAGTGTTTTGTTTCTCCAGGTCACTGAGTGCAGGATACCTCCATATTCTAACACTTATAATTATTATCCTCCTGCAGCAACAACTAATCTTGAGTAAATAAAATTCCTGCAAAACCAAAAATCCAACAGTTTAAATAAAACGGAAACGACTCAGATGGATTTGAGACTGAGACACGTTTTTCACTTCTGTTCATTCTCCTTTCTTCTTTGTGCCACAAAAAAGTCTTAAAATATGTTTAAGAAAATGAATAAATTTCATTATATTGTAAAATGCAATGCCAACATTTTTTTCTCATAGTTTGGCGTGAGGCTATCAAGAAAAACCAAAGCTCAATTTGTGCTTTCAAAACTCTCAAAATCTTCCATTATACATTTGGAAAGTTCTTCCAAAGAGATGCGACAGAAACTTCAGGACGTTAGTTCCTCCTCCCCCACCTGTTGCTACATTCTGCTGGTGTGTCACCTTTTCCTTTCTTACGGAAACAGAAATGTTTCTGTTTGGAAACTATTCTGGTTGTGAAAAACAAAAACCAAAGCGAGTTCTGGTGTGGAAACCAGACGAACATCATCTTAAAGCTTTAATGAAGTAAAAATGTTTTAAAAATGTAACTGTGAAGCTGCAAGCAGCATGTCTGCTGATATGGTTCCCTTCCATTTTCAAGGTAAATTTTCACATATTTCCAGTCTCAAACTTTTTATTTTTCCTCAAAAACACTCATGTAACACTTTTGACAGCAAAGTGAGATAAAGTTATAATATGAAATATCATTTTCTGCATAATTCCTAAAGCAACACTTTAGTTTGAAAACAGGATTTAACCATTTCAGTTCCGTGTTTGCAGGTTTGGTTGTTCACAGCAATGCTGAGGTGAACAGAAGAGACTCTACGGTGGCCAACTATGGACAAAAACCTTCAGATCACTGCTGCAATGACCAGTTTGTGTTACTGCCCACCAGATGCTGCTGTGACAGAATCAGAGCCTGGAGTTCCGGTGGAGTTCACATTCTCACCGTGTTTGGACCGTTTCCAGGATTAGTCAGAACCGAAGCAGAGTTCAGGTTTTGCTCCTGTCAAAATGCAAAGAAAAGCTTAAATCACCACAACATGAACTGTGCAGCAAAATTCAAAATGAAATGAATAAACTCACCACATCCTGAAGAATAATTGATCTTTCCTCTAAAAATGCATGAAGGTACATTTTAGCTCCAACAAACAACTTTCTGAGAACAATTCAGTTCATTTCACAGCAAAGTTTTCTCTGACCTTCCCCTCGTTTCCACAGAGTGATCACCAGAACAGTTACTATCAACGCCACTGAACCAACCGACACCACAACGTATAACCACACATCTGCAAACAAAAGAAGGAAAATAATCTTAAAAGTACAACTTAAACATGCAATCATAATGTTTTACTCATGCATTTGATCAGAAACAGAAAATCATTTGCAGCATAAAGTGTAATATAACAGAGATGCGTTACTGAATGGGGTTGTTGAAGTGTTTTTGAATGCAGGCTCTGTTTTGTTAGCTGTTCCTCCTTCTGCATTTGTTATGCTTACATCGTTGCCTGTTGAATTCAAAAGTGTTATTATTGTTTGCTATATTTATATGCATTTTCTCAGTCTTCTCACAGCTCCCTGCAACTCACCGGCAGCCTGAGGGCTGAGGGGAAACAGCTGGTCTCTTTCTGTGGAATCATCCTTCACTTTGCAGGAAAACATCTCTCGATATTTCGGTTTGTTCTTGAGGAAACTTTCAGAAATAACAGCAGTAACTGAACATCTGGATGTCTTGATGATCATGGCATCCTTCAGAGCTTCCCCCTCGTACATCCACTCCACCGTGTGTTTGCACATTTCATTTGCTGCGACGACGCAGGAAATCTTCACCTGGTCGCCCTCTTCCTTCTCCATCACTGGTGAATATAACAAATGAGATTTACATTGACTCCTGAGGTTTAAATGTTAACATGATAACACACTTTTAAACACGTACTTGTTATGAGAAACAGATAAGCATGAGCATCATGACTATGACTGATATGTGAAGTTCTGCAGGTGTAGAAACCAACATCCTCATGAGAAACCTTCTTTATGACCAGAGAGCAATCAGCCGCCACCTCCAGTCTCTCTGTTTGTTCAGAAATGTGTCTGTCTGTAGAGACTGTAACTGATGCATCAGGTAAATCACTGAACAGCCAGTTAGTTTTTTCACATGTATCCTGTTCATCTCTCTTGTTATCACAAGGCAGAGTGACGTCGTCTCCAACCGGGACAACAAATCTGGGTGAAAACTTCCCTGTGATTTCTGTTGAAAAAGAAAAAAAATCATAAATCCTAACTAGAATTAACAAAAATGTTGTGAATTCTGAATAATTTCTTGTTTTCTTACCTGTCAGCTGCAGAACCAGAACCAGAAGCAGAATTACAAACATTTTAATCCACTCAGGTTCCTCCCGTCTCAGCACCAGCAGTTATTTCTTCTGTCATCGACGTCTTTGAACTTGGAGATCCTGAGAAACTTCCTGTGACTTGCAACATGTTGTTTCCTCAAACATACTCAGTTTTGTACATTTCCAAACTTATGTAGGCTGAGCTCATCAATTTTCTGGTTAGAATCTTATGAGTCAGAGAATTGCTAAAGATTAAAAATAATGAGTTATGCAAACAGTGAATCGGAAAAGTTCATATCAGTTCAGTTAAGATGAATAACAGCAGGTTTTAGAGCAACATATTGCTCAGATGTTGGACTATGATGAGAAATAAGCTGTTATGAGGAAGAACAACAATGAATCTTTAATTGACAGAACCAACACTTCCAGTCACACAACTCATTCTGTTCACAGCATAAAGTTTATTTAAACATGAATTAGTTGAAATAGATGTAATGGTTCATGTAAGTCTTTAAAACATTTCTGGATCAGTGAATATTTAACTTTTTCCCTGCTTATCTTCAGGTCACAGATTGAGTGTCCCTGAGTTTGAATGAGCTGTAAAACTGCAGCATGAGCAGCTTCTGCAGCATGTTGTTGCAGAAATGCAGCATGTTGTTGCAGAAGTGCAGCATGTTGTTGCAGAAATGCAGCATGTTGTTGCAGAAGTGCAGCATGTTGTTGCAGAAGTGCAGCATGTTGTTGCAGAAATGCAGCATGTTGTTGCAGAAGTGCAGCATGTTGTTGCAGAAATGCAGCATGTTGTTGCAGAAATGCAGCATGTTGTTGCAGAAATGCAGCATGTTGTTGCAGAAATGCAGCATGTTGTTGCAGAAATGCAGCATGTTGTTGCAGAAGTGCAGCATGTTGTTGCAGAAATGCAGCATGTTGTTGCAGAAGTGCAGCATGTTGTTGCAGAAATGCAGCATGTTGTTGCAGAAGTGCAGCATGTTGTTGCAGAAATGCAGCATGTTGTTGCAGAAATGCAGCATGTTGTTGCAGAAATGCAGCATGTTGTTGCAGAAGTGTAGCATGCTGTTGCAGAAGCATGGGTCGGATATCCAGGCTTCCAGACCCTCCTGGTGGAGATGGAGACAAAATGTAACTTTCTCACATATTAAAGTCTGTGAATTATGATATTTCTGTTCCCACAGTGTGAGACTGCAACAAAAACTCTGCCCACGTTAAACAATAAGGTCAATTCTGAGGAAACATGATGTTATTTTGAATAAAACTGTTTAAACTATGTCTGCAGTTTCAGTCACATCAGTGGATGGTTTGAAAAAAAAGAGGATATTTAAGTAAAGTTAGAAGCCTGATTTGTTTTAACTGTAATTATGCACTGAAAATGTAAAATGATCATTCTAATAAACTGTTTAGTGGAGCAGCAGGTCTGGTTCATGAGGCAGGATGTAAAATCAGGACTCAACTCTGACACAGATCAAAGTGCCAGCTGTTAAAGAAATCATTAACTATTTGCATTGTGTAAATTTTTCCTCCATCTGTCCAGCCAACCTGACCGCATTCTCTGTTAGCTGCTTTCCTTTGCAGCCTCACTCTGAACCTGGTCTGGAGTGCTGGACGTTTCAGGGTCATGGGGCTTTTAGATGTTTTCCTCCAGGCCTCCTCCACCTCTTGGTTGGTAGCTCTGGCTGTCCTGCTGCTGGTCTATTTCATTTCCTCCAGCTTTAGTTCTGGAAAACATGGGAAGGAGCCGCCCGGACCGAGACCACTTCCTGTGATTGGAAACCTCCTGCAGATTGACCTGAGCAGACCGTACCACACATTCCAGGAGGTAAACGGGTCATCAACGGTTCATTTCATGCAAATTTAATTAAGCCTGCTGAAGCTTGAATCCTAAAGATTCACAGCTAAAACAAGTGGAAGTTTTATTGTTGTTAAAACATAAAGTCTATGAAAGACACACTAAAGCATCACTTTAGTGCAACATCCAGCACTAACAAGATGGGTTTAATGCTTTAGCTGATTATTTACTGGGAAAATTTGTGCTCAATATATATTTTCTTCTTTTTCTGCAAATTTCCTTTGCAATAGGATCAAAAATTCTTGCTGAGAACAATAAAATGGCCGGTCCAGATGGCTTCCAGTGTTACTGACAAGGAGATCTTCTTTGTCACAGAAAGTTGATGAGTTTCTTTCTGTTTTCAGTTTTCTAAGAAGTATGGATCAGTCTTCACTGTGTATCTTGGGCCCAAAAAAGTGGTGGTTCTGACCGGATACCAGACGGTGAAGGAGGCTCTGGTTCAGCACGACGAGGAGTTTGGAGACCGGGATTCGTTTCCGATTTTACATGACTTCAACAAAGGGCATGGTGAGGACAGAAAGCCTTTTGTGATATGTACTTACGTCTGTCCAAATCAAATTATATACCAGAATTTATTTTAGGGGTCTTATGGTCGAACGGTGACTCTTGGAGAGAAATGCGACGCTTTGCTTTGACAAACCTCAGGGACTTTGGGATGGGCAAGAAGGCGTGTGAAGACAAAATAATAGAGGAGTGTCAGCATCTCATTGAGGTTTTTAAGAATTTCAAAGGTAAAACTAATCATTTTTTCAGTCCTGTCTCATAAAAAACATTAGAAATAGTTTCTTTCAGATTAATATTGCAATAAAGTTGCAAAGATGAACCCATGTCTCTGTGTCCATGTAGGATGTAAAGATGTAAAAACCAGCTTATTGTTCTTTGCTTGGCTTCGTACAGAGGCTCTGGACCCTTGACTATTGGGAAATGATTCCTTTCTGACAAAATGTTTTTGATGTTCTGAAATATTTAATTGTAACAAAACAGCAAAAACAGGATGAATCTCTCATTTTTATTCCGCTTTAAACTTTGACTATTTCCACTTTCTCTCAGGAAAACCTTTTGACACAATGCAGCCAACCAACTACGCCGTCTCCAACATCATCTGCTCCATGGTGTACGGCAGCAGATTCGAATACAGTGACCCAGAGTTCACATCAATGGTGGATCGAACCAACAGGAACGTTCTGCTCAGCGGTTCTCCGTCCATTCAGGTATTTAATGCAAAGACAGCAACATGCTGCAGGGTGGAGAAACCATTAACTTATATGAGAACTTCTTCTTTGAAAGCTTTACAACATGTTTCCACGCCTCTTTAAATGGGTCACAAAGAGGAAGGAGTTCACAGAAATGGCTGTAGCCAATCAGAAGCAGAACTTCGCCCTCTTCAGGCGGTTAAAGGAGACGCTGAACCCGGACATGTGCAGAGGTTTTGTGGACGCCTTTCTGGTTCGCAAGCAGAACCTGGAGGTTTGATTTTTCAGCTGGCATTATTTCATCAGCTCTGGTTGAATCTGCTCACTTTGCCCTTACATTACAGTTTATTGATATTCCTGTATTTCAGTGTTAAGTCATGAATATGTTGCTATATGACTTTCTAGTACAAATACAAACCATGCATAAAAGAGTTCTATAGTTCAGCACTGACCCAATATGATTTAATTACAATTAACTACAATCATAATTAATTAATTAGAAGAAAACCTTCTCATAAATAGGAACATGTGGTGATGTAATGCACACAAGGAAACAAAATCTACAGCTGTTTAATTTTCCTGCTGTGGAAATGAGATAAACACTTTTCTTTTTTCAAAATGCAAAAAAGCTCAATTCCAGTGGAAACTCCAAACAAAATACATGTTTTATATTCTATCTTTGATGCCTGGTTTTATTGTAAAGCATTTTTTTTGCCTGTGGCTGTTAAAGCTGATGACAGGAATGTGCAGAATCATAATTATTTGTCCATCTGCAGGCGTCTGGAAATAAAAACAGCCACTTCCACAATGAGAACCTGTTAATGACGGTCACAAACTTATTCAACGCCGGGACTGAAACAACATCCACCACTCTGAGATGGGGGCTTCTCCTCATGGCCAAATATCCAAAGATACAAGGTAAAACCTTTACCACCATCACCAGAAGAAGAAGAACATGTTTTAACTAAAGTTTATAGTGATGCTGCTGGGAAGAAGTGGGTCAGTGTCTTGATGCTTTCCGCCTCCCAGACCGGGTCCAGGAGGAGCTGAGGAGGGCGATAGGAGATCGGCAGGTTCAGGTTTCAGACAGGAAGAGTCTGCCGTTCACCGACGCCGTGATCCATGAAACACAAAGACTGGCCAGCATCGTTCCCACTGCGCTGCCTCACAGAACCAGCAGAGACACCATGTTCCAGGGTTACTTCATCAAGAAGGTTGGGCTGAAAAAAAACCACCTGAATTTATATCAAACCAGGAAAAGCAAGTATACTAACATGATGATGTCACACTACACAGTAATTCTGCAGTCACATTATATGGCTTCACAGATGTTTTTACAGCTCAAAGAAAAGAAGACATTTTTGGTGTGTTGGAGAAGTGACTGATCTAAAATGTTCAGGATTTTAGCTCCAGAGGATCAGACTGGATTCTGCTGCTCCAGTCTGGAAAACTGTGAAAACCTACAGAATGCCAGTTTATTTGAGGGAAGATGGTTTGCAAACAGGAAGTTGGAGCTGTAGATGGGACCGACAGAGAGGACTGAGGACCTCTGGTGGACAAAAAGAGGAATTACGTCTGTTTTCTCTGTACATGCCTGGATAAATTTGATTAAATATTTTATTTCAAACTTTAGTAACATTTCCTCTGTCAGTCATGGATTTAAGAGCCTGGAATTATCTTAAACTATTTTCAACAGACTGAGAAGTGTAATGCAGTTTGTTTCTCTTAGCAGATAAATTGTCTGCTGTGTTTCCATATTTTGTCTGCTGCAGGGAACCACAGTCTATCCCCTCCTGACCTCCGTCCTGCATGATCCCAGTGAGTGGGAGAAACCCCACAGCTTTCATCCTGCTCACTTTCTGGACAAAGATGGCAAATTTGTAAAGCGTGACGCCTTCCTGCCGTTTTCTGCCGGTATGTGTTGGTTCAGGAGTCTCTCTGCTTTTAGACAGGAAGCATCTTCTGTTTTCATCTTGACCGCTCCTTCAGGTCGCAGGATCTGCCTGGGAGAGAGTTTAGCCAGGATGGAGCTGTTCATCTTCTTCACCACCCTGCTGCAGCGCTTCCGCTTCACTCCAGCACCGGGAGTTAGAGAAGACGACCTGGACCTGACGCCACGCGGAGGCATCACTCTCAGCCCTACGACTCATCAGCTGTGTGCTGTTTCTCAGATGTGAAGAACAATCAACAGTTCATGCAAAGCTTTAACTTTTGAATCTTTATGTCAGAGAGTGAAAAACTATATTTGTGAAACAGAAATTGTTCATGCAATAAGTCTGAAGAAAAAAAAAAGTTAAATGTTTTGACATGTGGCTAAACTAAGATTATCCCATAATCTGATAAACCAGCAACAGATTAGAACCACAAAGAATAAAAATGATGAAAAATTTGTAAGGTGTGGCAGGAATTTCTTAACCATAAAGTAATTATGTTGTCTACCAGAAGCAATAAAATGATCATTGAGTCAACTCTCTCCCAAATGCCTTTGTCCCACTGCTGATGATCTCAATGCATAATAATAATCTGCAGGCATCCTTTTTATTTCTTGGAAAGCTGGAATAATAATGATGAAATATCCAAGAATAAATCAGGAAGATGAACTGACAGATTTTCTTTCTAGTTTGCAGCCTCTACTTCCTGTTTATCACGGTCCTGCATAACATCAACATCTGATGAAATTATGCTTTATGTAGCCTAACTAATGAAGGATCTCTAACATTATTAATGATCTTGCAAAATTCAAATGAGCTGATATTTAACTCCTACCAGTTGCAAGAAAGAGCCAAACTAAAAGATAGCACAGAAGCTCTGATGAAGGAAACCTGGACACCCAGATCTACCAGACCAGGTTCAAACAGCACAAAGACGCTGCAGGTACAATCCAGCACAACCTCACAAAACTAGGAGGAAAGGAATACAGGCAACATCATAACCAGTTGGCTGTTTGCACAAACTGCCTGTTTGCACAACCAGCCAGACATTGATTGCAGCAGAAGACAGTGATTGTGACTGAGGCTGTGGAAGAATACAGAAACATCAGAAAGAGAGAGAGACTTGCTCCTGCATGTAGGCGGCGCCTCAGACTGAATTCCTGGTTGTTTATGAGTGTTACGTAACCCTTGTGCTGTTACAACTCTAACTTATTTCAACACAGCAGTTTGCTCTCTTTACTGAAAGCAGTTTGATCCTCTGTATGGTTTGCTTCAGCATCATGGGAATGTTGGATATTTTGCTCCAGGACTCCATTTCTTTCTCTCTGTTTGTGGGTCTTATCGTTCTTCTGCTGATTTATTTCACTGTCTCATCAATATTCAGATCCCAATGGCAGAAAAACGAGCCACCAGGACCCAGACCGCTTCCCTTCCTTGGGAATCTGCTGCAGATTGACTTGAAGAAACCCTACAAAACACTAATGGAGGTGAGACTATGAAGGGATACTTTTGTCCACTAAATTCTTTTTCCTTAAACCATTTTTTTTTCTTATTTAAGTTCTACAAGAAATATGGGCCAGTTTTCACTGTTCATCTGGGTCCTAAAAAAGTGGTGGTCCTGGCAGGATACAGGACAGTGAAGGAGGCGCTGGTTAACCACGACGATGTGTTTGGAGAAAGAGATCCAATGCTGATTTTTCAAGAACTCAGTCAAGGACATGGTAATGACAGAATAGAGTAGGTTTTAATACTCAGCACCTTTCTTCGGTTCAATAATAATCACATTCTCTGCCTAAGGCATAATCTGGACCAATGGAGATCCTTGGAAAGAAATGCGCCGCTTCTCTTTGACCAACCTACGAGACTTTGGGATGGGGAAGAAGGCCTGTGAGGATAAAATCATTGAAGAATCTCAACACCTCACTGAAGTGTTCAAAAAACAAAAAGGTAAAAATAAATCTCACTAATATTATCTGGGGATAATGCAGCAAAATATATTCTGATTTCTTTCCCTGGATTGTAGGAAAGGCGTGTGATACAACCCAGTCCATATGCTACGCAGTCTCCAACATCATCTGCTCCATGGTATATGGCGGTAGATTTGAATATGATGATCCAGAGTTTACATCTATGGCAAACAGAATAACTAAAGGTGCAATCATTTTTGGCTCTCCCTCAATACAAGTATGTTTTCGCTTTTATATTTTAAACCAGTACAATTTTGCAGAATATTTATCTATTTATTAGAAAAACATTATTTTCTGTATCACAGGCCTACAATCTCTTCCCCACACTTTTCAAAAGGATTGCCAACAGAAGGACCATTCTGGGGATGAATGCTGCCAGTCAAAAACAAAACTCTGCCATCTTCAGCCATTTAAAACAAACCCTCAACCCACAGATGTGCAGAGGGTTGGTGGACGCCTTTCTGGTTCAGAAGCAGAAACTGAAGGTTAGGAGATGCAGAAACTGCCTCTAGTTAGAAAATTATTTAAAATGTATGAAGAATATACCAGCATTAACTTTGGTTCATCATTTCTAGTCATGTAATGTTTGTTTGGTCATGTGACAGTGAGGCAGTAATAGACCGTGGGGTTTAACTGACACAGATAAGCAATATCAGCAGGGTGGTTGTTTTTCGACAGCCATTTAAGGAAAAATATATAATAGATTGATCATATTGGTAAACAGGGGTGCCTGTATGAAGAGACAAATCCAGCTAAAGTTATTTGCTAAGTATTAGTTATAGCTACATTTGTTTAGACTGGATGAAGCTGCATCACATCCAGCTGCTGCTCTGTGTTTGTGTGCAGGAAGCTGGAGTAATCAACAGTCAGTTCCATGATGACAACCTTCTCACAACCGTTTTAAACCTGTTTGCTGCTGGTACTGAGACCACCTCCACTACGCTGAGGTGGGGGCTCCTGTTCATGGCCAAGTTCCCACAGATACAGGGTAAAAATCTCTACTCTCCACACGAAAACACTAACAAGCTTAAGCTTCAACAGCAAATTGCCATTGGAACCAAACTGGGATTTTCTTAGAGTGCAATCAGTTGTTGTGTTTTCTTTCTCAACAAGACAAAGTTCAGGAAGAGCTGAGACGAGTCATAGGAGAGCGTCAGGTTCAGGTGGCAGACAGGAAAAGCCTTCCTTACACCGACGCCGTCATTCACGAAACCCAGAGGATGGCAAGCATCATTCCAATGTCACTTCCACACAAAACCACTCGGGACGTCACATTCCAGGGTCATTTCATCAAGAAGGTTGGACTGGCCAAAATACTGTACGTCTTATAAAACAGCAAATATCTCCTCAATGAGTCCTTTCAATTGGTCAGTTACTGCTTTCTGCTTTCAAACCCAAGAACATTACCAGCTATTAAGAAACTATTTTCTGGAGCCATATCACTGCAGTTGGTTCTGTATGTAATAATGACAGAGGAAAACCCCCTTCTCAATTTAATCTTCACATCCAATTAAAGATGAAGATGGAGAGAAACGCTTTCCTGTCAGAAATAACATGAAGCTTTCAGCTATGGAAGCTGTTAAGCATTATAGTGGGAGCTTTTGTTGCTGGCTTTCTTTACTACCAGTAAAAGTGCAATGCTCAAGATGAATGTTGGATTGAAAGATGATGGAAATTCAACTTCAACTCAAATTATTTGGGAGAGAGTTGAAACTCACAGACAGATATCTCCTATCATGTTGGGTAATGTTATTTGTGTTTGCTGTGAGCATTAACTGCTCTAAAATGGGTAAAGATTACATTAGCATAGAAAATATGGGCTAGTAGCACTTTGAAAATGTTAGCCAGCAAGGTTTACAGTATAAATACAGTCCAGTAGCAGCGTTTGTTTCACCCAGTGATCTGTTGTGATTTCTCCAGGGAACTGCAGTTTATCCTCTGCTGATGTCTGTCCTCTATGATGAGAGTCAGTGGGAAAAACCTCACACCTTTTACCCTCCACACTTCCTGGACAAAGATGGAAAGTTTATCAAGCGAGATGCTTTCATCCCATTTTCTGCAGGTTTGTAGGTTGATTAAAGCCTATTCAGATTAAATATATTGGTAAAATATATTTAATGTAAAATTTTTCTCTCTCAGGTCGCAGGATTTGTCTTGGAGAGAGTCTGGCCAGGATGGAGCTCTTTATTTTCTTCTCCACCCTCCTGCAGCACTTCCATTTCTCTCCTCCACCTGGAGTTTCGGAGGATGAATTAGATCTGACGCCGCAGATGGGCCTCACGCTCACACCTTTACCTCATGAACTCTGTGCTGCTTCCCACATGTGACAAAGTAAACATGTCTCAATGTGTGGAGGCTGTGATGCAAAGATTATCAAGAAACTACATAAAATGAACATTTTATTCCTATGTGTAATCATCAAACTGTGACAAAAGTGTATTGAACACCACCCACCAATCATACACCAAAAAACATGACCGGTCCTGTCATCATATGAACAAATCAATCATTGTGATTGTGTTGAGCTGTCATTGTTTCAGACAGAATATGACCTCACTGTGAAATCATAATGATAGAAGCCCAGATCTACCACACCAGGCTCAGACTGTGCAAAGACAGCATCTCACAGCAGGAAAGGAATATATGCAACACCATAACTTATAACATTTCTTCAATTTCCTGAGGGAGTCTTCCCAAGGGATCAATAAAGTATGAGTCTAAGTCTAAGTCTAAATCATGTGGCTTTTTTGTTTTCAGGGTTTCACACATTCATAGATATTTTTGCTGACATCATGAAAATCTCAGGCTCACTTTGTTTACCAAAGTGAGCCTTTGTGATGAAAGTGAGGGGCAGAAACCGCGCACCTTCCACCCTTCCCACTTTCTTAGTTTGTGACGCAAGATGCCTTCATGCTGTTTTCTGCAGGTTTGTAAATTGAGCCTTTCTAGTTCAGAGGCAACATTTTCCTACGATGAGTGGCAAATAGAGAATAAGTTTCATTTCTGCTTCAGGTCGCAGGGTTTGTCTGGGAGAAAGTCTGGCCCGGATGGAGCTCTTCATGTTTTTCACCAGCCTGCTGAAGCACTTTCATTTTTCTCCTGCACCTGGAGTTTCAGAGGAAGACCTGGAGCAGAGTCCTCAACCCAACTTCTCCTTTTTCCCTTCACCTCATCAGCTGTGTGCCTTTCCACATATGTGAAGAGGACAGCATGTCTTGTGTAAAAATAATCTGCTCTGCTATTTTAAAAAAATGAAGGTAATAAAAGTACGTGGATAAACCAGATTGTTTAACAATAACTTTATTATTGTATTATAATTGTGTCGCCAAGTGACACTGGCAGCTTCAAAACAAAATAACAAAATAAAACAGAATAAAAAACATTATTTTCAGTAAAACCTTCTCTTGTTAATATTTATTTTTATTTCAATATTTGTTAAAATCAAGTAACAAATATTGAAATAAAATCAAGTATGTGTTAAATTATTATTTTGAATAAATTAAATGCACTCCTGACACAGAAACCAAATTTCTATCTTTCAGAAAACATTTGGGACTTGGTGAAAAAGAACATTTAAATTAATGTCCAGCGTACAAATCTGCAGCGAGTGTCTGATATTTTTATGTCAGTATGGAGCAAAATCTCACATTTTCACTTTATGCCTTGACGAAATGAGGCCCTTTTAAGGTGGGTTCAATCTAGTCCAGTAGGAACTAATTTAGTGACATTAAATATTCAATTTCCTCAGTAAATAATTAAAAAAAAATCTAATAATATATATTTAAGAAATAATACATCATGTTACTAAATAATGCTTTTCCAGGCTTAATAATTTGATAACTCAAACAAAAGTTGCAAATATTGATTCAGTTTGTTGATGCATCATATTAAATTACAGCATTGCCACAACTGTTGTATGTACAAAAAAATGAAATATAATAATATTACTCTTATACAAAATATCTGCTTGAGTTTGGTTGAACAGGTGGATCTTACAGAAATGTGTGTTAGCATCCAGCATCGGGAGAAGAAATTGGCTCTATTTATCTTTTATGGACTGAAATAATCCATCTTTCATGCATGAAAATAAAAAAAAGAAACAAACAAACAAAAAAAGTTTACAAACTTGACGATAAGTATCTGAACTCAATCTATTTGCAAAACCTCACTTCTTTCAATTGTTTCAACTACATACTGTTAACACTAATATTAGGAAATGCTGCATCTGTCCACTAGGTGGCAGCTGAGCAAAAATAAAAACACTTCAGCTCATAAATGGTCTAATAAAATACAAATAAATGTTCGTGAAATATGCCAATAACAAAACATGTCCTTCTATCTCTCTAAGCAGTTACTACAGTCTCCACCAGGAAATGAGGAAAAAAAACAAAACATTACCTGATCAAAAACTAAAAAGTTTCCTATGATTCTCTATTATTTGAACTGTATTGAATTTTCATCAATAAAGTTCCTCTGGCTTAATAACTTGCACACTATATGTATTCCTGTGATATTTTACAAAACAAATTATGTCTCAAGTTAAAAAGTAACAACTGTGCCCACTTTCCTGTCAATTGACTACCAAATAAAGGCCTACAGAGCCAATAAAACCTTAAAAAAAAAAAAAAGGATCAACTGTAAAACGTAACATTTCAGCTCTGATGTGACCTAAAAGATCTGGATTCAGCTTACAAGGGACGGAAAAATGGTCTGCGCTAAATAAACACTCATGTTGTGCAACAAGAATATCAAAGTTTACAGCAAATCTTTAACCTTGTTGCTCTATTAAACTTTGAACTTAATTAATTATTGTTGGCTAGTTCAGAACAGCTTCAACATGTTTGCATATAAAGCAGCACAACATCCTCAGCCTGGAAAGTTTCTTCCATTTTAAATATTTGTTTTTGCCCTAAATGCAAGTTTTAATATCTATCACTGTAACATTTCTTAATCTTAAATTGATAGAATAACACAATATAAAAACTTGCACTTTAGGGCCAAATAGTGGAGATATGTAATTATGCCGTTTAGAAGAACTGCAAAATATGATTAAGCTGCTCACCTTGAAGTTAAAAACTGTAAAATGTTGCAACTTCAGGGATCATAAAATGTCTCCAGAAACCGACTATTTAAAAAAAGATTTTTTTGTAGTTTGGGTTTGGTTTGGCTCTTTAGAAATGACTGTTTTTCTTATGAAGGTGTAAAACCCTGGTGCCGTCTAAGATCAAATTTAAGCAGAGGGCCGAAAACTGTCTGGTTTCAGTGCAGTGGAGCACCAGATCTGTATGCAGGTATCCACTTAACAAATCGTAATATAGATATATATTTATATATACACATCGGTTCTGGTGGTCGATAGTCACCAGAACCTTCAGGGTCTGAAGATATTTTCTGTGGAAAGAATCAAAATCACACGTGAGCAATTCATGTGTGTTCTCCATGCAGGGGACATTTTAATGTTGTCTTTACCCAGAAAGACTTTTCCATAAAGTAACTGGAAAAGTCTTTCTGAATAAAGACTTTTCCAGTTACTTGGAAAAGTCTTTACTGTATATTTTTGAAGTCTGTATGTTTTTGAAGCGTGTTAAACTTCAGAAAGACTTCTTTTGGCTAATTTTCCTTTAGTGTCTTAATATGAACAGCTTACTTGGGTTGTTTCTGACAACTGATATGAAATATTGCAAATCATTTTTGGAGGAAAAAACACAATATTCCAAACTTCCTGCTGTAAACCACCGGCTCCACCTCCACCTGCACCTTGGACTTTGCTTCTAACAACCTCAAATACATGTCCAACAGTAAAGCTGGTGCACAGCAGCAGCTGTTGAACGTGTTGCAGTCATGGGAGCGATGGAGGTTTTTCTCCAGTCATGGAGCCCAGTTTCAGTTTTAGGGGTTGTGGTTTTGATCCTCATTGGGTTTCACTTTATTCTCTCTAAGTCCAGGCCTCAGGGCCACAGACCGGGACCACCAGGACCAAAACCCCTTCCCATCGTTGGCAACCTGCTGCAGCTGGATGTTAAGAGACTTGACCTAGCATTCCTGAAGGTGAGACACAGCTGATCTCAACATTCCTCTCAACTGTATTTCATATGTTTTTACAATTTTTACAATTCTTTTAAACTATTATATATCTTGTTTTTCTAATCCATGCTTGCCCAGAACAAAAAAATGGGCCTCTGTTTACTAAAACTTGATTATGTTAAAAGACTTATATGCTGTGCAACTAATAGTATTCTAGTATTATGAAGGAAATCAACTCATCTGGGTCAGTTGATCTTACTCATCAAACATTGCAGTTTATTTTATTATTCAAAGTTTTCCATCTAAGGAAACAGAGCAGTTTGCATCAAGACATTAATTAACTTTGCAGCAACCTGTCATACTGAGCATGCATGCAGTGACAGAGAAGAGGAAAACTCCCCTTAAACAGGTAGAACCCTCCAGCAGAACAAGAACCTTGCCATCTGGGAGGCAGATGAGGCCCTCTGGTTATGGTTGGGGCTGTGGATAGACTGGGGGCCTTGGGAGCCATTTGGGGTTGGGTCTGGAATTCTCCAGGGGTCATTTGATTTTTGAATTACTGCTCCTAATTATGGTGGCTGGGCCTTCTGCTAAGATGCACAAAGAGTTGATGTATTGATTTTGATGTTTCTTCTTCAGCATTTTAGTTTTGTCTTTGCTATTTTATTGAACTCCTCCTCCACATAATATAATATAAGTTACTTTCTCTTTATCTATTTCATCATAGCTTTCTAAGACGTATGGATCTGTGTTCACTGTCCACATGGGGCCAAAGAAGACAGTGGTCCTGATTGGGTATAAGGCGGTGAAAGAAGCATTTGTCAGCTATGCTGAGGAGTTTGGAGAACGGGAAGCTCCCATCGTGGCTAAAGAAGCAAACCTGCATCATGGTACAGAATCTCTACAAATTCACATCCAGTGAAGTGAGTTTGCTGACTTATTGTATTTAACAGGTATTGCGTGGGCCAATGGCGACTCCTGGAAGGAAATGCGCCGCTTTGCTTTGACCAACCTGAAGGACTTTGGGATGGGAAAGAAAGTATGTGAGGAGAAAATCGTTGAGGAATGTCACTTCCTCACCCAGAAGTTAAAGGAGTTTAAAGGTAACAGCAGACAGGAAGAAGATATCACTGTTATTGTTGCAAGATTTCACCATGAGAACCTTGTTCTTAAACCTGAGGCATTATAGTTAACTCAGAGTTATTCTTTGCAATCCAACGTCAAAGTAAAACAATTCTCTCAATAGAGTTAATAAAGTGTTGAATAATGCTTTTCTGGTTCCTTTGTTGCAGGTGAAGCTTTTGATTTGTCCCAACATCTGAATTTTGCAGTTTGTAATATAATCTGCTCCATGGTTTATGGCAAAAGATTTGAATATGAGGATCCAGAGTTCAATACCATAGTAAATCGAACAACCCAAGGCCTTCACCTGTTGGGCTCACCAGCAATACAGGTGTGATTAAACTGTTTAAAAGCAAAAAATATGACTTCTTTTACCATTGGACTGAACACAAGGCCTAATGAAGTCACTGTTCATCATCAGCTGTACAACATGTTCCCAAAGATTGGCAAACTGGTGTTTTCAGCCAGAAAGAAAATGAGAGATATATTTGCTGCCAATAAACAACATCATCTGATGCTGCTGAACCGTTTGAAAGAGACTCTCAGTCCACAGATGTGCAGAGGAGTTGCAGACGCTTTCCTCATCCATCAACAGCAACACAAGGTCAGAATGACTGTAAATCCCATAATGCACTGCATTAATCTACTTTCAGCTTCAATAGACAGAGGGTGTGTTTCAGGAAGGAAACTCTGACCATGGGCAGATTAAAACCTATGACTGAGACAACACTCATTCTGTTTGCAGCATTGCTGCATCAGCAGTGGATCTCTGCTTGCACTCGTCATTTGTTAGGACAACATGGAGGACAAAGTGGGTTAGCCTCTCACCCCCCTTTCCTGGCAGAGAGAGTCATTAAATGTTCAGGAGCTTTGGAGGAGATATAAAGATTACGGTTTTGTTTATCTAGTATCTATATTCCTGGCCAAAGGAAGAAACCTGGTTCCTGGTTTTATTTAGAATTCTGCAGAAGGAACCTTGGAATTACAGGTTCCCCAAGAGCGCGGATTACTGGCTGCCAGTTCTGCGAAGGGAGAAAAGCTAACAGCTTTTTCAGCTATGAAAAGCACATGGATACTGGCCACTGACCAGCCAAATGCCACTGATGCTGAGCTTAGAGTACATGCCAAGTGTCCATGTTTGTCCTTCCTGTTTGTCCTTTCTCTCTGAAAGGACAAACAGATTCTGGTTGCATTTGTTTTAGCTTCCAGACTCTAGTAGAAAACAAACTTCGGGTCCAGCACTGTAGCCCATTTGTAAACAGAGCTGATGTGCTTCAAAGCTAATGTGTGCTAGTTGACAACACACTGCAACCGTCAGCCAAGCTCCTGGATTTACTTTCTTGTTCCTCATCTTGTTTTGTTTACTTTTTTGTGAATTAGAACTTTCTCTATACTTAATGGAGCATCAAAACATTAATGCAGATCAAGGAACAGAGCTTTCATCTTTCTTCTTTTGTGCTGTTTATAATTGCTTTGTGCTTGTTTTATAACTTTGTTGACACAATCATATTTTGAGCACACAAACTCTCAAAACGCTCTCAATGAGCTTTTGGATGATTTTCTGAAAACCAGCTGATCTATTGCAGGAGTCTGGGCTCAACGACAGTCACTACACCAATGACAACCTGCTGGTGACAATTATGAACCTGTTTAGCGCTGGAACTGAAACATCATCAACTACACTGAGATGGGCATTCCTGTTCATGGCCAAATATCCAAAAATACAAGGTGTGGAGGAGGATCTACTTCTGGATTTTGTATCAATAGGACAACAAGCAGAAGTCATTTGGTTTCTGCATAGCGTATTGTGCCATTGTCATTTACTGACTTCGATCTTTCAGACCAGGTCCAGCAGGAGTTGAGGAGTGTGATTGGAAGTCGGCAGGTTCAGGTTGAGGACAGGCAGAACCTGCCTTTCACAGACGCCGTCATCCACGAGACACAGAGAGTGGCCAACATCCTTCCTTTGGGTCTTTTTCACAGAACTAGCCAAGACATCACATTTCATGGTTATTTTATTGAGAAGGTAGGAATGTACACTTGAGGGTGTATTAACATGAACTTAATTCATAAGCTTTGCCAGCTTGACTGGTCAGATCAAGTTTACATGAAAGGTACATTTCAGCAACAAGGCAATTCAAAGTGTTTCATGTGATTAGAATTGAAATAGAACAAGCAAGCCAAAAAATTTGACATTGTGGGAAAATGATGACGATTGAAAAAGACTGATTTGTCTACCTGCATTTACACTCTTTAGTTCACTGTTACTTTGTTGGATTTTCCCACATGTTCCCTTGACTTCTGTGTCACTGTCAATCTGCTCCACAATTACTAACTTTATCCATAAGTTTCTATGTTGATTTTAGTTTAACTATTGCATCATGAGACCACTGCTGTACTCTCTGGATTTTGGTTCTTTGATCTGCTTTTGGAGCAGGATGTTTTTATTATGTGTAGAGCAGAAAAAGTTTGATGTACATTATTTTCTACCAGATTTTTTAATACAGAATCTATCAGGTTTGAAGAGATGATTACACAGTCAGAACATTCTGTGAAAGTTCACTGAGGTGGGATGCAGCGGAGCTGTTGCATTATTGGACTTGTCTGGTTCTGCATCCATCAAATGGGATGATGTTCGACTCAAATATGGAGTTTAATAGAAAGGTCAATGCAGTATTACAGTCTAGCTTTCATCATCCAAGGCTAATTAGCAGAAGCAAGGATTGTCTTACCCATTGTACCGTCGAGAAAGATTTTCATGCTTCTGTGCTGGGCTGCTGAAACTCCCTCTCCACTGGGTTATTGATCAGTCTCTTCTTCACCATCTTCAGATAATTAGAAATTCAGCTGAGTCACTTTAAGAGGAAGTTGATAAAGTCTTGCAGATTACTTCTTGTTGTTGTTTGAAGTTCAGGTTTACCTAATTAACTCCTGTTGGATATGGAAGTGAAGCAAACAGGTTTGGGGGAGAGGAATTGTCTTTGTTTCCAGGTAACTTCATGTCATTTAATTTTTATTTGGAATCAGTGGTAAGGTGGGCTCATTTCCATGTGTTCAAAAATCAATTGAATTGAAAATGTGTCATGTAAATAATGACTGATTTGTCTTTCTTAGGGAACTCCAGTGATTTCGGTTTTAACGTCGGTCCTGCAAGATGAGAGCGAATGGGAGAAACCGAACGTCTTTCATCCAGGCAACTTCCTCAGCAAAGATGGGAAGTTCCTCAAGCGAGACGCCTTCATGCCTTTTTCAGCAGGTTAGCCTGATTAAAGTCTCATGTAGTTCCTTACTCTACAGGCATTGGCTGAGGATCTGTTTCTCATAGGTCGCAGGGTTTGCCTTGGAGAGAGTCTGGCCAGAATGGAGCTTTTCATCTTCTTCGCCACGCTCCTGCAGCACTTCAGATTTTCTCCTCCACCTGGAGTTACAGAGGAAGACCTCGATGTAACTCCACGAGTTGGTGGTACTCTGAGTCCTCAACCTCACACGCTCTGTGTTACCCCTTTAAATTAAGGAGGAGCCTATAAGAGAAAAAACGATTCCTTTATACCTAACAGGAATCAAAGTAAATGTCCTAAAATAGAGAAAATTTGTTTTTAATGTGAACTTTTTACTCCACAAATATCCACCATTAATCACAATCACCATGTATTCAGATTTTTTGTATCTTCATCAAGTCAAAGTTATTGTTTGTGGACAGGCTAAGCTACCTTTAAATGACATTTTTTCTTTTGAAAGGAATGATGGTTATGCTGGTTAAGGTATAACTGCCGAATCAATAATCCACTGCATTTAAAACAATTTGGTTCCATCAGTAGGAAGAGGGGGAGTTTCAGGACACAAAATCTGTGATGGAAAACTAAAATATCTGGAGCCAAGACAAACACACCCTCTTTACAGAACCGCTGCATCAGGACAGGATCTGTCAAAAGCTAACAATCGATTCTACAAAAGGTCATGGATATCCAATTCAGTTAAACTACAGAGCATTGCTTCATCAAAATAAAGTTGTCTTTCCAATTAGTACTTGGAATACATACAAAGTGTCAATTACTCTAAATTCATCTTCATTCATTTAGAGCTGAATACAATCCCTGGTCTTTATGTATTTATGCAAATTACTGTAGAACTTTCTTTGGGTTATTTCCCCTTTTATTCCTTCCGAATTTCTCATATTGTTGTTTGAAAAATGTATTGTATATTCTGGTACAAGGAAATCTGTGTTAGGTAAAGCTAATTAACACTCTCCAAATGTATTTGTCTGAATAGATGGTTGCTTGATTTTGTGTGTTTACAGTAAAATTCAAAACAAAAACTGTTAGTAAAATGTTTTATGTTTTGCAAAGTAAATTGAAGTATATCTGTTCATGTAGTTAAAATCTTTACATTTCAGAGAAGAGGACGTCTGTTTTTTTCAATCAATCCTGCCAAGAATAACTTACTTCTATGTGTAATCTAGGTCAGGTTATTCTTTCAGGTCCAGTGCATCAAACATTAGTGAGAGAATCTGTTAAGGTAAGAGGTTTCCTAACAAATGATGAAATGCCTTGAATGTGATACCTACTAAAATCTAACAACGAGTTATATTTGTCTGTTTTTATTACATATTAAGCCTTTTGTTCACCTGAACTCAATCTAGTACAATGTGCTCTTTGGCTAATAGCAGCAGATCTGAGGATATTCAAAGAGACTTTAAAGGTGAGCTGGACATTATTTCATTGTTGCATGGTTTCTCATAATATTGCATGACATATTTTAATAAATTAATTGATTATCTAAAATGCTTCCTGCTTTAAAGGAAGAAATGTGTTTGGATTTAATGGAAATAGTAGATTAGCAGCGATTAAGAAAGTAAATATCACTTTTCAAACTACACCACTTATTTATTTTTTTATTATTTACCACAAATCTAATTCTAAACCGCAGGTCTTAGTGATGATCTGTTTCTGTTTCAACTATATGCTGTTGATTCCAACAAAAATATTAAAAAAATGCAGCATCTGTCCACTAGATGGCAGCTGAGCAACGTAAAAACACCTCACAGATCATAAAATGTCAAAATAAAATACAATTGTTTTTTGCAGACTATCTAGGAAAAATGTTTTGTTTATACTCTAAGCAGTTACATGCTGTAATCTACATCAGTGAGATAAGTTCAGGAAACCAGAAAAAAAAGGAGGCTTAGGAAAAAATTAACTCAACGTTGAAAACTACTAATAATATAAAGTTACCTCCACTTTAAAAACTGGTATTCCTTCTGAATTCTAGCTATGCGACAAAATGAATAATAATTTATTAAGGAAAACAACTGGATGAGTATTTTTACATTTCTTAATTTAAAATATTTGTACTCTTCTAATACTGAAGGTGCTAAGAGGCCTACTGTTGGTCAGAAATCAGCTTGATCCAAAAACACATCAATTGTGTGTACTGGAGCAGAGTGACCTCAGTGCTGACATCACTGAGTCCTGAGTCCTGGCCCTAACCCTGACCCTAACCTGAGAGAATTCAAAGTACAAGAGATGGAAAAATGATCTGAGCAAAATAAACATTCATGTTGAGAAACCAGAATGTCAAAGTTTATTGTCATTCTTTAACTTTGCAGCTCTTTTAAACTTTGAACTAAACAAATTATTTGTTTATAATAAAATGCAGTTAAAGAATCTCAGCCTGGACAGATTTTTCCCCTTAAGAATGAAAAATATGTTATCACAGTAGAATGACACAATATGAAAACTTGCAAAATATCAGAGAGATAAAATTATGCAATTAAACAAAACCCTGCAAAATAAGATTAAGTTAAAAACTGTAAATGTTGGGCTGGCTGTAATAACCCACACATGGAGGCCTCAGTCGTCGATGCATCTGCCACAGATTCCACACTCGGCCTGATGACCTTTGCCTCGTGTCTTCTCCCTCTCATTACCCATGTTCCAATTTCATCACTCCTAAATGAAGTCGGCACAGAGCCAATAAAACCTTTTAAAAAAGCTGTAAAATGTTGCAACTTCAGGGATCATAAACTGTCTTAAGAAACGTTTGCTTTTTTAAGTTTATGATGTTTTTTAAAACTATTAAAAATCAGAAATGTTTTCAACTGAAGCTTGCATTTTCAAAAAAACATGAAGTGATTTTGCAAAGAAAATGTCGCTAAGTCTTAAAAAGGAACAATAAAAGCTATTTTTTAGGTCTGGGTCTGGTGTGGCTCTTTAGACATCAGTGCTTTTATTTTGAAGGTAAATCAGGGCTCTTAGATAGAAGCCCAGTTCTGTCTAAGATCACGTCTCCAAGAAAAAATAAATCTTCTGTCTGGTTTCAGTGCAGTGGAGCACCAGATACTCAACCAGCCAAATTAAATCCACCTGACAAAAGTTAATATAAATCTATAAGGGCCACCAGAACCTTCAGGACTCATTTTCTTTTAGTGTCTTAATATGAACAGCTTACTTGGGTTGTTTCTGACAACTGATATGAAATATTGCAAATCATTTTTGGAGGAAAAAACACAATATTCCAAACTTCCTGCTGTAAACCACCGGCTCCACCTCCACCTGCACCTTGGACTTTGCTTCTAACAACCTCAAATACATGTTGTTAGAACAACAGCTGGTGCACAGCAGCAGCTGTTGAACGTGTTGCAGTCATGGGAGCGATGGAGGTTTTTTTCCAGTCATGGAGCCCAGTTTCAGTTTTAGGGGTTGTGGTTTTGATCCTCATTGGGTTTCACTTTATTCTCTCTAAGTCCAGGCCTCAGGGCCACAGACCGGGACCACCAGGACCAAAACCCCTTCCCATCGTTGGCAACCTGCTGCAGCTGGATGTTAAGAGACTTGACCTAGCATTCCTGAAGGTGAGACACAGCTGATCTCAACGTTCCTCTCAACTGTATTTCATACATTTTTACAATTTACCTTCTTTTAAACTATTATATATCTTGTTTTTATATAATAGGCCTGATTATGTTAAACTGATGAAGTGGGGCTTTGTGAAGACAGCAGATAAACATCAACAAATACTGAAGCACTGCTGAGGGAGTAGAAAAGTAAAAAGTTAATGGCTCAGAGTTCCCTGCAGAAAACCTGCTACGTCTGAAGGTCCACCAGCAGCCCACCATGTTTCTGTGTTAAAGAAAATAAAATAAACTTCAGCGGTCATTGTAATTTGGAAATAATAGCGTGAGGCTGATGGGCAGGTACAGAGATGGTGCAACACGTGAGCTCCCCTTCACGCCCAGTTCAATGTGTCTTCTATAAAACTCGCTTAATCCTCCATTACTGTCACTGTTTCTGGTGCATAAAAATAATCTTGCAATGCTAAGCCTGAAGTTGCATCAGGCTTCATGCTGGTGAAGCCTGATGCTGAACATATCTTCAAATGTATAAGGTGAAAGAAAGCACAATGTCAAGCAAATAAAAGATATTTACTGACAAATGAGGGCCGAGGTTTCTGAGAAATGAGTTGATTTGCATATTCTTTTTTCCATGCACACCTGGCTTCAAAATAGCTTTCTAAGACGTATGGATCTGTGTTCACTGTCCACATGGGGCCAAAGAAGACAGTGGTCCTGATTGGGTATAAGGCGGTGAAAGAAGCATTTGTCAGCTATGCTGAGGAGTTTGGAGAACGGGAAGCTCCCATCGTGGCTAAAGAAGCAAACCTGCATCATGGTACCGAATCTCTACAAATTCACATCCAGTGAAGTGAGTTTGCTGACTTATTGTATTTAACAGGTATTGCGTGGGCCAATGGCGAATCCTGGAAGGAAATGCGCCGCTTTGCTTTGACCAACCTGAAGGACTTTGGGATGGGAAAGAAAGTATGTGAGGAGAAAATCGTTGAGGAATGTCACTTCCTCACCCAGAAGTTAAAGGAGTTTAAAGGTAACAGCAGACAGGAAGAAGATATCACTGTTATTGTTGCAAGATTTCACCATGAGAACCTTGTTCTTAAACCTGAGGCATTATAGTTAACTCAGAGTTATTCTTTGCAATCCAACGTCAAAGTAAAACAATTCTCTCAATAGAGTTAATAAAGTGTTGAATAATGCTTTTCTGGTTCCTTTGTTGCAGGTGAAGCTTTTGATTTGTCCCAACATCTGAATTTTGCAGTTTGTAATATAATCTGCTCCATGGTTTATGGCAAAAGATTTGAATATGAGGATCCAGAGTTCAATACCATAGTAAATCGAACAAACCAAGCCATTCAACTGTTGGGCTCACCAGCAATACAGGTGTGACTGGATTGTTTTAAAGCATAAAATCTGTTAATTCTGGACTGAACACAAGGCCTAATGAAGTCACTGTTCATCATCAGCTGTACAGCATGTTCCCAAAGATTGGCAAACTGGTGTTTTCAGCCAGAAAGAAAATGATCGATATGCTTGCTGCCAATAAACGACATCATCTGATGCTGCTGAACCGCTTGAAAGAGACTCTCAGTCCACAGATGTGCAGAGGAGTTGCAGACGCTTTCCTCATCCGTCAACAGCAACACAAGGTCAGAACCTTCATTACCTTCCAGGGAAATGTTGCATAAATTTCTGTGAATTCTCTCAGGATGCTCACAGGCTAATCGACCGCTGCTGGTGTTCAGGCCACCTGTTAAGAATAATCACAAAATAAACATCAAGCCTGAAACCATAAAGAAATAGTTTGTGCTTTTCTGGTTCCACAAATGTTTGCATATTGATGTTCCTGATATCCTCTGCATTGAGGACTAGCGGAGCAGTTGACAGCTGGTGGCTATGGCAATGGGGATGCCTGTGCAATAAGAGTGAAGCTGAGTGGTTTAAAGTTGTTCTTCACCTGTTTTACTGTTATTTGCTTTTTACTGTGAAGCACTGAAGTCAGACTAGTTCCTAAAAGTTCAACGAACTATAAAAACTGGACTGAAAACTAGATTAATTAAATAACAAACATTTTTGTTCAAGCACAAAAATGTTTGAACATTTTTCAATACTGATGTTCCAACTACTGAACCATAGGAACAGAATAGTTGTGGGCATATTACCCAATCTGTAGTAATGGAGCATGTCCCACTATTAGCTATAGCTGCTGATAGTCACCGTTTTATCCAGTGATGTATATCAACCTGGATGCATGACTGGCACACGGTGGAGCTCCAACCCCGAAGCTCCAACAGGATCGACACCTTATAGTTTCTCCATAATACATATTTATAAATCATTCTTACTACACTAATAACTTAGATATTTTACTACAATATTTTATATACCTTCTACTTGAGCTAACCGACTGGGAAAGTACTTCAGGATGACACGCGTTAGCCGTTGAATCCACATCGAACCGTTTTGGTTTTCTAAATATCATCTGATCTTCTGCAGGAATCTGGGATCACTGACAGTCACTACCACAACGACAACCTGCTGACTACAGTCATGAACCTGTTCTCTGCTGGAACTGAAACGACATCGACTACCCTGAGATGGGCATTCCTGTATATGGCCAAATATCCCAAAATACAAGGTCAGGAATATCTCCTTCTAGATTATGTCAAAATAGAACAATGTGCTACAAATCGTACGGTTTCTGCAAATAAATTAAAGAGTTGTTGTATCCTTGTCATTTACTGACTGACCTTTCAGACCAGGTCCAGCAGGAGTTGAGGAGTGTGATTGGAAGTCGGCAGGTTCAGGTTGAGGACAGACAGAACCTGCCTTTCACAGACGCCGTCATCCACGAGACACAGAGAGTGGCCAACATCGCTCCTTTGGCAATTCCTCACAGGACGAGCAAAGACGTCGTGTTCCAAGGTCATTTTATTGAGAAGGTGAGAAATTAGGCTTGATGGTGGATTATCAACAGTCTTTTTTCCTATATTTCAACATATTGCATGTAAATGATGACTGATTTGTGTTTTTTAGGGAACTCCAGTGATTTCGGTTTTAACGTCGGTCCTGCAAGATGAGAGCGAATGGGAGAAACCGAACGTCTTTCATCCAGGCAACTTCCTCAACAAAGATGGGAAGTTCCTCAAGCGAGACGCCTTCATGCCTTTTTCAGCAGGTTAGCCTGATTAAAGTCTCATGTAGTTCCTTACTCTACAGGCATTGGCTGAGGATCTGTTTCTCATAGGTCGCAGGGTTTGCCTTGGAGAGAGTCTGGCCAGAATGGAGCTTTTCATCTTCTTCGCCACGCTCCTGCAGCACTTCAGATTTTCTCCTCCACCTGGAGTTACAGAGGAAGACCTCGATGTAACTCCACGAGTTGGTGGTACTCTGAGTCCTCAACCTCACACGCTCTGTGTTACCCCTTTAAATTAAGGAGGAGTCTATATGAGGAAAACATCCACTTTGGTCCCAGTAGTAGGAAGAGAAGGAGTTTCAGTAAGGAAGGTCTGTAATGGCAACCTTAAAACTCTGGGGTTGGGGAGATCAGAGAGAGATCTGTCTTTCACCTGTTGTTCATTTGGGCGACATCAGCGATACAACCTGACATCTCCTCCTGGCGGCAGAGAGAAGGTCTGCTTCTTTGGATTGGAAAACATCCATGGGACTGCACTGAAATAAACCTGATTTTATTTATAATTCTGTAGAAGGAAACTTGTAATTACAGGTTCCCTCAGATTACCATCAACAAATCCATAATTTTTTACTTTTGCAAATGATTAAAATATCTATTAATGCAGTAATTGATAAACATACTAATAATCAATTCTCCACAAGCTCATGGATATCCAATTCAGTCAAACTACAGAGTATTAATTTATCAAAAATAAATTGCACTGTGAAATAATACTTGGAATACATATTTGTCTAATCTCTTCAGTACAATCGCTGGTCTTTGTTCTACAAAACATGACTGATTTTTATGTTCAAAAATAACTTGAGAAATCAAAATGATGAAATGCCTGAGATGTACAGTGATAGCTATGAAAATATAATATTGGGAAATATTTTTCAGTTTTTATTATATGCTAAGCCTTTCATGCATCTGAACTCTGGCTAATAGCAGCAGATCTGAGGATATTCAGAGACTTTAAAAGTGAGCTGGACTGTCGTTTCTTTCATTGCTTCATGGTTTCTCATAATACTGCATAACATAGTTAAATAACTAATCGTCTCAAACCCAGTCAGTTGGAGAAAGGAGATGTTGAATGCTGCTTTTAATCGAACTGGTAGATTATCAGTGAATAAGAAAGTAAATATTACTTTTCAAGCTGCACCGCTTACTCTATTTTACCACAAAGTGGCAGCAAAGATAATCCATATAGAAATTGGAGGGTTTCATTTATTTGTACTTCAAATGCAATCAAGACATAAAATGATGAAAACTAAATCTGTCCATAAATCTGTTACCAATCAGAAAACAGAAGATGATAAATTTTTATGTTTTGTTGTAATAAAGGTTTAACTCCTGAAGTTTAGTGCGGTGTTGGTGCAGCAACATTTTTATAGCTCAGAGGAAACGTCACCAAGATGTCTGATAACATGAATCTGAAAAAACAAGACAACAGGAAAAAGCATCATTGACACTTAATCTAGAAGTGAAACTAAAGAGTTCATTATTTACAATTAAATATATCAACTCAGAACTTTCTTTTAAGTTTAAACTAACTGTTCTGCTAAGTTAAGTTCAAAATAAGTTAGAGTTAACTGGAGTATTTAGAAAATGTTCTGTTCTAAAGGTAAAGTTTATTTCAGAAGAGCCACATTTTGCTGGAGCAAAGAATAAACAGTCTTTTATAATTAATACCTGAAGAAATGCTTCCCTTCAAACCGAAACACCAACAGCAGAGTTAATTTCCTGTCCGCTCACAGCGCAAGATCTGAAGATATTTTTGTTGTTTCCTCTTCCTGGAAGAAATATACCTGCAAAAAATAAAAACAAAATCCATCTTGTTTTATTCTAATGACACTTTCTTTCAGACTTCTATAAAGATATATAACCTGCATATATGTTCACTTTGAACAAAGCAGAAAAAAATAAACTTACTTTATTGTCTTGTTTTGGAATTACACCAAATTATTGCAACATGATTTCCCCCACACTTTCAGAGATCTAAAAGAAGAAGTGCAATATTTCACAATATTCACTGACATCAGCTAAGCGTTACTAGCTGACCTGAGACTCGGCCCACAGAACTCTAAGTTTAGCTTTAGAGGCTCAATGGAGCCATGAACCACCAGGAACCAAAACCTTTTTACTACAAACACGCAAAGAGGTTCAGTTCATTTTACAACAAAAACTCATTCAGCTCTATTCATGCAGAAGCCAGTCAGTCTGAAATCAGTCTTAATGTTAGTTCATTCACGAAGCTTTATAACCTGCCTGTCTTTAAATTGTCATCCATCCTTCGTTGTGTGAAAGCATGTGGCGACAGTGGAAAGAAACAAAACCCTTTGAACTGCACTGACCCACTGTGGCTTCAGTGGGCAGACAGGAGACAGAAGCAGGTGGTCAGAAAGGATTTTTAATGGAAAACAAAACAAAACTGTTCATTGAGTTTATGCAGCAATTACTCTAATAATGACCTTGATCTAGAAAGAGACACAATTAGCAGAAAACACAACCTTTAAACTGTTTCTTTAATTATTTTGGACTTTCGATCATTTCAAAGGTCAACATTATGTTGCATTATTTCAAAATGTGCTTGTTTATTGAAGTATTTAGAGACTAAATACTTCTTTCTTTTATTAATTGATGTTTATTATGAATTGAGAGCCACTCTATTTACTAATCAATCAATTATTTCCTCATTTGAACAAACAGATAACATAAAATCTCCTCCCTTGGCAATTTTTACATAGTTTCTGTAAAAACCCTGAAAAGTTAAATAAAGCATTGTCTTTTTTTATAATAAAGATGCAGAATTCACAATCATTCAAAATATTATTAAGACAGAGAAAAAAAAACAGGTATAAAATAAATGTATCTTGTTACATAACTGAGAATCTCTTATTGTTAAAGACAATATAAAAAAACATGAAGAATGAAGTTTGTCCAAAATCTTGACTGAGCTCATAATGCAGACTCGGCTAAAACTTCCCAAGTCTAAAAAAAATTCAGAAACGTTTGTCACATTTGCTGGGAAGAGATGCAGAGCATTTTTAAGAACTTTAATACGATTAAACTGTTTTTGATTGTGCTAATTAACATGCTAATTAACACTTGGTGTTAACCCTTTCTTTATGACAGATTCATCTTTTGTAATAACCATGTGAGAACGTTCTGCTTTCCACATAATCTGTTTGTGGGGAAAATTGCCAAACCACTTCCACAAAATATCTGCAGATTCTATCAGTCTGAGGCAAAAAATCTTCAGCTAACTAGCAAACTAATCACAACAACCATTATAGTTGCCTTTTTTAATTGCAACCACATTTGGTATGTTTCTTGCATATCACACAGAAACAATCTAAATATTTTAACCACTAATTTGATGTCTTGTTTGGGATATTCCAGTCTAAAGCAGTCACATCCTCCCACTAAATGATGGGATTAAATGGCTTTTATTGATCTCCTCATTTGATTCATAAGTAGTTTCCTAACAGCTGCTACTTCTTCTTAAAGAGCAGAAATGCAGCTGTTGTGATGAAATCTTAAATGCAAAGAAAAAAAACATAGTTGCACTTCCTTAATAATAAACTAGAACTACGGTACATGGCCGTTTAAGAACAAACACACTGACCACTTCCTTTTAAGAGTCTTAGCAATGCAACGTCATGATAATTCATGTCATCCTGTCTGGTTTATTCTGGTTCGCTGACGCGGCTGTAGAGACCGTCGGGATCGAAGTCCGTCTCCGTTTTGGGCTTCACAGCAGAATAAGTGACCGCATCGTGTTGAACTGTGACCTGGACCAATCAAAACACACGATTCACAGCATGAACAGAACTTCTTATCGTAGTATCAGAAACATAGAAACAAAGCTATATTTGGAGATTCTACTCTTCTAATATTTTTAGTTTTGGTGATGCGGCCCTTTTCATGCAAGCGAGTGAAACTAGAACATCAGCTGAACCACAGAGACCCGCCCACTCTTACCCTGAGAGGGGAGCTTGGAGTAAAATGGCCGATCGATGCGTACGTCAGCGTGGACGGCAACTCCACCTGAGGACAAAGTTTAATTTGGTTTAATGCCAGAGAACAATTGATAAGCTACACATAATTTACATTATGATACTGCAGATTATAAGCTTTAAATAAAAGCAGATGTTTAAAACTATGACTTGGCATCAAACTATATTATATCATGATACGGCATCTGATTAAATACACGGAGTGATCAGATGTGAACACGTTTTAACGAGACGGTTAAACCATTTTGGTAAAGAAATTTCTTGTGACGTTTATCATTGACAAGAAAACAGAGAATATTTAGAAGATACTCACATTTTGGTGAATTTGATTGTTTGCTTCTCTGACGTCTGGAACAGAATTTCAAGAACAACTTTAAGTTAGAACCATTTCTATATTAACATAATTAATACGTGGCTTTACAAGGCAGATAAACAGAATTGTATCTTCCCACACAGGAATGAGTTTACTGTATTCATTTTATATTTAGTAAAACAATTCAAATAAAGCAGAAAGGTTAAATATACAGGCCTAATGGATAAATCGGCATAAATGTGTAATTTCCTCTTTTTTTTCTGATTTAATATAATAACCTTAGAATCTGTTTCCACTTTTTCATTTTTCAGTGAAATGAAAGCTTGACTGATGCATCTCTACGAACAATCCTGAACCTGAGCAACATTTTAGTCCCAGGTCTTTATTACATGTTTTTAAAATTAATCAGAGTTTAAATCTTGTATTAAACTCTATAAATGGAGCTGGGAAAACTCAACAGGAACCCATGACTACCTGTGATGACACGAGATGTTTAAAGCTCATTTGTTTTCAAAACGTAAATGATTTTATTACATTTCATGAAGCATCTCATCTAGTAACATCAACAACAACAAAAATAATCAGGAAACTAAATGAACGAGTGAACGAGTGAACGAGTGAGTGATGAAACCTGAAGTGGAGTTCTTGGGCTCGTCTGACGGTTTGGTTCTCCTCCTGTGGTTGATGAGAACAGCAGCGATGGCAGCCAGCAGCAGCAGCCCCACTGCCAGCGCCGGTCCAATGATGTACATCGGATCCGTCTGAGTCTGATCTGAGCTCACAAGAGTAAACAACAGCTGAATGTAATTCTTTAAAAAAAATCTCTGTTTTGCCTTTTATTTTATCCTTATTTGCGTTTTACCAGTAGATGGGGGTGGGTAATGAGTTTCTATCTTGATTCTGTTTCCCTCAAAGAACTGGCAGGTGTATCTGTTATCCACAGGCTTCACAGTCAGAGAGGAAACACACCGAATATGTGAACTGCTCTTCTGGACGGTGACATCTTCACCAACTAGTTCACTTCCTGTGTCATTCACCCAGACGAGTCTGATATCTGAACATATGGTCGTTAAAAATCTCCACAGAGAACATTGTAGATTTATATTTTCATCCTTTGTTGCATCACCAGCAGGTGGAGATGGAGAGACTGGAAGGAAACGGGAAATAAAACTGACGTCTCAGATTAACCAGTAAATAACTTTTTGCTCCAGTGGAGACTTTTATCAGCCACTTTCCACTTCATGATTGTTTTGATAGAGCACTATTGAAAGAGACAGAGGATTCATACTGCTGGCTGAATGTCATTTACAACAGCTCTACACACACACACACACACACACACACACACACACACACACACACACACACACACACACCAACACCAACACACACACACACACACACACACACACCTACACACACACTGGTTTTTGATATTAAAATGGCATTAGGAGGAATAAATACAACACTTACTGGATAAAATATTCAGATGCACCAGGCTGTCCTTGCTCCCTTTCCCCCGGCAGGTGTAACGTCCAGCATCCTCAGGAATGATGCTCTTTATGATCAGAGAGCATTTAGTGTCCAAACTCAGCCTGGCAGCATTAACTGACTTCTGGTTGATATTTCCATTTGTGACTTTGGGTTTAGTTGAACTGTCAACAATGTCGTTATAAAGCCATATAACACTGCGGCACGATGAAGAAGATGGACCATCACAAGGTAAAACAACTTCATCTCCAACTGTGTGATAGAAATCAGGTTCACTGATACCTATTGAAAGAAAAAGACAAAATCTGAAGAGTTTTATACTCACATCAGCTGAAAACATCAATGAACAAAAGAGAAAATAAATGAGTCAGCAAATCAAATATTTTAATTGTACTTTATTTTCATTTCAGAACTTCTTCTGACATCTAAAAGATTTGAAGTCTAATACCAAGACAGTTTTCATTTCATAAAATATAACTGACCTTCATATCACAAACCCTTAAAAAGTTAACTGAAAATGCTTCCTAAGGCTATTCATCAACTTTCAACATTTTAGAAAAGTTCAATGTTTACCTTGAACCAGCAGCACAGAGAGCAGAAATATCTCCAGTTTGGCCATTTCCTGCCAGTCCAGCCGCCGGACGCTGTTCGACTCTCAGCCTCAGAGTGAAGACGATGCAACTTCCTTCTTGGAGTTAACATTCTGAACGAAGCAACACCCACCATGCATGATGTCATTAGGTTTCCATTCCATTAGCTCATCATTTTTCACAAAACAGGATGAAGACCATATTTCTAAAAACAAATTTATGTTAATATAAAACACAAACGATCCAAAGGCATCATTGTGCTTTTTGTCACTTACCCTGTGTTACAGAAAGTCTTAAAACATAAATAAATTCAATGTTCTGATGAAAGAGGAAGAGCAAAGTGTTGTAATGTCTCAGATTAGCCAACAGCTTGCACCAGCAAAACCAGCATCCGCCGTGTTTTCAGCTGAATGATACCAGCTACTAATGATGGGTAAAAACTTCCTTTAGGTTTTTAAGCTGCTGTTTAACTGTTAAGTTTTATCCTGCAGTGGCTCAAATGATGGCGTCTGTTAACTCAAGGAACATGGAGGCAAAGAAAAGTTTAAATAAACCAAAAAACAAAACAAAAAACCAAAGGCGGAGCTTCGACCAGAGGTGGGACCAAGTCACTGCATTCAAAGTCTCCAGTAAAGATGGTCAAATCAAGTCAAGTTCTGAGTCAGGAGGAGTTCAAGTCCTTTCAAGTCGTGTGTTTTTTAACAATGTTCCAATTATGCTAAATGTAAATTATAATCCATGTGTTCTTTTTAAAATCAAACACACTCTGCACTCAGTGCAAATGAAGCACAGTGGTTCTGAATTTGGACGTGATGGTAAAATAAATATTCAATTTCACATCTCAGAATTCACGTTGCATCACCATCCAGAAACATTCAGAACTACTCCACAGCGTCACGTTCAGGATCCTTACAATTGTGCAATTTTTTACTTTACAGCAATTTCTGCAGGATAGGAAAATTACTGGGTTTTGATTTGTTTTCTAGCAAAATTATACGATTTGGAAACGTCACAGCGCCATTCGAAGAGTTATAACTGAAAAAACAGTAGACTTAATGCAGACTGCAGTAAACAATCTATTTATTATCAATATAATTTCCCAAAGATGTCTTCAAACACAAGACAGTAGTGGAAATGTTTCGAGTTTTATTTAGTCAATAGGAAACTCCTATTGATTGTTTAGTTTGTGGTAGCTATCAATATTTTCTCTGTGAAAAAGATCTTGAACTTTCATTGAAAATAGGTCATTTTACTGATATTAGATTTATCTGTTACCTATACCTTAATCAATTTAATCTGGAAACAAGTAAAAACAAAAAGACACTCATACATATGGAAGCAATGCACAAAAAAAGCATCATTTTTAATAAACTGTAGCTGATGTGATGGAGCTCAGTGGAGAGCGGCGGCAGCAGAACGTTCTCCAACATTTTCATAATTCACTGCGTCGTCATCAGCAGCAAAACGGACCTGAGAGAAAAACAGACATCAACTAAAATAGATACAGAAACAAAATGAACGTTTAAAGATGAACGTCATAAATGATACTACAGAAAAAAAAAACAGCTTATAAGTTTAATATTTATGTAAAATGACAGTTTTACACGATTTAACCAGAAGTGCTTATCTTCCAACATGTTTTAAGGTAAAAACTAAAAAGGGAAAAATATAATAATCAATACAGTTTACATCATGTTTGTCATGCATAATCTACATATTAAAGGTCTATGAATGTATTGTTCATGATTGTTTCTTACATTAATGTCTTTCTGAGGCTTTTTTCTTCCTGCAGTGGAAAACAGAATAAAGTGATTAAAGTAAGAAGTGTGTAAATCGTCTCCACTGCAGCTGAGTTTCCTCACCTCTGGTTCTGATGATACCAACAGTGACTCCAACCATCAGGATTAGTCCTGTGATCTTCAGAGTCGACATGATGAAGCTCAGAGGAGACGAGGCGGGGGGGCCTGAGGAGGAGACGGAGCAACAACCTCATGTTTGGATCACGAGTCTCAGTGGAGGAAGAAGCTGAACTTCTGCAGATTAATTCAACTTAAAAACACATCCTGACATCTGCGAAGCTAAAACATGTAGATGCATCCGGATTCCTTCAATACTTAAAGACAAAGTCCCTTACCAGTAGATGAAGGTGTGTAATGAGTTTCTATCTTGATTCTGTTTCCCTCAAAGAACTGGCAGGTGTATCTGTTATCCACAGGCTTCACAGTCAGAGAGGAAACACACCGGATATGTGATGTCACCATCTTCTGGATGGTGACATCTTCACCAACTAGTTCACTTCCTGTGTCATTCACCCAGACGAGTCTGATATCTGAACATATGGTCGTTAAAAATCTCCACAGAGAACATTGTAGATTTATATTTCCATCCTTTGTTGCATCACCAGCAGGTGGAAATGGAGAGACTGGAAGGAAACGAGGTGGCAGAATATATATCATATATCAAGAGATATTTCATAATCACTTTTTACTTCATGACTATTCTGTTAAAGTATTATGGTGACTTTAAAAAAGTAACAAAAAAACAGGTTGAGAGGTCTTCATGCACACTGATGTGTTTTATTTCGAAATGAGCAAAAAATGTAAGTAGACAACACTTACTGGATAAAATACTCAGATGCACCAGGCTGTCCTCGCTCCCTTTCCCCCGGCAGGTGTAACGTCCAGCATCCTCAGGAATGATGTTCTTTATGATCAGAGAGCATTTAGTGTCCAAACTCAGCCGGGCAGCATTAACTGACTTCTGGTTGATATTTCCATTTGTGACTTTGGATTCAGTTGGACTTTTAACAATGTCGTTATAAAGCCATATAACACTGCTGCACGATGAAGAAGATGGACCATCACAAGGTAAAACAACTTCATCTCCAACTGTGTGATAGAAATCAGGTTCACTGATACCTATTGAAAGAAAAAGACAAAATCTGAAGAGTTTTATGCTTACATCAGCTGAAAACAGTGAAGTTTGATTCATATTTTTGTACTTTATTTTAACTCTACATAAAACATCCATTTTATGTCATTTTCATTTTAAAATATAACTGAAAAATTCAACATTTTAGAAAAGTTCAATGTTTACCTTCAACCAGCAGCACAGAGAGCAGAAATATCTCCAGTTTGGCCATTTCCTGTCGGTCCAGCCGCCGCCAGACGTTCGACTCTCTCAGCCTCAGAGTGAAGACGATGCAACTTCCTTCTTTAATTCTTATTATAAATGAAGCAGCACCCACCATGCATGACGTCGTTTGGTTTCCATACCGGTAACTTCTTTTGAACAGGACATAGGCCGAGTTTTTTACCGAACACTTGTGTTAATGCACATTAAACACAAGCTTTTCATCACTAGGTGTAGCAGAAAGTCTAAATTGATCCAATCTTCCATTGAAAGAGGAAATCTAATCCTGCAGCTCCAACACCAGTTTATCATCTGATTCATCAGAATAATCTGAATCAGAATAACAGTAAAAGTGTAATAATTGTGAAAGCATCTTTATCTCCCTGCACAGATGCTCACTGTGGTGAGACAACGTTCACTGATGACAGGAAACAAAGCGCCAACTTTAAATGGAGTTAATTTGTCTCATGTGATCAATTGAATGTAGTCAAACTTACTTTATTTGTTTTTAATGTGACAACTTAATATATCAGAGCCTTTGGGGTGTGTTTGCTATATTTTTAACTTTTAATTTAGAAATGAGCTCTGGTGTCTGAGTCAGAGGAAAAGAAACTGCAGAGACACTAATGTGCAATAGTTGTATGTAAATATAGGTTTCCTTTGACAAAATGTAGCAAAATGACTCAGTGGAAAACTCACATTTATTTTGAAATTACTCGACCTTTTGGCCTTTTTCTAGAAAAAATGACAACAAGATACAGAAAGTCACACTAACTGTGTCATAGAAGAAATATTCACGCCATTCTTTTTTTTATATCAATCAAACATTGTTTTTTTGTTTTGACATTGGGGATTTTTTGTTGTTGTTGTTTCTTTAAGAGAGCCAGTTTTGTCATTTCCTTTATGTCTCTGGTTTAATTAAAGCAGCAGTTGCTCTTTCCCGTTTGCAACTTATTCTCATTCGAAAACAAATCAGTCTGTCTTCCACACTGAAGGAGTTTTTATTTGTCTGTGTTTCAATAGGTTGTTTCACATCAAAGTGGTGAGACGTCACATGTGGGGAACCCCAGGGTTCAATCCTCAGACCCCTCTTATTTTACGTCTATATCCTATCTAAAAGCTCAGGAACAGGAAATAAGATTAGCAATCGATGCAGAGATCTGCATAACGATGTCACCAGGTGACCTTTGAACCCATCCAAGCACTGAATGGATAAATGAATAGATGTGTCACAACATTCTCCAACTGAACAGAAACAAAAATGAAGTTATCTTTGGACCCAAAGAATAACGGTCAAGACTCACCGCAGCACATCTTCAGTTATTACAGCTGGAAACTAGAGAGCAGGACGAACTTTGACCTGAACCTCTGACCTGTTTCAATTGGTTACCGTGTTGATGACTTTGTATGTTTGTGTTTTTATGATAGAAAATAATTTGAAGTGCCTGAAAGATGCTATACATTTAAATCCTGAATAAAAACAGAAATAATGTTCTGGGATTTTAACACATTTTAATATATGAATAAAGTCTGGAAATGTTTGACCCAAATACACAAAGTAACTGTGTATTTTTACTGTATTTGACTGACATGTTTTGGTCGATGGTTTCCAGCAGTGCAGCTCAAACAGGGAAAATGATGGATGTGTTTTTGACCTGAGGATGCAGAGGTGAAGCGAACATCTGCTTTGACCTGAACAAACTGACAGGTTCAGCAGTTTTGAGGACTGAAACGTCTCTCAACTCAACAGGACACTTCCAGTTTCATTCAGCCAGACAACGCTGCCCTCTGGGGATGAGAAGTAGTCGGTGCGAGTGGTCACCAGAGAGCAGCTCAGATCCATGAATTGATCCTTTTTACACTCAGAATCTGGTGGATCCTTTTTACACTCAGAATCTGGTGGAAACGGAGAGAAAAACAGACTTTGATCTTATTTTACTGCTGAGCGTCTGCTTCAACGTTTGTGATATAAAACAGTTTTCAAAATGACAAAAAGCTCCTGAATCTGAGAATAGAGTTTCATCAGAAGATAAACTATTCATTTTACTCCACACAATAAAACTCCTGCTTGACCAAAATAAGAAGAGGTCCAAACCGACACAGGTGGAATCTGCATAATGCGACCATGAGGAGGAAATGGAAGTGAATCAAACCTCATACTGACCAGGCATGTGGCGACAGTGGAGAGGAAAAACTCTCCTTTAACAGGAAGAAACCTCCAGCAGAACCAGAACCGACCATCTGCTGAGACCGAAGTGGATCCATTTCCTCTTTGTGGTCGAGTTTCTGTGGAAAGATCACAACAAAACAGCAGCAAGTAAAATGTATATACAGCTTAAACAGATGTTTACTTGTTGGTAGAAAAATGTTTCTCTAAATCTTTTCAAATAAACTCAGATCACAGTTATTATTTCTCTGAAAGCTGTTCAGAAATATAACGGATATAATGCAGATGTCCAAACAGATCATTAGGATGTTGTCTGAAAAACAATGACTCGTCATTTATTTTTCATTTGACCTCCGTTGATATTTTTGATGCTCAGAAATCAGCTGTTTTTGTTATTGTCCTGCAGAATGTAGTTTCTATTCAGTGCATGATGCTGCAAAAGAAAAATGCAACAAATTTTTAATAACTACATTTTGTTCCCACAGATCTGAAGTCTTTCTGATATGAATCTGTTTAAGTTAAAACCCAAAACCTGCTGCTGGTTTTGCAACATCAGCAAAATGAGGAACCAGATGAACAAGATAAAAACACATTTAAATACAAACAAAAACTAGTCTTTAGAATGAAATACACATTTACGTCGTCTTACAGATCCACAGTAAACATGAGGAGTGAGTAAATAAATAACTTTCACACACAGACGTCCTTTAACATAAGAAACCAGAGAACCATACTGGTTTCCATGAACCACCAGACCAGTTTACAGTGGAAAGACATGAGTCAGTAAATTCATCTCACTTTGATGAATTTATTGACTAACACAAAACAAACCATACCCTTAAGTTCACTTCAGTTTACTTACATTTATGCAATAAAACTAACTTTATTTTCTTTGCATATAAAAATATTTAAAGTGAAAGTTCAGAAATGAATCCTTTAAAACTTTTAAAGGATCCAAAGCAGAAATGCTACAATGTTTTGCTACAAGTTAAAATGAAGAACATTTTCCAAAGAGAGGAAATTAACAGACTGAAAGTGTAAATTGATGACATGTTTCATCTGTTGCTTTATCATAAGAAAGTTAATGAGATTTTAATATATTTCAGATTATAACCAGTGTAAAGACAGCATATCTTGTAACCACTGGAGGAAAACGCCTGAAACAATAAACTGACTCATCTTCATCAGTGATCCATTCATTTCTGTTTTGAGCGATGAATCCTGTTATTAAAAAGGTAAAACTACATAAGAATAAGGTCAGACATGTTTGAATCTTACACGTCATCAAAGCCACACAGCTGAATGTCATCAGAAAAGTTTCTTTCAAATGATGCGTTCAAAACTGCAGGACGTCAGAGCGCCACACTTCCCAATAATGAGAGGAAATACAGGAGGAATAAAACTGTTACTCTTAATATAGAATTACAGTTACAAGTTGGTAAATATCTACTTATTGAACCATTAATATAATTTACTAACAATGAATAGGTGATATATTTCAGTCTTACCACTAGGGGACAGCAAAATAACCTTGATACTATCAGAAATGTGCTGAGCCAAAGATGTTCTGCTGGCTGTAATGGTTGAAGTGGACAAAGTCAGGTTTACAATGTTTATAGTGCTTATAGTTTGTATTATTCATATAAATGCACCATAAAGCCTCTAATCACAGAAAACAAAGAGTTTACAGTTCAGCAAGATTACAAATCAAAGAGTCATAAAGCAAAATGTAACCAAAGATAATGTTTTATTTTCAACTTTCATACATAATAGCAATTTCAAAATAGGTTTTACATAGCTGTTCAAAACAATGCACAACAGAAACACAAAACAATATTAACTGAGTATCTGGTTTAAAAGATGAACTTCTAGCTGCTTATAAAATAAACAACAGAGTCCAGATGCCTGAGACTCAGAGAGACGATCACAGTGTGTTTCCACCCTGATCTGTGATCCAGAACCAGGATCTTTAAACTGGACTCTGAAGAGCAGCAGGCAGAGCCAAACATGGAAACTTGGAGGTTTAAACTCAAGCTTTGCTGAAACGTTCAAAACAATCTGCTGTATAAACTCAGGAGAGCTAAATAATAAAAAAATAAAAAACATTTTAGATAAATCCAAAAGTAAAAAAGTGAAAATGAGCTTTGAGGTTGTTGCATTTTAAATGCAACAAACTCAACTCTTTACACAATAAAGATGGATTTAAATGATCAAGTCAACATTTTCCTTGAATATTTGCAGTTCTGCATCTTAATGCATCACTTACTACATAGTCATGCTGTTTCTCTTTAGTTCAGTATTTACAGTCCACATATTTCACAAACATAAAACTTTTTCATAAAACTTTTCCACTAAGAAATAGTTATGATCATTTAAAAACAACAGAAAACGTCCCAAACTTAAACTAAATATTTGCTGTCGCTGAAACTCAAACCCAACAACTCACTTCCTGTAAAGCGTTTTATTAACGTCTCACTTCCTGTTTCTTCATTTTGGCTCAGTCAGGTAGCTGTAGAGGTCGCTGGGCTCCATGTCCACCTCAGTCTTCTTTTTAGTCCTCACAGCAGAATAAATCACAGTTTCTTCATCCGGTTTGACCTGCAGCACAAAACACAAACCATTTCCGTTCCAAATGAAAGAATTTCTACCTGTAGATATTTGGTTGTTGAAACGCGTCACATTAAAATACTCTCTTTTTTTTTTCTCTTTAAAAATGTTGTTTAATTATGTAGCGTATTTTTATAGCAGAGCTTTGTTTTTATTTTCAGTTTCTTTCATATTGCATCCATAGATCATGTCACGCCGTGTCCCATCACAACAAAGGAGCTTCAGGGAAAAAAGTCTAATTGAGACGTGGATAACTGCATTAGACATAAACCAGGATTATTTCATTTAGACTGGGCCGACAGAACCAGGAAGAACCAGGAAGTGAGGAGGGGAGTGATGGATGGTGAAATCCTGCGTTTTACTAAATGGAAAGTATTAATTATTTTGCAAACATGGGTTTAAGCTTCACCTTCCACCTTTAAATGTTTCCAGGTTACAGGAGCTTCATGTCACATAAGTTTTGTACAAGAGTGTTTTGTAAAGTAAACATGTTTTCACCACAGATCATCACTGCTGATGTGAGGAGCCGCCATATTGAAACGCTTCTTGTATTGTGATATGCAAGGAGCGAAACTGTAATCAGACTATAATACATTTAATAATGTCATGTAAACAGATGAATTCAGTCAGTCTTCTACCTGCAGCTCAGACTGGATTTGTTTCATTCATAAGTTTTATGAAATCAAATTTAAAATGAGACAATTATCAGACTGCAAAGCTCATTGTGTCTCTCACCTTCATCTTCTCGGAGGGTTTGGAGTGGCGAACAGCAGCATAGGTCAGGTCGGCCTGCAGCTCATCCTGAGAACAAACAGTTTGCATTTATCTACTGTTACATAGAAACAATCTGAAACTCTTCTGTCTTCTTCTGTCCTGCTGGGTTTGTCCATTTCATTCATTTTACTGACCCAGGAAGAGACAACGACACCCTCTGAGGTGCAACATGTCTTCTGCTAAGGAGTCTACAAAGTAAAAGTTGTCCATAAAGTTTGATCGACTTCCAAAAGAAAGAAACATCAGATTTTCTTCCATTACTTGTCAGTTGCAGCTAAATGTCTTGATTTCAAACTGTTTCTTTCTCTGGCAAGTTTAGAAAACAGGAACAACCTGCAACCATTTCCTGTCACTTTAAACTTCCTGAGAGCTGAAGATGTTGCAGAAATGTCACAAATGTTTTCATGTACAGAAATAGATCCAGTTTTCCACCCATTGAGTGATTGGATGTTTGCGTCGATACTCACATATTGATGATTATCAGTGGCTGAATCTTGATGTTCTGAATTAAAAGAAAATAAATTATAATCATTTCTATAAAAATGTTTTAGTGAACATATCAAACTTCTGCTTATTTTTAACCAATACTGGCTCACTGCACTGGGGTAACCACAGAAACAGTTCTTCCTCATTCTGAGAAAAGTCTTTAGATGTCAGGAACAGAAATGAAACTAAAAATAACTGCAGCTTCACAAAGTGTAACCACACAGTGGTTAGACTTTGACTATGCCATCCTGACACTTCAGCGTGGCCAGCAGAGTGCTCATGTTAATCCAGGCCTGCATTTTACAGCTCATCATCTACTTGGCTGATCAAAACAATTTTAAAGATTTAGTTTGCTCTGTTTTATATTTTTACAGTTTTAGAATAACTTTGTTTCCAAAGAAAAGAGTTTTATCTGATTGTGTAAGATGAAAGCTGCAGCCTGGTTGGTTAATCCAGACTGTTTCAGACATTTTGTTCAGAGGTGCATCGATTTATCAGCCAGTCGATTTATCTGTCAGTGATCGGCCGATTTTTACATGTGAAGCCGATCTGATCCACCGTGGTTATTAGCTTTGGCAAAGGGCTAAAGGTCAGCTACTGTGCTTTTCTTTCCTCCCATGGGAAACCAGCCGTCTGCACATTTTCCATTAACAATAGTCACCCCATTGTTCCCAATTCAGCAACTTTCTTGATATATTGAACAATATTTCAGACAAATTAATGTTATCGGCCAAAATCGGAATCATTAAGTTCGGCTTTTTGAAAGACTGGTAATCAGCGATTGGTCAGATAGTGCAATTCATAGAATGATGAAGTAAATATGTTAACTTGTTACAAAAATACTGAATGTATCAAATACAACAGAAAAGAAAATTGACTTTATAATTTAATGCCTTCAAATTGGGGCTCTGTCTCTTTAAAACTTGTCCTTCAGGAAGTCATGACAACATGGCTCCTCTGTTGACAGATATCATAATTCATTTAAAGTTCTTTCATATTAAAGACATGTTTTAATAATTGAGTAAGTGCATAAACTCAGTACCTGCTGTGGTTTTGTGATCCTCTTTATTTCTGGTTTTCCTGAGTTTGATGAAAACAGCAGAAACAAGCAGCAGCAGCAGAACGCCGATCAGCGATCCAACGAGGATGATGATGGTGGAGCTGATTTTACCAGGAGCTGCTGTTAAACGATTCAGATTATAAATCATCCAATCTCTACAGGCTTAAAAATATATCAATAAACATTAATAAGAACGATTTGATCGCACATTTTTATTTCAATGTTCTCTTCATAAGATGACATCATACCTTCAGATCCATAGTGAGTTTCTATCTTCACTGTTTTTCCTTCAACAAACTGGCAGGTGAATCTTCTGCTGCTCTGAAGATTCACAGTCAGATAAGAAACACAACCAGTCTGTCCTCCTGATTTATATCCATCACCTTCAGTCAGTTCAGATCCTGTCTCATCCACCCAGAGGAGACTTTCACCTGGACAAGAACCCGACCAGAATCTCTCCAGAGAACATCTTAATGTCAATTCATTGTTTTTTGGATCAGCATCTGTTGAAGATGCAGAAACTGAAAGAAAACAAAAACATTTCAGTATTAAAGATGTTTTCTAAAGTCATAACACTAACAAGTTTTATTTTATTCCTATTGTTCTGTTCACATGATGCTCTTGTCTTGTTTAGAGCCGATCCATGTCATGTTCCTCATTTCTGTTATTCCTTGCTCCTGTGTGGCTTCCTGATTGTTTTCCTTCTTAAGCCTCTCAGTCAGACCGACAGTCACTGCCAGATTATCAAACGCCTTTAGCTCGTAGTTTTCCATCACTCTCACCTCGCCCTGTTCGTTGCATCCACACTCTTGCTCCCTGGTTTCTTCCCTTTGTCAGATTGTCTCCGTTTGCCCATCTGGATCTCGACCCATGCCTGTTTTTCGGATGCCCCGCTCACGCCCACTCCCACAGATACATGTTCTGCTCTCTGACTCTTGGTGTTATGACCTCTGCCTGTCTGACCAAGGATTTGAATTTTGCCCTTTAGCTGAAGGTGAAGGAGGATGGTGTTGATCTTCCTGGACTGCAGCAGAGTCGGTGCTGCCCTGCATCATCGCCTCTCCTTCTCCAGACAATCCTTCCAGAACCCTCCATCAGAGCAACATCTGCTCCTTCCTCGTCTCTCGGCTGATCGGTTCAGTACCTGATCAGCAGGCCAAGTCCCTGTACTCTCCACACACACTAACAGATTCCTTCTGAAATATTTCTCAAGTCACCGATCTCTCCTCTCTGTTCCCCTTGCAGAGCTGCAGCTAACATCCAGTGGGCCCAGTTTGTTTAGCCTCTAAAATCAGACAGATCCAGTTCCAGTCCTGACAGTTTAGATCATCATGATCTAAACTGTCAGATCCACACATTTAGGGTTAAAGGTTGATATCATCATTATTCAGATTACTTACTGGTCATCACATTTAGATAAACATGTGTATAATATCTGCAGCTGTAACGTCCAGCATCATCAGCTGTGATGTTGTTGATGATCAGAGAACAGTTTCTGTCCAAACTCAGCCTGGCAGAACGAGATGAACTCTGAACCATTCCTTCATGAACTTCCTGTTTCCTGTTGCTGTTGTTTCTCTCATAACTCCAGTCAACAGAGGAACACGAGTCGGATGATGAAGGTCTGTTACAGGATAGAACAGCTTCATCTCCAGCTCTGTGGTAGAGATGGACTGGAACAAACATTCAGAGAAATGATTTACTCTACATGAAGTTATTAATACAGTATCAGTCTCTGTGTTCTGCCTGAAGTCTCTTGAAATATAGAAAATGGAAAAACATTAAATGCATCATTAACAACATTATTAATCATTTGAACCATAAACATCTTTCTGAAGACAGAAACAATAATTTAAACTTTTCATGTCCTTTTATCAGCCTTTGAAGCTTTTCTACAGATCAGAAGAAATTATTTAAGCTCATTGTTGAAATACTGATCACACATTTACAAAACCCTTCGATTTTCTCCGTTTAAATATTCAGTTTTACAGAAAACTTCAATCAGTTTCAGCAAAAGCAGGAATTACACAGCAAAATGCACTTTGCTATGAAACATTATCAATGGGGTTTTAAGATAAACAAAGTGTAAATCTGATCTAAAAGCTAATATGTATATATAGAATATTGTTTCTATATGCAATAGAAACATTTCATGAACATGTGACTCTCAGTCTAAAGTCTCTGTGAGTGTTTCTCTCTTTAACACATTATCTGCTCTTCCTGTTTGTTTCACTTCTTCTTTTTATCTATTTATATTTTCCATACGTCTCTAACAGCCTCTAAAAGTTGCTGCTTTGTTTTGGTGTCACTTTTTAAAGTTTCCCTGCAAAACGCTGCACTGGTCACTTTGTTCCACAGAAACATTCAGACTGATCAGTTCAGTGGATCTGATTCACTTTAAAACATAATAATATTATATTTTCATTTTATTATTGAATCAGAATTCATGTTATCATAATAATAATATTTGTACCCACAGGTTTTGTTCTCTTTGCTTTCATGCAGGATGTTTCACTGATTTTAATCTGCAGCAGATAAATAAAAAAGTTCTGAATCTTGTTTTCCTCAGAGTGAAAAATAAAGTTTTATTTCACATAGAAAACTGGTTTTCAAAATATACTCTAAGTTTTCTACAAAGACAAATGATAATATATATCAAATATAAATAATCATATTCTATAAATTCCTGCTGTTTATCTCATTTATCTGTAAAGAAATGACATGGTACCTCGTGTGTGTTGAACTTCAACTTTCACTTTGTTTCCTTCTCTGAACTGGCAGGTGAATCTTCTGTTGGTGTCGCTCTGATGCTTCACAGTTAGAGAGGAAACACATCTTCGTCTTAAACTGCGATCATCAAAGTGTTCACTACTTTCACCAGTCAGTTCAGTTCTTTTCTCATCCAGCCAGTGGAAACTTTTCCCTGGACAGGAACCCAGATCACTGTATCTCCACAGAGAGCAGTATAATGTGAAATCCTCCTTTGTTGGATCAAAATCTGAAACTGAAGGAAAAAATACAAATACATTTTTCTCAGTCTAAAATGTTAAAGTAACTTCCTCAAAGGTGATAAGCTTAATAAATTCTTAGGCTCTGCAGAATGTAGAATATAAAATAATTATTGTAATATTTTCTCCATTTTCCTTGATTATTGATCCATGTCAGGATGCTGAATCCAGACCTCAATCCGTCCTGCAACTGTTAGATGCTGCATTACTCCAACAGAACAAGCCATTCATTGGATTCAGGCGTGTTGGAGCAGGGATGCATCTGCAGGACGGAGGCTCTGCAGGACTGGACTTGAGCTCCACTGATCTACATTATTATTACAGAACTGAGCAGGTTTTCATCAGCTTGATGGAAGAAAACAACTTATATAGAGAGTTTGATTATTTCATGCTTTGATGAAGCAATAAAAGATGAACTGATTAAATCTAAACTTCCTCAGCACTGAGCACAACATTCACTCTGATGAGCTCACTTCCTGATGACCTCAGAGCTTGGCCCCGCTCTCAGACAGGAAGTAGAAGAAATGCAACAGATGTTGGCTGGAAACACAAAATATAAAACCTGATTGTGAGTTCAGTTCATGTTTGTGTGTGGACTGATGGGTAATGTTGGCCTGAAGCTAAAGAAATGATTGTTTCTCTCTGACTGAACAACATGAGACCTTCTGACCTCATCAGGTCACTGAGAGGTTCCCTCAGGCTAAAGTCCAAAGAAGTTCAAGGTTTCAGAGAAAAAGGAATCAGAACTGATGATGTCAGAAACATCTGTCCAACATTTCACCAGAAGGAAAGAGTCTGAGTGTTAAATCATTCAGTTCTACATACTCACTGGTTAAAACACTCAGAAACACAAAACCATCTGAGGAGGCATCAGAACCGGGTCCACAGATGTATCTTCCAGCATCATCAGCAGTGATGTTGTTGATGATCAGAGAGCAGCTGCTGTTCATATTTAACCTGGAAGCTCGAGGTGAACTCTGATCAACTTTTCCATCTTTAACTTGATAATAACTTTGGCTTGTATCTCTGTTGTAAAACCAGTTAATCGTGGAGCAAGAGGAAAATGATGACAGACTGTTACAAGGTAGAACAACATTTTCTCCTTCTCTGTGATAGAGATGAATTTCTCCTCCTCTGGTTCCTGCAGCAGAAATAAAAACACATTAAAGTTTTACAGACGTCATTCTTAACAAAACAATCATGAAGGTGAAATTATAAATGTGTTAGTCATCTCTATTCCCTGGTGTTGAATTATTTTTACATTGTTAAAGTCATGAAGTGCAGAACTGAAGGCGTTGAGGCCGACGCAGCGACTCCAGGCTGAAGTGAATAATGATGAAAAAGTCCAAATGCAAACAGTCCAACAAGCAGGACAGACTGACCAGCAGGACGAGGAGACGCGAGGAGACGCAGAGACACAGGAGACGCAGAGACACAGGAGACGCAGAGACACAGAGACACAGGAGACGCAGAGACACAGGAGACACAGGAGACGCAGAGACACAGGAGACAGAACACAGGAGACGCAGGAGACGCAGAGACACAGGAGACACAGAGACACAGGAGACGCAGAGACACAGGAGACGCAGAGACACAGGAGACGCAGAGACACAGGAGACACAGAGACACAGGAGACACAGAGACACAGGAGACATTAATCACACAGGAGGAAATCAGGGGGACGACAGGAAGGACAACATGGAGACTCAGAAAACACAGAAACCTGAAATAAACACAGAAAAACTCAAACCATGACAGTCGACTCTAGAGGACAAAGATGAAATAAAAATTCACTCAGAAATATTTATTTTGCAGATGCTATAAGTTAATGTCTCCATAAAAAATGTCAGTTTTCTTTACTTTTTCTCATCTTCATGTGAAAGAAATCAGATCTTTACCTTCAAACTGAAGCACAACGACCAGAACCAGAACCAGAACCAACATCTCCTCCATCAGCTGCTGAACTGAGAGACTTTTCTCTGCTGCTGATCTGAAAATACTGATCATATTTCCTCTTTGTGGCTGAAATAAAGGATAGAAACAATTTCACACCAACACCCACCATGTGTCACTTTGAGTCTTTATAAACTGACAGAAACTCACAGATAGAAGGAAGTAGTTATACAAACTAGTCAGAAATAAATATTTTAACAGTTTTTAAGTGATTCACTTTGTAACACTGAGAACTAAAATGAGACATGATTTCTCTGTGATCTGGTTGAACAAATGTTTAGTTTATTTTTTATTTCTATTATTTTCAACACAGCTTGTTGTCGTTTCCTTCATAGAGGAACTACGATGCATACTACTGAGCTGCAGTCAGTCCACTAACAGCAGCAGCTCTGAGACTCTGCAGACAGAGAATCAAACCGAGTCAGAACAGAATCCAATCAGGTCCAACTGGATCCTTCCAGCAGAGGCTTCAGACTCAGGCAGTGGGTCACATTTGGTCCATGAGAACATTCAGCATGTCTGCTGGAGCTGGACCACTGGGAAACAAACCATCCACTGTTTACACTACATATCCCAGAATCCTCTGCTGGTGAGTTAGCCATATCTAAGGACCCACATGCGCCCTCTACTGGTGACAGTTAGTATTGTCCTGATGCCACATTAGTTCAAAATATTTCACTGTGTAATAAAATCCCTCAGTTTCTAATTTGCAGTCAATAAAAACCAAATAGAGGTTTTTATTTTATAACTCCCTGATATGAAGCCAAAGCAGCAGAAACTTTCATCAAAACTTGATTTGGCTGCAGGCCTGATGTGAAACTGAAGAGTGAAAACTTCCTCCAAAGTCCAGCTTCCCAGATGAAACTCGTCTCTCTGCATTAGGCTCAACATGAGTGATGTCACTTCCTGTTCGCTAGGCTCAGTTAGCCTCACTGCAGCAACTGTGTGTGCATTGACTTTGCTAGTGATGTTAAATAAAACTGTTCTGTCAATTCAAGTTTGAAATAATCACAGCAGATTAAAACTTGATGGAGTTAAAATCTGTAGGAATAATTTAGAGTTTAAAGTTTAAAACATCAAGAAGACAAACTTTGATATCTTAAAATCAGTGGAATAAAATCTGATGAAGTATAAATTACTGCTGGATTGAAACACATCCACGTGGAAAACATTAAATTAATTATGTAAAAAATGTCACAAATAAACTAATCAAAATTATTGTAATAAACAAGCTTTTCCAAATCGGAAACAAAGAAATTATGTTGGAGCACATTGTTAAAATAAGGCAACGTTTTTGTGTTATGATCAATATTGTGAAATACATCAAATGCTAGAATAAAAACAGTATTTGGTGTATTTTATGATTGCAAAATCAGATTATATCACATGTATATTTGAGTCTTAATAAAAAATTAATATGTTTTATAACTCAGGCTTTGATTCATGGTGATGTGATGCTGTCAGTTGGCCACTAGGTGTCACTGTATTTATTTCTATGAAGTGTTTGGAAATGCTGACCTGCTTCTGAAACTTTCAGCATTTTCTACACTAAAGATGACAAAAAAAAAAAAATCAAAAAATCAACACAAATAACAAAAAGGGAGAAGAAATTACAGGGAGGATCTGAGAAGTGGATAAAAACTGGGAGGTGATTCCTGGACTTCAGATTTATGGAGGAAGGCCTTAACTCAGGTTGAAACTCTCGACTAAAACATTAAAGATTTAAGGTTCAAATCGCATTAAATTAACTCAAATATGAATCTGAATGATGACATCATGACCAGGAAACCAAAACGTCTCCATCTGAGGCAGAGACTGACCTCCTGACCTGCAGGAACGGCTAATCTTCATCTTTACAAAACGTGTTTCCTGACATAGTGACACAATGAATGTGAGATTTCTTAAATATGACACATAAATTCAATAATGTGCATTAGCAGCATCAGCAGGCTGCCGTGTCCAGCTCCGTCACGGCTCCGTAGTTTCAGCTCATCGGTTTCCTCATTATCTGCTTCTCCACCTCCATCAAGCTGCAGCTAATACAGAAAGCGCCGTCCCTTGAAATAACCAATCAATAAGTGGCTGCAGGTCCTGTCAGCCGATAACGTGTTGCTGGAAGGGAACCTGCTTTGTTGTTGTGCAGCAGTCCACAGACAGGAGGACATCTGTCAGAGCTGCTGTTGTCTTTAACACCTCAGCAGTGAAGAAAATAAAGTCGCAGGATACGACCTGCAGGAACCGAGGCAGAAGACGGGGAAATGAATTCACCTCTCAATCTGCACTGACGGGTTTGAGATGAAATCCAGCAGAGGATTCGGTTTCCCCCCGTTCTGCTCCAGAGTCACATCTTCATCCTGTGTGACACCTGGTCTTTAAAACTGAAGAGAATAAAGAAGAATCTACTCAAAATAATAATTAAACTCAAGATCATAATTTAAAAAAATGTAACCAACCAACCAACAAAGCAACCACAATGCTGGAAAGAGTCGACATCAATTCCCCTCCAACAGAAAATCGATGTTTCTGTTTAATGCAGTCAAATAAAAAGTTCTGGAAAGTGGAGCAGAAAGTTTGTTTCTGTAGATTAATACCTTTTTTATGGTAATGAACAATAAATCAGTGAAGAAGTTGAAACATTGTAAAGTAATATGAAACAAAACATTTGACAGAAATGCCAAAAAACACAAAGGAAATCTATAAAAACAAGAAACAAACTTATAACTCCTGAAGCTGAGATCAGAGGCAGGAGCCACGCATCAGCAGGACATGACTTATAGCAATAAAGATTGTTTTGGGAAAATGCTTCTGTGATTGGGTTTCGGTGCAGAACAAGAGCTGACAGTATTTATTCCCATCATGTTCTGCAGAGTTTACGACGTCTCTGCAGAGAGGTCAGGACGGCTGAGGACGGACGTCAGGATGGACGTCTGCTCTGTTGCTTTTCTTCGATTGCTTCTGCAAATGGCTCCCTAATCAGAGCTCGGATTGCTCTGATGGTATTACCTCTGATGAGATGGCTTCACTCAGTCCTCTGAACACCAAACGATCTC